CTAGGTAGATTTTGGGCTTCAGCACAAAGAATTGCAACTTTTATAATTCACTGCTTGACAACTGTAAATGGGATAATTTCATTAAATTTACAATGTTATGACTGTAGTGATAACAAATATTTCTTTAGCGGCGTGGTTGAGTGTCTGCCATGTAGGCCTATTCAAAAGGTTCAAGGTTTAAATCTTGGTTGTTGCCTGATGATTTTTAGCTTTACAATATCATGAATATGACATACATGTTCTCAATAAAATGTGTCTTATATTTCCATGCTGTGTAGTTTGGGATCATTATTACCAGACATATTGCCTTTATGATGATGGCAGGAACTTGAAATTTAGCAAACTCCTCGCAGCGGTTACTTCCCCTGATCTGTACAGTAACCACTGCCACCACAAGTAAATTCGGTCGAATATAGCCGGATATATTTTTTTCACTTTTAATTTTAAAACAGAATACGTTATATCATTTTAGTTTTCTTTCGTTAAATAGTTATGCTTAATGTACAAGAAAGTAAAAAATTATACGTATAAAAATTATTTTGTAAACATAACGAAAGATATTTTCACTGTGACACCGTATGCATAGTAAACAATGGCAGAATATAATCAGTTTTTGAACGATTGCACAAAAATATTTGATCCGGCACTTGTTTTAAAGTGATAACAAATTGTGTGTCTTGAACTTATTTTGTCTGGTAAGGATGTAATTATAAATCTGCCAGTTTGATATGGGATCCTTGGCGTTCTGAAACTGGCCGCCATGTTTTTGTCACATGATACAACTATCATCACGTGATTTCAGTGGTGGCAGTGGTTAAAGTAGCAAAGCGTGACGTAACCGCTGTGAGGAGTTTGGAAATTTAGTTTGACCAGAGGCAGAGACATGCAAAATCAATAAGCGTCCAGGTAACATTGATAATTAAATGTACATCTATATACATAATACGGTGTTTGTGTGGTGTAAATCGAGAAATCAAACCAATATTTTTGCTCACCATTTAAGAATATTGCTTGAAAATCTTGATTAGTTAAGAAAACATTCTTTTGAACAAGAAAATAATTGACTTGCAGGTAAATAATATTACGATAAAGATCGTTGCTGGGGACGCTTGAAATTTTTGTCTTGGTTAAACTCTGTTTTACCCGTATTATATTTCAGGCACTCAATTTTATTCGATGTTGGTTTGTTGATCAATATTAATATTAATAATAATCAATATTATTTAAAGTGTACATCTTGTATGATATGTGCATTGTTTGTTTATGTAAAATAAAGAATTATTGCAAAGGAAAAATTGTTCAGCTTTTTACAGGTTTCGCGTGATTAACCTTGATTACATGGAGTGATGTTTTTAAGGTAAGATAAGAATTAAGACAAGATAATCTTGATAAGTTGTCAAGGCCTAAGAACAATGCAGCATATTAAGCTTTAAGATTTAGATTGATAGGAAACGTATATCTTTAGATTGAATGATTTGCAGAATGTATATACAGGGAACAATATGTTTAAATTGGTGCTTTTCACTAGTTCAATCTGATATGTGTAATATTGTCAATGGTCATGAGTCACGCTCAGTGGCATATCCAAATGTTTCGGTTTAAGGTTTAAATTTGTTTTTTGTTTGTTTGAATTTTCAGTCCCACTGATTGCAACTTTCCAGCGTCATTGTTGGGGGAAGACCTCAAGCGCCCCCTATTTTGCCTTATTACAAGCACAAGCTGGCACTTGAGAGTAGAACCACGTACCGATTGACTTTCCGTAACCTTGCTGGTCCAGTGGATACATGTAGTTTCCTCACATTAAAGAATCTAAAAGTCCCCGCCCGGACTCGACCCCACAGTGGTTTGGGCCGAGAGGTAAGTAATGTGAAGTCGGTGAACTTAACCAATAGGTGAATAAAATAGCTTATTGCAATTTTAAATATATTCATATCAATTATAATAAACAATGATTCTGAGGAACAGAAAAAATATAACGACACTGAAAATTCTCTTTTTATATAGAGGCAAATACGTTCAAACACTGTATCAAGACAAATGAAATAAGCTTAAATTTCAAAATATCAGTATCTTTAACAAGTTTCAAACAAAAATGTACTGAAAACCATCGAAACATTCTCCAGATCATAAAAAGCTCATGAATACAAAAAGGCGCGATAAAAGGCGACACCCAACAATAAAAAGACAGATAACATACAGAAAAGAGGAAGATACGGAGAAACATGAACAAAAAAATAATGAATACATAGATCCAAAAATACGTCTGCCAAATTATCGATAATTATTTTTTTTATTAAACACAGAGACTATTATTACAGAAATATAGCTCTGTAGTGAACAAAAATACTTCATGTATACATATATAGTATTGTGCAACATTTTAACAGTTGCCGAACATTACTGTGACCAGAAAGAGAGATGCTAAAAACGTTAAACACAGAAATGTTCTAAAGCGTTTTCTGCAAAATTCTAGTTGATAGGTTAACGCATCACAGAAACCATAGTAATTCGATTTTATTTTCATTATCTCCCCGCAAGATTTCAAAATTAGCATTTTACAAACATAGATGTATAACATATATCATATTAACGATTTTTATCATGCTTTAATTAAAAAAAAGACACACAAAAAAACATTATGAAATAAACCTAAAAATAAGCGACCATACAAAAATACAGCTCACAAAAGTCACGGTTTACTCGAAATAATTAGTTATTTTACATTTAAAATACATCTCTTTTAATCAAACATGCATTAGCCATTATAATTCTTCTCGCACATGTGTATTTTCTCATATTACGCTATATACGTGAATCAGCTTCTTATACTTTTAGATTGATTTTTCGACTTTTATTTTTTACTAACAGTCAAATCAATGGTTCCGTTGCAACTTTGTTGTGAAATTGTGTGAACAAAATATAAATACAAAGATCAAAGAAGAGCTGCGTATGTGGACGTTCAGCCACTTAAGACTAACGGAAATGCGCCCGGTCTAGGGCGCCTAACAGAAACGCGCAAAATACGGGAAGACTAGTAACATTTCAAAATAATTTTCCATTTTAAGTCAAACCAGATATCTTGAACATCCGCTCAAACATGGATACAATACATTTTTTTGGAGGTGCGTCAATGTCTATTAATAATAGTCAATTAAGTGAGTCAATTGAAATATTTCTTGTTGCCCATTTTTTTTAAAGAAGGGCGATATAGAAATAACCGTCTGACGTCTGCCCCCTACATGTCTGTCCGTGTTTCACAAGTCTTGTCGGGTCCATACCACAGCCATCCATCAAGGATTATGAAATAACTTGGCACACATGTCCACCATAATAAGACAACGTGTCGTGCGCAACACTCAAACGCCCACCTCATAGGTCAAGATCACACTTGGAGATTAAAGGTCAATTCTGTCTGATGACGGGTAAATGTCATGTCTGCAGTTAATTACTTTTACAGCAATTCAGGGATCTTAACAAATAACTTGGCACAAATGTTCATCATATTACGAAGACTATTCATGCGCACCACCCAAACCTTTACCATGTAAGAACATGCCCACACTTAATTAGAGGCCAAAGCTTCACATGGTCTGTTATAGGGACTGTATTGTGTCCGGTCCACAACTTTTCCATTTATCAAAGGTTTTGAAAAAGGCTTGCACCATATTAATACAATTGTCGAACACAACAACAGATTCATACCATAAACACCACTTTTGAGGTCACACTATGAGTTAAATTCTTAACATGGTTTATATTTTCCTTGTCCGGAGATTTTTTAACTCCAATGTAATAAAATATATTCCAGTGAAACTTAAACACTAAATTTATATATAACAGTGAAATGGGTGCATTGCAATTAAGAGAGCCATAACTTTATTTTAAATAATCTCCTTTTATGAATTTAGTTTCAGTAAAAACTGCTCAAATGTATTTTTATTGACAAATTCAATAAAGTTATTTCATGAATTGATTGTGCAGATATAGCAAATATCTTGTTTTTGTACTGAAAGTCCAGAGACATCAAACTTAACCCTTTACTTCATGAGCATATTGTGAAAAATGAAGACCCTCCTATTACAAGTTCAAACTGCTATGAAACTATGAAAAATGCTTCAATACTGATAAAACTTGGCACATACAATGTATGTTGACTGAACCATAGCCTCTGTCACAGTATGCTCAATCTTAAATTTCCTGTTACCATGGCAACGGAAGGACGTCTCAAAATTGCCAAAAAACACTATTTTGCATTGTTTTTTTCCCATAAAAACTGATTTCAAAGTGCTGCAACTTCTCAATGGATTGAGATAGAGTAAAAGGCTTTTCAGCGTTTATCAAAAGTTATATTACGACCGACCTGAGGCCATTTTAGCCTGTTACTTGTCCAAAATTTTCTTGGCGAAAAAGAGGGCACATCCCCCTTCTGGCAACCTCTTGATGTACCTTTTTGTTAACGGGCGGCGCCGAAAAAGTGATAACATTTTATCAACAATTCTCAAACGAAAAACTGTGTTTGTGGCATTTTTTTAATGTTCGAGGCCTCCAAAAAGAGAAAAAAGGGGGGGGGGGGGGGGCGAAAAGCTGTCAAAACACATCTATATGAAGTAAAGGGTTAAAAGAGATAATTTAATTTTACTAGTGTGTGCTTCTTGTGAAACTTCCCTTACCACATTGGTAACACTGTAAAATTTATTGTTGTACTAGAAAAAAGTGCAGTACAGACTACAGAGTATATTGTTTGATAGAATTCTCATATAGAAACAGGATCTATATATTAAAATAAATATAATGAAAGTCCTTGAACGAGTCATCCATTGAAAAAAATGAAAATGTATGTTGCATATTTTTATAATTCTACTTATTGATTATTAATTATGCCTTAATGCCAGCATCATAAAGGAGTAAAACAAGGTACGTGCATAAATTGATTTTCTCGATCTAATCCTATAATTATAGAACGGTCTCATATTTTTAGGAACAGATTTTATCAAAGAAATTATCAATGCTACTTCCGGTTAAAAAGTAACTTCCGGTTAAGACAATTTAGACAAAATTTATGATTTCTTAGCATTTTAGCGAATTCGATGGATTCATATGACATACTTGCAAATCAGCCTGTTGTCATAGACAATGTAAGAATCGATTAACTTTATATTGTTGTGCAATTTTGAGAGATATTGTCTTTTATTTGACGAATGAGTCATGATCGGTTTTCTTTGATTTTTGTCTGCAGCCGCAGCTGTCATACAAAAATAATAAGTAAATTGACATAATTTGACGTTTATGTTTTAAAATGATACCTTGATTTACTGCATTTATGTTTGGAAGAACTGTATGCATGGATATTGCTTAAGAGATCATTATTCAAAATAATTTGTTAAAAAGGTGTGACAACACCTTAGGGATTATGGGGTTGAGCCGGTAGTCAGACTATTCTCTCCCTTACCAGTTCCTCCCCTGACGTTTCCTCCCTGACGGTTCTCTCCCTATTTTGGGGGAGAACTGTCTGCATATTTGCAAATTAGAAGACAGTTCCTCCCCATTTTTATTTTTATAATTACATTATTAATAAAGTATTTAGATGATAAATAAATGGGTAAGTTTATTATCAATTGATATAAAGTAGAAAAAAATAGATTTTATTGAAGTCTTTAGATGTTAAATAAATGGGTAGGTTTATTATAAATTGATATAAATTAGAGAGAAAAATACTTTAATGAATACTTTTATTCAGATGTTTAATTCAGGTTTCAATTTTGTTAGCATCATCAGCAACAATAAATCGGTAAGTTTATTATCAAAAATTAATATAAATTAGAGAAAAAAATATTTTATTGAAGTATTTATATGTTTAATAAATTTGTAACTTTGTTATCAATAGATATAAATTGAATTAGAAAAACTTTTTGTTTAACATATAATAATAATTGATCGATGTTGATATTAGTTAATTATTCTGATTTTTAATTAGATGTAATGTATACTTTTTTATGTGTTTAGTCATTGAAAATAATTAAAGAATAATTTACTTGATTAGGATAATCATAAGATATTATTTTTTTTTTTGATAAATAGAAATGAAATTTATAGGCAAAAAATGATTACTGTAATAAATTCTAATTGCTAAACTTTTGTATATAATGAAAAAAGGAGTTCAATACACACATGTATGCGTTAAGTTTGCTGTCAGTGATAATTGAGGTGTTTATTAATTCATTACTCAAGAATCAAGGTGTTGATTAGATTAAAATAGCTGTGAAAAGGTGTTGATGAATAAGTATTATATTAGTTATTTGGTGTTATATATTGTTTCAAGTTAATGACTACATGTTTTTAAATCAATTTCATAAAAAAGTAAATGTGGGATGTGTTTGCATACCAGTTGTTGTTTATTTATTTTCTAGAACATACTTGTTTCCACCTAATTCACTATTTAACAAATAAATGAACATCACAAGCTAGACCTTAACATAATTACAGGTGTATATCAATCACTGTCCAATGATCTATATCTCTCACAATAAAGGTGTTGATAGGATAAAGGTGTTAAATTTACAAACACAATTCAGCTGATAAACATAAAACATAAAATGCAGTTAATATCAAACACATTCCTTTAATAATCTTCATTATGAAATATTATTAGATTAAGTCAAAACTAAAATGATAACTTATAAAAATAAAATTGGGGGAGAACTGTCTGCATATTTCAAATTTGGGAGAGAACCGTCAGGGGAGGAAACAGTTAGGGAGAGAACCGTCAGGGAGAGGAACTGGTAAGGGAGAGAAAAGTCTGTCATTCGGTTGAGCCTAAGGGTAAATTCGGCCTCTTCATACTTGGCAAGGGTCGACTCAGCCAGCAAATGAAAAGATCATATGAATATGGCAAAGCTTTAAATTGAGCACGATTTACTTTAACTGTAAAAGTATAAAATAATTGTTCATTTTTATTTAACATTTTCAGTTTTAAAACTGTCAGTTGATATTTTATACATTGCTTCCGTTTATTCTGGTTCCCTGTCGTATTATGGTTCCTGTAAGAGTGCACAGGACACCAGTCTACAATCCATTTTCAATTAGAATTCCTCGGCTTTTATCTTTATCTTGTAATTCGAAAAGTTGTCAATTCAGTACTTCCGACTAGCTAAATTTCGGAAAAGACTCAACTCGGCCCTATACCAACTCGGCACGGGTCAACTCAGCCCACTTTACAAAAATATATATAACGTATTAACTTTGCTTTGCATGTTGTTAAGGTAAATGAATAATAAGATTTACAGGGTTTTACATCTCTTTGAAATTTTAGGGGTCCAGTGGATGCACAGCCTAGAAAAGTAGGGGTCCAGGCCTGAATTTTAGGGGTCGAAAATTATATTCACTATAAAAGACTATGAAGACCACTCTATTTTGCTTAAAATCGTTTATTTACCCTGTAAGAAATGTGCATGTATATTGTACTGTTTTCATAAGAAGTATATGATTTCAATATCTTTTATCACTAGGTTTTTTATAGCATTTTAGTAGCCCTTTACAATAATATCATGTGCTATTTCCAAGGCTTATAAGTCTTTGAGTTGCTGGAATGTCAAGTTTTAGTAGCATATTTTGTTATTGACAAGGTGATTACACCAACAGACTGAAAATTTGTACTGATCTATTTGTAAATATTTTAGCTGAACAAGTAAACACACAATAGATATCTTAACAGACCAGTCAGCTAAATATGTTGCGTTTTTAAAAATATCATAAAACAAAAGGCTGACAAAACCGCTTATGCACCTCCCCATAAGCTGGGACATACTTGATGTCCCAGTCATAAATTAAGTTCGCCGAAACCATTATATTTATAACACCAACGATAATAACATACCCAGTGACTTAATTTCTAACACTTTTTCATATAACACTTTGCAAAAAGCACTGGATTTTTTATTTTCGCTGTTCATGTACAAAATACAATCGCCGAACTGGTAGATCGACATTGGAAACGCTAGCCAATAGTAATTGCTTGTTATAAATAGTCCATCTAAATATAGCAATAGAAAAACCAAAAACAGCTACCAAAAATAGATTTTACGGTAAACGTCATCAGTTACTGTAGCTTGCACTATAAACGTCATCAATTTCTGCAGCGGGCACTTGCAAATAACATGCGCAGTAGATTTCAATTATGTTAACTTCCGAATAAACAATGCAAGCATTAGGTTTAAATGGAATTTTATGAGCTTCGAGAAGAAAGAGATAAAATCATGTCGGGTCAGAAACAATAATATCTATTGTCTAGAATTATTTTTGTGCGTACACTTGGACGCAAGTGGATAACTTATATGCGTACATGTCAAAATTTATGCGTATAAAACCCTGGATTTAGAAATATCTTATTATTATATAATTATACATTGTACTTCTGTCGAAATAAAGTATATTTAGAAAAAAAAATGTTATTTATTTGTCTTGCAGATTCGATAACATTAATAAAGATCTAATAAAAATGTGTTTCCTTAGATGCATTTTGTTTGTAAAGTTATATTTAAAAAAAAATGAAACAAAAACGTGTTCACTTAATATCATACACTTAATATCATAAGCTTCTAATTAATTGCAGGTGGTCACTAATCAAATTTGAATGAATGAGTCAATCATAATTATCACCTAATTAATCGGTATCCTTAACATACACATTGATTGATAATAATAGCCCGTGATAATAGGAGTCCTTTATTAACATGTCTTTTACCAATTTCATTTAATTTGTTTGTAATTGTCAAAAGCTTTAATTTAAGATTATCATAAAAAAGAAACAACCCTTTGATCTCATACAAAATTGTGATGGAATACTTGTGTATACATTCACGTTTATACTATAGTATAGATATTTTCATATAGACTTATTTTCATTAAAGTAACTTCTGTTTGAACGACCCTGTTTTCAATTATCTTTTATTTCAATATAGGCCTATATCATTTTTATACAGATCTTATTTTCGTAATTTTTTCCCTCTCCGTGTATATTTAAACACATTGACACTGAAAGTATAAAACATTACGGTTAAACCTATCACGTGTCAGAAATACATTGACATACCTAATCGGTTAAAGATATCTTTACTTGCAATGCCACTGATAAGAAAAGCCTGTCTGCTGCTAGTTCGAAAACTGTCAATCCGTGTATTATAAATTATTTTTTACAATAATTACAATAAATAGTGATAACACAAACCTAAATATTAATAATTGAAAAGTGGGCCGAGATGACCCGTACCGAGTTGTTATATGGCCGAGCCGACTCGGGGGGCCGAGTACGTTTTAGGGCCGAGCTGACCCCGATTCCTAAATTTCTATGTTTCTTTTAATTTTAACAAATGTAAAATTTTTACTGAAACAATCTTTACATTTTTTTTAATACTTTTTGGCTTTGAAAGAGCCCTTTCATGCACCAATTCACCAGACATACTTAGATTCCATAGAGTCAATTGTCAGAATCAACTATGGTGGCATGGTAGTGCTTGTTTTTTAACTCATTTTTCCCCCTTGAAACCACTGTATTTAATTAACAGTTATGTATTTACAGGGGTCTGGTATAATCAAAGCTGGTTTTGCTGGAGATCAAGTTCCAAAGTACCACTTTCCAAATTTGTAAGTATTAAATGTCTTTTTGATTTGAAAAGAAAAATCATCATTTATTGCTTGCTCAAACTTTTAACCAATATTTATTTTCTCCATGCAGTTGCTCATAATAAGCATGAAGCTTACAATTGATGGTATAATAGTTATAATAAAATTATACTCATTTCTAGAATATCATTCTAAAAGTTACATGTAAGTATGCACTCTGCTTCATTCACATTAATAAATAATATGAAAATTTGAAATATCACTTCAATGACTGCAAGAAACTTCTCCCACTTGTATTTTGAAAAACTTTAATTTTTTAAATGCATAAACAGAGCTCCAGATATTTATTTAAAGTAAAGGGTAAAAAATGCACTCTGACAAAAGTAAGGGGTAAAATTTTGCATATTTTTTTTGTTTTTGTTTTTTTTGTAATCAATTGCATTGCCTTTTTAGCTCACCTGAGCACGAAGTGCTCAAAGGTGAGCTTTTGTCATCACTCTGCGTCCGTCGTGCGTCGTGCGTCCTTCAAAAAATGGCGTCAAACTTTTCAAACAACATCTCCTCCTAAACTACATGGCCAATTGCAACCAAACTTTACAGAAATGATCCTTAGGTGGACCCCTTTCAAAGTTGTTCAAAAATTTAAATTCCATTAAAAACTCTGGTTGCCATGGCAACCAATAAGAAAACTTAAAAAATCTTCTTCTAAAAAACCGTAAGAGCTAGAGCTTAGATATTTGGCATGAAACATCTTCTAATGAGTGCCTACCAAGTTTGGTCAAAATTGGCCCCGCCCCAGGGGGTCATTGATTTTCCCTATATGCATATAGTAAAAACTTAAAAAATCTTCTTTTAAAGAACTCAAAGAGCTAGAGCTAAGATATTTAGCATGAAACATGTTCTAATGGGTGTCTACCAAGTTTGTTCAAATAAAAGCCCTGGGGTCAAAATTGGCTCCACCCCGGGGGTCATTGATTTTCCTTATATGTGTATAGCAAAAACTTAAAAAATCTTCTTTAAAAAAACCCAAATAGCTGGAGTTTAGCTATTAAGCATGAAACATCTTCTTGTGAGTGTCTACAAAGTTTGTTCAAATCAAAGCCCTAGGGTCAAAATTGGCCCCGCCCCGGGGGTCATTGATTTTCCTTATATGACTGTGTATAGCAAAAACTTAAAAATCTTCTTTGAAAAAACACAGATAGCTAGTGTTTAGATATAAAGCATGAAACATCTTCTAGTGAGTGTCTACCAAGTTTGTTCAAATAAAAGCCCTAGGTTCAAAATTGGCCCCGCCCCCGGGGGTCATTGATTTTCCCTATGTGCATATAGTAAAAACTTAAAAAATCTTCTTTTAAAGAACTCAAAGAGCTAGAGCTAAGATATTTAGCATGAAACATGTTTACATGGGTGTCTACCAAGTTTGTTCAAATAAAAGCCCTGGGGTCAAAATTGGCCCCGCCCCGGGGGTCATTGATTTTCCCTATGTGCATATAGTAAAAACTTAAAAAATCTTCTTTTAAAGAACTCAAAGAGCTAGAGCTAAGATATTTAGCATGAAACATGTTCTCATGGGTGTCTACCAAGTTTGTTCAAATAAAAGCCCTGGGGTCAAAATTGGCCCCGCCCCGGGGGTCATTCATTAGCTTGACTTTTTTTTTTTAGATATATACATATTATATATATACATATATATATATATATATATATATATATATATATATATATATATATATATATATATATATATATATATATATATATATATAAATGTATATATATATATAGATATATATATATAGATATATATATACATATTATGTGTGTGTGTATATATATATATATATATATATATATATATATGTATATATATACATATATATATATATATATATATATATATATATATATATATATATATATATATATATATATATATATATATATATATATATATATATATATATATATACATGCATACATATACAACCAAGTTTGTTCAAATAAAAGCCCTGGGGTTTAAACTGGCCCCACTCCAGGGGCCTATATACAGGTGAGCGACTTTGGGCCATCATGGCCCTCTTGTTAAAACAATATGTCAGGCTGACTAGGTTTTCTTTGTATGAAAACAAGTACAAACAAAATATTTTTTCAGTGTGAAACAACTCAAAATTTTCTTTGTACAACAACAATCACTTTTATTAGAAGCCACGTCACAATAGTAACAATATGACTAATTAACATAAAATAAAGAGTGGGTAACATGATACGTAATACAAATTTTACTTTAAACGTTATTTTCATCACATGGGGACAGTAATTATATTGTCAAAAACTGCTGCAATGTTGTTCATGTTTCGAAGTATACATTTATGATTAATTAATAAATAGTAAGTACATGTACATACATGTATGTCATAAAATATATGTATACATCTAGAAGAGGTGTAACAAAAGAGAGAAGTAGAGCATTACGATATTTATAAAAAAAACACAACAAATTTTGTTATTATTTCTTTTATCAATTGTATAGCTATTTCTTAAATTATCATACATACTAAGGTACACTTATGCTAACAGCTGTACACAAAGGAATATCAGGTGGCGTGAGAAAATGCTAATACGTTACTACAGCTGCACGCATTTTACGTACACAGACACTACTACGATATTGAAAATATTTACAACCGCTAAGAAAGGCTATAAATATTAAATCATTTGTTACTAAGATAGTCAGGGAGCAATATATTAAAATTAGGTAGAACATGAATTCATTTGGATTTAACTAAGAAAATCATTAAGCCTGTTTTGTTCTAGCTATTAGTCTTAAAACGTTCAATAATAGAACGTGCTAAAAATACAATATTTTAACCCATTGCTTCATGAGCATTTTGTGAAAAATGGCTGTTTTCATTGAAAAGTCTCCCGTTACAAGTTCAAATTGCTATAATACTATAAAAACTGCTTCAACACTAATCAAACTTGGCACAAATGTTGACTGGACCATTGTCCTTGCAACAACATGCTCAGGCTTAAATTTTCTGTTACCATGGCAACGAGGGGACATCTCAAAATTGCCAAAAATCACTATTTTGCGTTGATTTTTTCCATCAAAATTGATTTCAAAGTGCTGCAACTTCTCAATGGATTGAGATAGAGTCAAATGCTTTTCAGCGTTGGTTACACGTTACCTTATGATCAATCTGGGGTCATTTACAGCCTCTCACAAGTCCAAAATTTTCTTGGCGATGAGGGGGACTCCGCCCCCCTTCAAACCCCCCCAAACAGAAGGGGGCACATCCCCCTTCTGGCAACCCCCTGATGTATCTTTTGGTTGGGGGGCCGCGCCGAAAAAAGGGTCACTTTTTTTAACAACATTTCTAAAAAAAAACCAAGTGTTTGGGGCCTAAATAAGGCATTTTTTCATCATTTGAGACAACAAAATGGGGGGGGGGGTGAAAAAGGCGTTAAAAGGCGTGTATATGAAGTAATGGGTTAACAGAAAATGATGAAAATACTTGAAATTACCCTAAATCGCGTTTTTTCATGTTTAAACATGGCCTGTCATATAAATTTGAAGAAAAATTGTTGTTTTGTAGATTTTTTTATTTTTTTCATTAACCCATTGCTTCATGAGCATTTTGTGAAAAATGGCTGTTTTCATTGAAAAGTCTCCCGTTACAAGTTCAAATTGCTATAATACTATAAAAACTGCTTCAACATAGGGGTGTCATCGATTCAATCGATATCGGTGTATCAACGATCTTTGTTATCCGATTCGATATCGATTCCATTTTTTAAATATCGGATATCGAATGCACATATATTTTTAGCTAAAGAGACTTCAGCGAACAGGTTTTATAGAACTGACAGACCTGTTTACTGTCGCAAAACGTCAAAATAAAAGCGACATGTAAAGTTATGGATGCCAGAAACATTTTTTTTTCTAAAAATGAAAACGGAAATCAATGCCAAAGTTACCTCCCAGTGTTTTTAACGAATGCTGCCTAATTTCGTTGTAATCTCTCACGTCTGCTAAGTGGATGTCAATACCCCTCAATTCAGATTTTAAAAAGGGAAAATGCCAAGAAAAAATTGTCAGTGTTTCTTTGTAAAAATTATGATTACAAAATGTTAAACTTTAATAATTATTCAGGTTCTAAACACTACAATTTGCCAATTAAACCCGGCTTTATTAGAGCGGCAAGGACGGGATTTAGCATGATCAGTTACTACGTAATAGCAACAACAACAACAAAAGTAAAATGGAAAAGGCTTTAAACTTTATAGTTACTAGTCATTAGTTTTCATTTTTAGCTGTATAAAAAAAGAAACAAATTGTTCAGTTTTCATAGTTTATCTTTTTTGCATTTGTCTATATATAACTGCTTTGTCAGTGTCCTTAGGAAACATTTAAAAAGACTTGAAAGCTAAAATTTAACCTGGCAATCGATATATCGCTGTATCGCCGATAATTCATTACCAGGGCCAAAACACCATTTTTGGGGAAGGGGCCTCAGCCTTTTTCTTGGGGAAAATATCTGTGATTTTGGCGTACTTGGGGGAAAGGGGTCTCAAATTTAATACAAACTTTTAACAAGTTCTTCAAAATAGAAAAGCAAAAAGCACAGGGAAATACTAATAAGACAGTAAAGACCTTAATTCAACACCATCATTTAATTTTGTTCTAAATTCTATGGGAAATTTTAAAAGACTGGGGAATTTTGAGGACCAAAGTGGGGAAAAAAGAGGCTATTTTGGTTGGGAAGTAGCCTATATTCGGCCTCTACAAAGAAGGGTTTTTTGGCCCTGATTACCGATAGATCGATACAAAAATCCTTATCGATGACACCTCTACTTCAACACTAATCAAACTTGGCACAAATGTTGACTGGACCATTGTCCTTGCAACAACATGCTCAGGCTTAAATTTTCTGTTACCATGGCAACGAGGGGACATCTCAAAATTGCCAAAAATCACTATTTTGCGTTGATTTTTTCCATCAAAATTGATTTCAAAGTGCTGCAACTTCTCAATGGATTGAGATAGAGTCAAATGCTTTTCAGCATTGGTTACACGTTACCTTATGATCAATCTGGGGTCATTTACAGCCTCTCACAAGTCCAAAATTTTCTTGGCGATGAGGGGGACTCCGCCCCCCTTCAAACCCCCCCGAACAGAAGGGGCACATCCCCCTTCTGGCAACCCCCTGATGTATCTTTTGGTTTGGGGGCCGCGCCGAAAAAAGGGTCACTTTTTTTAACAACATTTCTCAAAAAAAACCAAGTGTTTGGGGCCTAAATAAGGCATTTTTTCATCATTTGAGACAACAAAATGGGGGGGGGGGGGGGTTAAAAAGGCGTTAAAAGGCGTGTATATGAAGTAATGGGTTAAGAAGATCAAAATTTTCTGATAATAATTCCTAAAATTTCAACACGTTTGGTCTACTAAAATAATAATAAGTTGGGATGTATCGCTTTCTTTGTAGAGGCAGACATTCCTAGACTAGGATATACAGATACCCAGGTCTGGTGTTTAGGATACACATCAAAATAATGATAATTATTTCAAAACATCTTGTTTTGAAATATCGAACTTAAACACTACTTTTCTTCGTGCATAAGTTTTAATATACAAGCATATTTCAATTTTGTCATGTAGAGGACAATTCTAACCATTACAAAAAAATGTAAAGAATAGTTATTACCATTCTAAAAAAAAAAGATAGCTCTATTTTGTCACTATAAAATAAAATTTTAAGGATAGTTCTAAAATAAATGTACAGGAATGAGACTAGTTCTTGAACTTTTAGGTCAATTTGTAAATACATGTATTACAAAATTTATAAAGTCAAATGGAAAATTAGTAAAAAAGACACCTTAAATAAAAGTTCTTCTTCTTTGGAAAATCATCAATATCAATATGCTGTAATTTAATTTCAATGTTTACAAAATGGGTATTTTCTTAATAGCTACAAGAAATCATTATCATGTCATTTTAAGGCAAGCATTGCTAACATTTCTTTTTGTATTGAAAACTTAAAAAAAGTCATACTTTTGCATGTTAAACAATTATGCTTTGGCCGAGTATCGTTTTAAAAGATTCTTCTCATTTTCTATTTCATATATTGAATCTGAAATGGAATTGTTTATAAATATTTTGAAGAACTGTTTTATTTTTACTAAAATATTTATTTTATTACTATAAAGATTTAAAAAAAAAATATTATGTGAAATATTATGATAATTGTATTCAGTATATAATTGTGTTTTACAGCATAGGAAGGCCTAAACATGTACGAGTTATGGCAGGAGCACTTGAGGGGGATATGTTTCTGGGACCAGAGGCAGAGGTAAATGACTGTAAAGTTTACTAAGGATTTATTCCAAACCTTACATAAAGCTATAAAATAATCAAGTTGGGTTTTATGTAATTAATAAATGTAACTGTGTGGTATACATATTTTGTGATTATATTTGCAGAGAAAATTTTTTCTGTTTTAGGATGAAATATGAAATATTCTAGAGGAGTGAGGGTGTTGAAATATCTTTTTGTCTCTCTTCTGATTTAAAAATAATGTGTGATTAGTAGACTAGTCTGTCACTTGCAGAGAAATTGTTTATTACCTAAAAATTATCCAAGAAAGCAGATTAGGTGCACTGACTGGAGAGATACAATTTAAAAAAATGTGTTAATCTGGCATAAAACCAGATAAGCAAACAAAACAAGTTAACATTCAGGTATTTTCTTTTCCTCCTGTCAGTTATTATGAGCAAACCATTAAAGTATGGAATATGTTTTTACTATATATTAACAAGAGCATAGATAGTTACTTTCAGGATGTTACCCTATGGAACATGTTTTTACTATATTTCAACAGGAGCATAGAGGGTTGTTGTCTATACGTTACCCTATGGAACATGGTATAGTGAAAGATTGGAATGATATGGAGAGGATCTGGCAATATATTTACTCAAAAGATCAATTACAAACATTTTCAGAAGAGGTACAATACTCATTCTGTATTTTTCTTTTGACTTAACTTTCCTATGGACCTAATTGTCCTATGCACTTGTTCTGATGTTACTAATATGCTTCAGAAATGCTATCATTCACAAAAAACTGTTTACCTTTTAGTATTTTGTTAGAGTTTCTAAAAAATACTCATTTGCTATATACGTCAACATTAAATATCTTTTGTATCTTGAACTCTTTTGGCAATTGGTATAATTAAAGTGAATTGATATTTTGTATGGAAGTCAAAATACTACTTTGTTTACATTTTCCTACCTTCACAAAATTTAACTGCATGTTCAGCGATATTTTTCTCAAGTATAAAACGTCTTACATGCTCATAATCCATTTTTATATGCCCGAAAGAATTTCGGACATATTATGTTATACCCCCTGGCGTCCGTCCGTCCGTCCGTCCGTCTGTTAGCAATTTGGTTTCCGGAGCATAACTTAAGTTCCATTTGGCCCACAATATTCAAACTTCATAGGAAGATTGTCCATATTGGGTAGAAGACCCCTATTGATTTTGGGGTCATAAGGTCAAAGGTCAAGGTCACTATGACCTTAAAACTGAAAACGTTAGCAATTTGGTTTCCGGAGCATAACTTAAGTTCCATTTGGCCTACAATATTCAAACTTCATAGGATGATTGTCCATATTGGGTAGAAGACCCCTATTGATTTTGGGGTCATAAGGTCAAAGGTCAAGGTCACTATGACCTTAAAACTGAAAACAGTTTCCGGAGCATAACTTAAGTTCCATTTGGCCTACAGTGTTCAAACTTCATAGGATGATTGTCCATATTGGGTAAAAGACCCCTATTGATTTTGGGGTCACAAGGTCAAAGGTCAAGGTCACTATGACCTTAAAACTGAAAACAGTTTCCGGAGCATAACTTAAGTTCCATTTGGCCCACAGTGTTCAAACTTCATAGGATGATTGTCCATATTGGGTAAAAGACCCCTATTGATTTTGGGGTCAAAGGTCAAGGTCACTATGACATTAAAACTGAAAACAGTTTCCGGAGCATAACTTAAGTTCCATTTGTCCTACAGTGTTCAAACTTCATAGGATGATTGTCCATATTTGGTAGAAGACCCCTATAGATTTTGGGGTCACAGGTCAAAGGTCAAGGTCACTATGACCTTAAAACTGAAAACAGTTTCCGGAGCATAACTTAAGTTCCATTTGGCCCACAGTGTTCAAACTTCATAGGATGATTGTCCATATTGGGTAGAAGACCCTTAGTGATTTTGGGGTCATAAGGTCAAAGGTCAAGGTCACTATGACCTTAAAACTGAAAACAGTTTCCGGAGCATAACTTAAGTTCCATTTGGCCTACAGTGTTCAAACTTCATAGGATGATTGTCCATATTGGGTAAAAGACCCCTATTGATTTTGGGGTCACAAGGTCAAAGGTCAAGGTCACTATGACCTTAAAACTGAAAACAGTTTCAGGAGCATAACTTAAGTTCCATTTGGCCCACAGTGTTCTAACTTCATAGGATGATTGTCCATATTGGGTAGAAGACCCCTATTGATTTTGGGGTCACAAGGTCAAAGGTCAAGGTCACTATTACTTAGAAATTGAAAACAGTTTCTTGAGCATGACTTTAGTTCCATTTAGCCCACAATATTCAAACTTTATAGGATGATTGTCCATATTGGGTAGAAGACCCCTATTGATTTTGGGGTCACAAGGTCAAGGTCACTATTACCTTAAAACTGAAAACAGTTTTCGGAATATAACTTAAGTATCATTTGGCCTACTGTGTTTAAACTTCATAGTATGATTGTCCATATTGGGTAAAAGACCCCTAATGATTTTGGGGTCACAAGGTCAAAGGTCAAGGTCACTTTTACCAGTTTCTGGGGCATAACTTAAAGTTCCATTTGGACCACAATATTGAAACTTCAAAGGAGGATTGTTATTTGAAGGAGGTAATACTTTATTTTAGTCCCATGTCTTACAAATGCTTCATCTTTACTAAAAAAAAAAAAAACACTTTCGGGCATATAATGCTCCGCCTAGCGGTGCTCTTGTTTTAAAATATTATTAAACACATGTTTGACATTTTTAAAGAATTGAAAGAAATATGAATATCTTAGGCATAATGTGCCTTTATTACAATGTATAATAAGCAGTAATTCTAGATCTTTCTACTTTTCCAAATAAAAGTCTTAAAATCATCAACAAATTTTCAAACTGTACAATGTTAGAAGAAAGTTAGAAAGACAAGTAGATCATATGTTTACAATAGTAACACTTGGGGATGCAGGCGATCAAATTATATGTTGGGGAAGTTTTGATTTTTTGGTAATTAGTCATTGAAAATTCAATTGTTAACGATGTCTTATATTTTTAGTTAAAAAATTGATTTTAAAAAAGTCTGATATTTTTAGTTAAAAAATTAATTTAAGTTGTTCGTAAACTGTTTCCTTATGTCTTTGTTATTCTTAGCCCTTATCTTTAGTGAGCTTAATACAATATTTATTTGTTTCTAGCATCCTGTATTATTGACAGAAGCCCCTTTAAATCCTAGAAAGAATCGAGAAAAGGCTGCAGAAATATTTTTTGAAACATTTAATGTTCCGGCATTGTTTATGTCAATGCAAGCTGTTCTAAGTTTGTAAGTATTTAAGATCATTTGTGTACTTGATGTTGAAGCATTATTCTATGTAAATGTCAAAAACATTATTATCGCATACTATGACATAGATTTTATATTTTGGTGGCTTTAACTAGGAGAAGTTATATCAAAGTCAATATCACGTAATTCAAAAGCTATAAATAACTTTAAATGGAACACTATTGACTTTTGAAACTTATACTTTATACGTTTAAAATATTTAAATAACTTAATCTAATCACTCTTAGTGTCATAATTTTATTATAATGCTTATCTATATTTCTATTTTTTAAATATATACCTCTGTTAAATGTTCATTTGATTAATTTATATTTACATATAAAACATTTGTTAAAATTAGTTCATGAAAATTAGTACCTGAAAATTACTTAAAACTGAAATTGATAATTATTTGATATCACACAAATTTATTCAAATAGTATAAACTTATTTCTGACTAACCTCAGGGAAGGGCCCACGATAATGTTGTTAGAACTTTTGGCCCAACCCTTTTGTATGTACACTTGATTATGTCTGTAAAATTATTTAATTGTATATTGTGTGTATATTTATACAATAAAATATTATTAAACTAAGAAGTTATATCATAGAGTATCTCTAATATTAAATCCTCATGAATAATATTGTGAATCGAAATAAAATGTTCCTCTATAAAATATTCCAGTGCTATTTTAGTAAGTTGAGCAATCTTTTAGCACATTATTTTATTGAAAATTGACAAGTTAGGTGCTTTAGTTTGATTTTCATCAATATACTATATATTATATTCTTCTAGTTAGAGGCAGCTTAATGTAGCTTTAAATATTTCCTTTGAATATAGAGAAATTCATACTCTACTCAAAGCTTTTTATACTTCCTTGTTGCCTCAAAGATTTTGCGTGCTGGTCATCTGTACTGTTGATCTGAGTGGTTAAGGTTGTTGACTTTGTATCAAAATCCAGCTGGGATCTATGTCAATTCTTTCCTGCAAGGAAGTTATCAATAAAAGTTACAGAAGATCAATGGTTCTTCTGAGAATCTGTAGTGCCCACACTTGCCTGAAATAATGCCTAGTTGTGTGTTTTGGTTTTCAGTAACAGTGTGACATAAAACCCAACTGAAACTGTGTTACTAAGAATAAGCAAAATGTAAAAGTTAATGATTGATTTTTTTGCCTTTCTGAGGCAAATGAATTTACCCATGCAACCACTACAGACCAAGATCACCTAGCACATTTGTGCCGTCTGATCATGATTTTCATTTTCCACTATTCAGCCAGTACTTATTTTGATAGTTTCCCTAAATATGAATAAATGGTTTTATTCAAATTGAACAATGGACAAGTCCATTTATGATATATGGTAAAATACGTCTTTGCTGATTATGTTTATATAGGTACGCAACTGGTCGTACAACAGGTGTAGTGTTAGATGTAGGAGATGGAGTGGCACATGCGGTACCTATATACGAGGGTTTTGCCATGCCCCACAGTGTAATGCGTGTAGATATTGCTGGTAGAGATGTTACGAGATATCTTAGATTACTTCTACGTAAAGAAGGCTATGATTTACACACATCAGCGGAATTAGAAATAGTTAGAACCATAAAAGAGGTGAGTTACGAAAAATTGTACTGTCTCAACTTCACATGTTAACACTTCAAGGATTTCTTTATTTAAAAGTAGGACTGCCATTGAATATAGCAATAACGATATTCATCATCCGATACAATATTGATGCACACTTTCAAAAATTGATACTAGCTAAGATTTATTTATTTCTGTTAGTGAATATACCTCTCAATTTTTGCATCATAAGAAAGTCTCTTTTTTCAGTTTTCTTCGCTAAAAGGAACTTTAAACTCCATTTTCAAATGTCAGTGACAAAAATAACAGGAAAAAAACAACTTTCTGTTAGTTTGTATTATTATTTGTAATGTCTAATACACGCATGCATAAGGCCATGATCCCAATTTATAACGCATATTTAAATGTTTTTCATTGTATCTACTGTCAAAGTCAATACATCGATGTATGGTGGATATTTGTCTCTCGATATATCAATACAAAATTTTCCATCAAAGACAGCTCTATATAAAAGCTAGTGATTACCCAGATGTGAAAGGTTGCTGATTCCAAATGTAAAACATCACCACTGTAGGTTATTTGAGCCGCGCCATGACAAAACCAACATAGTGCGTTTGCGACCAGCATGGATCCAGACCAGCCTGTGCATCCGCGCAGTGTGATCAGGATCCATGCTGTTCGCTTACCAACTCTATTACAAGTAAAGAAACTGATAGGGAACAGCATGGATCCTGATCAGACTGTGCGGAAGCGCAGGCTGGTCTGGATCCATGCTGTTTGCAAACCCAGTATGTTGGTTTTGTCTTGACGAGGCTCATATGTAAAATCTTCTGGACATCATGCCAGTTTACAGAAAATGTTTAATTCTACTCAGCTTTGTGCTTGACTGTAACTTGCTGACCAGGAATTTTAATTATATAAGTATACTTAATCATAATTCTCCCCTTGATCTGTATATTTTATCTTGATAACATTATTTTCAGTGTCTTCAAGATATTTTTAACCTTTTACTGTAAAGATAAATGAATTTATGATTTGAAATAAATTACTTTATAGAAAAAAAAAACATCGACTGGGATTTTTTTCCATGATTTTGGAACATGACCTATACCCATGGAATTGGGAATTTCAGTGATGTCCTGTTAAAAAAGAATTGGTAAAAAAATACATGACTTAAATTTTGCAGAGATTAAATGAATGCAAAGAGTTACTGTCTAGAATGGCATCTTCAAACATTTAAGCACTATATCAGTTAAGAAGCCCTTATTCAATATTTTTATATTGTAAATTTCAATTGGGATTTTTTCCTGTGAATTGGGAAAATAATATACTAATTTCATTTGGGAATATGACTAATTATTGGCTATAAAATAAGCTAAAAAGTCCCTGATTGAAAAACTAATAAGGAATCAAAGTATAAAAAAGTCATAGAAAATTTCTGCTTTTTAAAAGACATTGAAATCTGTAAAATTCTTGATGAGTAATAAAACATTTCAATGAATATATCATTTCATATTTTAACATTTGCAGAAAGCTTGTTATTTATCAATAAATCCTATGAAGGAAGAATCGATGGAAATAGAAAAGGCCCCATATACATTACCTGATGGTAGTAGTATAGAGGTAAGAAATAATGTTATTATGATTATATGTCCATCTTACTTCTTAGGCTTGTTCAATTCTGGCATGTGCCAGAGCTATTTTTGGCATTTTCTTAAACTTTTTCATAGTTTTAACTTCTACTGTCCATAATGTTAACCCTTACCGTCCATGATTTTAATCTTTACTGTACATGGTGGATACTTACAGTCCATGGTTTGATATTAAATGTTCATATATCAAATCCTTACTTTCCATTATATTATCATATTTATAGATCGGACCTGCCCGTTACCGAGCACCAGAGTTGTTATTCAGACCAGATCTGATAGGAGAGGAATGTGAAGGGATACATGAGGTGTTAACATACTCTATACAGAAATCAGACATTGATCTAAGAAGAACTTTGTTTTCTAATATAGTCCTTTCTGGAGGATCTACTCTTTTCAAAGGTAAGTCAGTGGAGTATCATGATCTGCCTTTCTTACCAATCTTGCTTACCAGTTTTTCTTACCAGTCTTTCTTACCAGTTTTTCTTACCCGTCTTTCTTACCATTCCCTTTTACCGGTCTTTCTATTACAGCAAGATCTATACAGTTGTTAAGTTGCTTGGCTCTGTGGTAAGAAGTCATGAGTTAAAAACTTTTTCACTTTGACTGTATTTATTGGACATGTTCTGCATTTTTCCTGTCTATTTTTAATGTCCCGAATTCAATGAAATGCTCAGAAAATGACTAAATAACAGAACAGACTCCAGGCAAGATTTACATAGGCATTTTACAAATATTAATCAGACAAATGTTATTGGACAGTTGCCGTTACAGTTGCATCATGTCTTGATAAAAGTGTTTAACAAGTAAGAAATTTTCTTTAGAAAGCCATTGTTAATCCAGATATTAACAGTTGATTGATGCCTCGCTTCAAAATATCTATGAATATACATTGTATTTTACATTATTACATGTACATGATAATTTATATAAGGTTTATATATTTTCAAGTTGAATTTTTGGTTTCTAAGTTTTGGAAATATTTCATTTATCATTGTACATTACAGGTTTTGGTGACAGATTACTAAGTGAAGTGAAAAAGTTAGCACCAAAGGATATTAAAATAAGAGTAAGCCTATTTAGTATTTTATCTTTAAGATTTGGCAGGAAACATTTACAAACATTATGCAAATATTGATAGATAATAACACAATAATGATGAACTGTAGTTCCTTAAAAATGGTTGATATCTATTTTTGTTTTGGGTTTTAACTTTTAACAGTTACACCTTTGCTTTATAATAGTGATATACCAATGTTTAGGAAAGAAAAAAAAGGAACCAATTTTGAAATGTTAAAGACAATTACATGAAGGTTTTAAGATTATTTTAACCTGAGGTTATACTTCAACATTTAAAATTAAAACACTTGAATAGATAGACATTATTTGGAAATTGTAACAACATACCAAAACTAAAAAAAAAAAAATGATGGGATTTATGAGGCCTTTTACCTCTAGTCATTATGTAATTTCTTTTAACTTTATAGATATCAGCACCACAAGAAAGATTGTATTCAACATGGATTGGGTATGTGTTAAAAAAGCATTCTCTTTTAAAGTGACATTATCCTTCTTTTTTTGCTTTCAATTTAATTGAGTTAGTAATACATTTCATAAGATTGGCTATTATAAATGGTGATTGACCAATAATTGAAAATGAAAAGAGTTTATGATACAATATAAAACAACCTAAATTAAAAATAGCCTGCCCCACTCTTTTTAGAAATTGAGCGATACGTTCCGAAAGATATTTATAGAAATTTCTGTTGGTCGCATGGATTCTTGATGGTTTGACAGTTGAGCAATTTTAGTTTGACAGTTAAGTTTTTTTAGTTTGACAGTTAACTAATTTGTATAGTTTGACTGTTAAGTAATAAATAAAATCAAAACTTTGTTTTTTTCTTTTCAGGGGATCAATTTTAGCTTCACTGGATACATTTAAGAAAATGTGGGTTTCTAAACGTGAATATAACGAGGAAGGTGTGAAAGCACTACACAGAAAGACATTCTAGCATCTGCACATCATTAGCTTGTGTAACCATGTGACTGCCGCCGATTAAAATACCAAACATAGTCATCTAAATTATTTTTACTTTTTTTGTTCTCGTTTTTTTTTTTAAAATGGGTATTTAAAGGATAAAGGGCTTAAATTTTTTTTATCTTTGTATCCATATAGTTGATAGTGCTGGTGAAAAGTGAGGAAGAAGGAGAAGGTGAAGAGTTGATCAAAGACATTGTTTCAGGTGGTTTAAGATTTTGTTCGCATTTTTATGTTAGGTCTATTGTTATTATGTTAAGTTGTACTTCTGCTGTTAGCTGGGTCAGAATTTTTACAAGAGATGGCATAAAGACTAACATTGATTGCTTGTAGAAAAAGTACCACATGCATAGAGTTGTGTTGACACTTTAAATAAAGAAATTCTCTGAACATAAGCTATGACTGAATATATAGTAATGCAAGTGCTGCTTTCAAATATGATTGGAAAATCAGTATAGAAAAATGCATTTCAGAAAAGTCTTTATTTGTTTTTCAAAAATATATGCCATTTTTTTTTCTAATTATGACAGAATGTTTTTTGAATATCAGTCTTATTTGAGCATCTAAAATAACAACAATGGTCTTAATTCATAAATGCATATCTTATATGCATATATTAAATGATATCAAATATTGTTGTATTAAATTGTAGATGCAGATTTTCAACCAGCAATGTGTTTTGTTGATGTTTTTTTTTCCAATATTTTATACTGCCAGTTACATTTTCTTTGTAAAAGATTATTAAAGAGGGATTTTCATACATACGGTGTTCAAATATATAGACTTTTATGTTCTTTTGTTCTATTTTAAAATCATAACTTACAAATCATGCTTTAGATATATTAATAGGAACATGTCAAGGTGTTTTAGTAAACATTTTTTTAAATTACACCATTTATGTTCTTGCCTTAAAAGTTATTATTTGCAAATTTTTACTCTTTTTTTTTCTATTGGTGAAAAGAATATATATATAAATATATAACAGTATGTATAGATTTAAGATATTTATCTTATCAGATAGTGTTGTTATTAAAAAATGGTATCTGATTTAATATTTTTACTTATTGTGAAATTTCAAGGTGGTGCAGGATTTAATTCAAGTCCTACTGCATTTACACATCTGTAAGACAGAACGCTTTTAAGATAAGATCAAAGTTTGGCTTATAAGTCAGAAGTATTTTACTATACTGAATGGTAATTTAAAGTTCCTTTGGCCTGCTAATAAGTTGAAGTGTATGGTAGACCTTAAATTTAAAGGAACTTCACTGAGGTCCAATAGCCTGAAAAAATAAAATTAAAAGTTCTTTCTTAAATCAATTGGTACATTTAAAGTTGAAAACCAAGCAATAGATAACATTTAAATAAAAAGGGTATTAAATTGATAATCAATTTTTATGCGATTTTTTGTCGATTTGAGTGAAAAGTGTTGCAAAGGTTTTCATTTTTAGAAATAAAAATTACTATTTCTGGGAAACGGAGTGAGCGAATGATCTGAAATGTTGTACACAAGCTGTTGTTCCAGACATACATCTAGTTATAGAGAAATCTTTAAAAAATATGTTCGGTTCCATCATGTCAAAAAACCTTAGTGGAGTCCCTTTAATTAAAAAAAAAGAAATTGAATTTAAGTAGAAAAAATCTGTCATATGGATGGGTAGATATAGTAATTTTACAAAGAGAAGCGAGTCAAGTGCAATATAATACCAGGAATCATCAATGTGCTACGTCCATACCTATAATCTTGATACATTTCAGCGTAAGATCTTTCTGTGCATGGGAGGTATTTATTTGTTTAGTGCAAGGGAGGTAATTCAACTGAGTATTTTCCTTTCAAAGGGACGTTACTCTGATTTCAGTGTTAGATCCTCTGTGCATGAGGCTGTGCAAGAGAGGTAACAGAGTATTTTCCTTTGGAAGGGACATGACTCTGATTTCTGTGTGCATGGGAGGGTATTACTTGTTCAGTGTAAGGGTGGTAACTCAACTGAGTATTTTCCTTTCAAAGGGAGGTTACTCTGGAATGTAACATTCTCTAGATTGTTATATATTTTCATCTTGTTTGAGAGATTGTTATGAAAGTTCATTTTGTGTTTAAAATTTAAGAGCAATTTTAATAATCAATTCCAGGTTTCTATGTATGATTTTGAGAAATAGTTGAGGTTTTCAAATTTAATGTTGATAACAAACCTAGATATAATTTGACTTTCAAATACACATATATACTTAGTACAATATTTTCAAAAAGGGCAGACAAAATGTAGTTTGTATAGCATATAGGTACAAGAATATTTTATCTTTATTTTGAATTTTTAGTATATTTCCAATATGTTTTTTGTTTTCAAAATTTTTGATTTTCCTTTGTGAAGCATGTCTCGACTGTGTTATGGTGAATAAAGGATTTCAATTAATAGCTACAATTATTTTTCACATAATGTACATGTACAAGCTAATCGTAAGGCCATGATATTGAAACAGAATCTTCATTAGAAAAAAAATCTTTATTTCTGGTCAGAATATCTTTGGTTGCCATGACAATGTACATGTAACAAAAGTCTGAAAATTGTTTTTTTTACCCAGATAAGATAAACATGTTATGCATTTATGATATAATGTATATTAATTATTTGATGAAGTATTATTACTGATTATTTTGATGATAACAATTAATATTAATATTTACAATCATTCAATTGTCCTTGATACACAATGAATGATAAAGTATATCTTTCCCTGATACAATAAAATATCTCATTGGCTAACCAAACTGTTAAAACTTTTGAATTATGATTGTATATGAGTGAAGAAAGAATGTTCAGAATGACTGGTTTGAGAATTAAAACACCCACACAATTTTCATAGCAACTTTGATTCTTTTAGAAGCAGACATTAATCTATAAGAAGAATTTTTTTTAATATTAGCAAAATTTTGTGTAGTGGTGGACACTTATTTTCCTTTATTTATTATCACTGAAGTTGTTTATAATTATCTTATCTGCATTTATAAGTTATCTCCTCAAAACAGTATTTGCTGATATGAGATAATGAACAATAAATTAGTACAGAAGTCTCAAAATTAGGTACATGTAAAACAAATGTTTATAAGGAAATACTATATACATGTACATGTATATTAGACACATAGGTGAAAATAAAGGAAAGATGGGATTCTGAAAGAGTGTACTAATTAACTTAAAGTAAGTATGTTAGTCAACAGACATGATTATTTTATCTTAGCAGTGATTTTCCTACCTATATAACAGACTCTGATAAAAGGTCTCTTCCAAACATAAATTTTCTGTAAAATCTGAACTTAAACCTGCTTTTTTACTTCCCAAATTAGCAATTTTAGTGATAATTTTTCCCAAAATCAAGTGGATAAGGCCATTTTTCCCAATTAAGTGAGAAAAATCACTGCTTAGGTATTGTATTGAATTTGGAAATTTTAATATTTATAAGATCTTTGAAAATGAATTTCTAAAGAATGTTATGTTTTTTGTTTGATAAAATACTAAAGTTCAAGTATAAAGGGTTTGATTTTCAATTTTACTGTGATTATAAGCAGTTTATACTTTTCCTTTGAATAATATTTGCTTAACAGATGAATATTTTTATGAAAAAAGGGAAATGAAAGCTTTAAGTTAAAAGATTTGAGAAAGCGAAATTATTTATTATTATTTTATTTATAAATAAGGGGGACCTACATGTCTTTTAATCCATGACAATTTTGTTAGTGTGCAAAAGTCATGTAAGATGTTTTATGCAATAGAATACAATTAAATTTTTCAATGACATAAAAGTAAATCAAATCTAACTGTAAAATTTCCACAACATAAAAAGTTTGAACAAATAGAAATATGTAGTGCATCAAAATCGCACCAGATTATATAATTATGGCCACTCATGGATATATTTGACCTCTGTGACTGGACTGGTTTATGTGTTTAGGAAGCTGTCCAGCTACTTACCTTGTACGTGAGTGCCTCTATGTGCCTGAGTTTATGCACAATAAGTTTAAATGGGCTTCCTTCAAAGCTGGAAAGTTGCCACACGATGGTGACAAAGTGAGTGTGACATAAAATCCAACAAAAAAGTGATATTAAAACAATGTATTGTCGTGTTCTTTATATATTGTTGAATAATGGAAATATATGAATGCCAGATGTCATAACAATGTTTATGTGAAAGAAATACCAGCATTTTACATCTTCAAAGTGTTCATTTTACTGTATTTCAACCCTTAATATGAATATTATATTTGTGTCAGTTAAATATAGAACCTTTAACAGATTTTAGTCAGATTTGTAAGAATATATAATTTGAGTGGTCCAATTTCCAATCCATGTTAGATAAGTAATGAGATGACAGTATTTTAAAAGACATTACAACTTGAAAATTGTGTCATTTTCTTTGGTCAAAATGTGCCCCAAAATGAATAGTTATATGGGTAAATAAATAAATGATTTGTTACTGTATAAGAAGAACCATAATGGCATTATTATGCATTTACTATGAATTTATACAAAGTATGAGTGTTCAGTAGATTTAAGATTGTTTAGTAGATTTTTGAAATAATACATTGTAATTTACAAATATACTATTATCTAAACAAGTAACAGGTTTTTTCTCTCACCCAGTTTCTTGCACACAACAAGGAGATCACAAAGCTGTTTGTTTTTTCTTTCTCGTTTAGAAATATTATGAAATAAGTAGTTAAAGCAATCTTGTATATATATTTCTGTACATGTATTTATGTTGGTGTCGTGATCCAGTATTTTGATTGTAAGCTTAAACCATAAATCATAAAAATATGGAAAACGTTAGTCTTGTGTTATTTTCCCACCTGCAGAGTTACTGGAAAATGATATTCGTGTGGTATGGTATTTTCCCACTCGCATAGTTACTTGAAAATGTTAGTTGTGTGTTATTTTCCCACTTGCGTAGTTACTGGAAAACCCTAGTCTTGTGTTATTTTCCCACCTGCATAGTTACTTGAAAATGTTAGTCGTGTGTTATTTTCCCACTTGCTTTAAAGTTACTGGAAAACGCTGGTCTTGTGTTATTTTCCCTCCTGCGTAGTAACTGGAAAATGTTAGTTGTGCGTTATTTTCCCACTTATGTAATTACTGGAGAACATACGTCTTTTGTTATTTTCCCTTCTGCGTAGTTACTTAATCATTAAATTACTAATCCTTAGTCTTGTGTCCAAGTTCTCAAAAGTATATAAAGCTATATATCTGCTGCAAAAAAGTTGTTTGAATTTCGAAAAAAGGAATATTTCTAAAATGCTTGTATGAAAGTAATATGGCAGTAAATTACCTTAAAAGTGAATTGAGCATGTGCAAAATCATTGCTAAATGAATAAAACCCAAATTGCTAAATGGATAAAACCCCACTCAAAATAGCAAAATAATATTTTATTCCAGAATATTTTAATCTAATTCATCTTTGTTAAATAACAGAGACATTCTATTTTTCAACTCTTTCCAGAACTGACCATAAGATTATGGAAACAACATAAATTGTGCTGTTGTCATAAATGTCATAAAATATAGCTTTAGGGCTAAATGTTTCAGAATACAAAAAGATAAGAAAAAAAGCTGAACAAACAGACCAACAATGCAACACAAGTGGCACATGTATTGACTTATATATTACAAGTGCAAACCCTGTGTACATATATATTGACCCATAACAACTTTATGATAGTATTAAGTTACCTATAATTTTGAAATTCTATACATGTAACTATTGCTCAATACTGTATAATTATTTTAGTGCTAGTGTTTGCATTCAAATGATTGGGAATCAGTATTACATTCAAGCGTATTTTGGAGTAAAGGTGGCTATCACTTGTACAGAAGTTCTTGATAATACAATATCAAGTCTGAATTTATGGCGGAATTGTGTCCTGCTTAGATCAACAAAAATTCGAGAAGTAGCATGAAAATCTATGTGTGTCTTTATATATAAACCACTCTAACAAATAAAAATCGAGGAGTTAAAAGACCAGTGGAAAACAGATTAACAAAAAGGAATGGTAAAGACAATACCAAAAGAAAGGTGAAAAGCTGTCGTTGTTATAATCAAATAGTTTCAAGTTTAACTAACACCGTGAGTCCCATTTCATGAAGAAAACAAGTGAAGTTTTATCAGAAAATCCAAAATTACATAGTCACAGATATTATTATGTAAATACTCTAGCTAAGCTTTTAGGCTTTTATGATGCTTTGTCATTTGAAGGCCACAGATTTTATTTGTCCTTTAAGAAAATTGAAAGCTTGGCATATCAGATCTTTAATTATAAAGTTGCCAGGAAGAACATCAATATTAGAACTGCCAGAACTATACATCAACAGAATGATGGTTTCTTATAATTTTATATCACTATATGTAAAAATAGTTTATTTTCATGAAAAAAAATATGCAAGATAAATTTGTGTTTTTAATGCAAACCTTGGATCTTAAATTCGATTATAATATCTTAAAATATTAATAAATCTAATCAATTATTTAAAACTGCAATAATGTGTATATCCATTTTTCTAACTGTGAGTGGGCGAGATATATCTGCCTTATGTTTAAATGAAACAGATATGGACCTTTCTGGTTTTTCATAGCGGAACATATAGCCACACCTTTTCCATTCATTGCTAGGTCAACTGATCACAAACAGTATCACAAACAAAACCATGTGTTCTTATGTGCAAACCAGGCCTACCAGTGGGATTTATAATCTCAGTGTAGCAATTGGATAACAAGTTAGCCAATTTACATAAAACTGTAAACACTGGAAAGGTCCATTGTGTGACTTTGTTTGTTAAATTATGGGAAAAAAACCAACTAATGTCTTTATCTAGATGTGTTTTTATCAGAGAAATGACTGTATTTCAATTATAATTCATTGAACCTACATAAATCTGAAGCAAAAAAAACCCCTCCAAATGTTATCTGAGACCAGGGTCTTTCAAATTTTATTAAAAAGACCCTGCTGAGACCATATTGCTCAAAAAGTGGTGATGAAAGTACCATAAAAGCAGTGTTTTGCTGTTAACCCATTACTTCAAAGACAATTAGCATGATTTGTGACAGGTTATAAATAATCCATTGTCAGTTTATCTGCACTGTGTGGATAACAGTGTATTGTGGTTTCATACAGCTCACAGTCCGATAGGTTACGGAATTTAGACAGTGCATAAACTAATTTCATAACGTGCTAAACTTACACGACACCTTAAAAAGGGGAATTTTGTTTCATTTTGTTTTGTTTTTAGTTTGGGAAATTTTAATTTATAAATCAGAGAGACTCAAGGCATGCAAATGCATTGACAACTATTGAAACGTAATCTTGTTTCTATTTTATTTTACAAAAGGGAATATTTTTCACCTCTATTTCCATTGCACAAAGCGTTAACAATAAATCAGATAAATGTTTTTTTTTGTTGTTGTTTTTTTTTTAATACAAATAAAATTAATTTCATGTGGTCAGGGCAAAAACATGACATCAGTTACTTACCTTATTATACCACAAATTTCTGAAAATGCGTGTGTTAATAACAATTAACAACTATTTACTTATTTTTGCAAACGATTCCTACTCCTTGTAAATTTAACTACAGGAGATTGACATTGAGACTATCAATAATTGAAAAATATATTAAGCAAATAATTAAAAAATAACGTCAGCACATGGAGTGCCAGACAAAATATTTTGTTGACGTTTGAGTAAATATTGCCAATTTTTTATTATACAATGCTTTGAATCAAAATATCAGCGGTTGTAAAAGGAATTATTTTGTATTGTGTATCCAAATTGCTAAACAAGATTGTTGACATTGATTTTTCACATGTGTAATTAGATAAAATGTGTATCGAGTGTGCAAAATGCGTTGCATTCCTTGTGTTTATTTAATGTATAGAGGGGTATATTTGCCGTTATTTTTTAATTATTTGCTTATAGAAGGTCAATTTCCTGTGATTTAACCCAAGATATGAAAAAAGGCAAAGCTTCTAAGCGAGCTCGATTTAATTTAAAAAATAATTGTTCATTTTTATTTTACATTTTCCGTTTCAAAATAGTCATTCGGCATTTTATACACTGCTTCCGTTCATGCTGGTTAAGGGCTGGCAAAATCAATTTTCCGTATTGCCCAGGTTGTCCCACAGCCAACGGACAAGTGAAAATTGTCAAGAATAATCTATGTAAATATCATACAGACAAGTTAAAAAATGCTTCACATAAAAACGGACAAGTAAGTCAAAATCAGATTTTGCCGGCCCTGCTGAGTGGTTCCCTGTCCTATTATAATTCCGATTTAAGTCATTAAGTGCGCAGAACACCAGTCTACGCTTCTGTTTTCAATCAGAATACTTCAGTTTTTATCCTTATCTTGTAATTTGAAAAGTTGCTATGTGTCAATTCACTACTTCAGACGAAAGTTTTCAAAACCATCATTATCTAGCAGGTACTGGTGTTACCGTAAAGCTCACTTTGTGAGCAGGCTAGCTAGAGCAGGCCCTCACTAATATGTTACGTTTGGCTTGTAAAGATTGCTATATAAAAGCAGAATTTGCGATTTGTGTGGTGAAAACAATCATAAATAACATATATAATGGTAATATATTATTTCAGAGCCAGTTATGAGTACAAGGGAACAGGGTGAGGTGTTGATAGATCAAAACAGGAATTTGTTAACACCAAATTGGAGGCAGTGCTCATCTTCAGCTTTCACAAGTAAGTAGCAGAGCGATGACCTTGTGGTTAACATTTCTGCCTCACAGTTAATTATTATAGGTTTAAGCCATTTCTGGGATCACAATCTTAATTAAGTTGATATACATGATATTAAAGTTTTAAACTAAGAAAGAAAACATCTGTACATGTATTTATTTTGGTTTTAATTATATTAGCAGTTTACTAACCAGTGTTCTGCAATAAAAAAAAAATTGACTTGATTAATTAATGACAGTGAATTGTTTTAGTGAGAATCTGTATTGTAATATTATCAATAATAAGCTGATTTTTGAAATTTATAAATAAATTAAATAACAAAAGTAGATAATTATAACACAAATTCAATTCTAGTCCTATTTTCATGTTTAATTTCAAAAACTGTCATCAAATTTGAAATTTACAAATGCTTTTCTTGTGCTATGTAAAAAGTATTTAAATATGGTTATTAAGTGCTTCTTTGGTTAGGTTAGATAACTTTCTCTGCTAGAGGAACTTGATACTAATCAAACATCAGTTCTTGTATTATAAGTGCAGTTTAGAATGTGATATATATTTGAAACAGGTGCAGATTATATGGCCCAGTCTGACAAGGTGTCTCATCATTTCCAGCAGATTCCAGCCAATGAAAATACTCAACAAAAGTTCAAAGTTCCTTCAATTAACGGCCTCCCAACTAATGCGGGAGATTCTGGTATGTATAAGTGATGATCTTAAAAGTTTTTTTCACTGCATGTATAACTTACTGTGTTGAATCTTTTCAACAATTAAAGTGTTTCAACACATGAACAAATGTATTTATTATGTCAAGTTTGCCTAATATTTAACATGAGGTAAAATTAAAACTTAAAATATACCAGGGACATAAGTGGCAACATGGCAGAGTGGTTTACAGACTGGTATTATCTAATGATTGCTAGCCACATGGGTTCAAACCTCTTCAGGAGCAAGTCGTTGTTTCCTTGAGCAAGACACTTAACACTCATTGCTCAGTACTGGCTGGTTTCAGGAATGGAGCCAAGAGTGTGTAGTGGGTAAACTTTGTAAACTATTGTATTTGATATTGAAAAACTTATGTATGGACTTGCTTCCTTTGCTTTATCTTGTGGATTGATATGTTTTTTGTCTGGTTTTTTTGTTGTTGCTTTTTTCAGTTTAATCTGATTTCTGGAACCTTTCAGTTTTTATATAATTACATGTTTAAAAGAAAAACAAAAGCTGTAACCAGACCTTTCAAATTGTTCAAAATGAATATTTTTAGTTTAATTTGTAATAATGACATACAATATACTGTACATATTTGTATGTATAAAGTATTACCTGGTAGGTCTAGTGATTTGATTGATCAGAGGCAATTAGAATCTATTATAAATAATGAGAAATTAATAGGATAAATTGTTTAAAGATATACAATACCCATCTTTGGGTTAGATACTTTTAATGCAGTGTTTATTGAAATCTAAGAAATTCATACTGAATATGTCTAATTTGAATAAATGAAATGCACAATTTATGTCTGGGAAGCTGCATTCTCTATATTACTGGTCAAGTTCATTTGGTCCTTTCCTGAAAAACACCATTGTCTAATTACACTATGTATTCATTTTGTGTTTAACTATAGTGTGTGCAGTTTAAAACCTAACATATCTTCTCTGTGTGTACCCAAGAGATTTTATTTTACATTTATAAAGAAAATTTATAGCAATTAACTCATTACTGTGTTATCAAATTTTGTAACACAATGCATGGTTTTTCTTAAAGGAGAACAGATGTTGACTAAGTTAAAGGAACACCCAACTGAGAATGCAGACAGAGAGAGTGTTAGTCCAAAGAAAATAGTTCCAAGTAATACAGGTATTTACTGCTACAGTCCTTATATATTTAACATATTTGTCTTTTATATTTTAACATTTTTCTCCATGGTGCATATAATGGTCTCATTGGCCTCCCGTGCATCAAAATATTTTACATCACAAAAATCGACTTGCATACATATTAGTATCTCAGTGAATTACTGAATACAAAATTTATAGGTCTCTGTTTGGTTGATAATAACATCTAAGGACATGAATGGTGGCATGTCTGGGGTCCGTTCTCTCAGTGCCTGAAAGGGCGGATGGACCCTCATTAAGCCTAGAAGACATACTTTATATTTTAGTCAAGTTTACCTTATTTATTAATCTGTAAGACTGAATGTAAAACAATAAACATGTAATACAAATGTCCTAAGTTTCATATCACAAGATCTATATTGAAAATCTAAAAAAAACTCCAATACAAAGTTAAATACATGTATAAACATGTATATCTGGATACTAAGACATGTGGCATTCTCACTGTGTTTCAGAGTTCTACAGTTAAAGATACTATAACTTAAATTTGTTATGGTTTTATATTATAAATACAATTTTTGTATCATAAGTATGATGCTCAAATGGAGATTGATTAAATTTGTAAGTTTCAAAAAGCATTATTTGTAAAGATATAATCAAATTTACATTTCATGTAAATAAAGGGGGGTAATTAGAAATTTATTTTTCGATAAAGTCTAAGCCAAATTTTTCAATAAGAAATGGATGCATATTTTTTAAGGATTACTAATAATACGTTTAAAACATTTGCAAGTACATATTTAACATAATCTTGGATGTTTGGAAAAATGATTTAGAAGAATAATTATATACATATATCAAATTTCACTGAAGTTTGATTACAATCTTAATTACAAAATACAGGATCTTTAACACCTTTGATGCTCTACTTATATATTTGGTATATTACAGAGGGACAAGGAGATGAGTTGATATGTGAGAATGATCCAGATGAGCAACAAGGTAAGGCCAAAACAATGATAGTTATGTCTCTCAATCTATGCACTTGATTTAAGTGCTGACCTTAGGGCTAGACTTTTATTTTTCTGCTTTTTCATAGTTAAACATTCTACTCACATCTACAGGTACATAAAATCACTAATTTCACATTGTAAATAATTTTATTCAACTTGTTCAATAGATCAGTATTGAACCTACACTCATTCGATATCCTCTATCTATTACATTCAGAGTTAGTAAGCAGGGAGACAATACAGAAGCGTGTATGTTTAGTGAAGTTGTATGCCTGGATCAAAGAGGAAATGTCGAAAACAGCTGCCAGATCTATAGCTAGTCATCTATACCAGAGTGAACATAAACTGTTGTCTCGATGTGACCATGAGAGTATATTACACTGTTCCTGGAGAAGAGAGGCTGTAGAACAGTTACTGAAAAAGGTACATGCATGTCACCTGTCCCCTGATTGTTATGTAATTATCCCCTGTCAAAGACAGAGGGAGCGGCATTTTGCCGAGTGGTAATGGTTGTTGACATCAAACCACTTTCATTCACCACTGCGGCAGGATCTTGGGATTCTTTCATGTGAGGATGCTTTAACTAGCTTAAGAAATGTGGATGGTTCTACTCAGGTGCCAGTTCATGTCTGAAATAACCCCTGAAGGGCACATAAGGTTTTCCTCCACCATTAAAGCTGGAAAGTGACAATATGACCTTATACTCTTGGTGCTAGGTAAAACCCAACAAAAAAAAGTAACTAGAGGGAAATAAACTTTGCATTGCCCCTTAGCTGACCGTCCACCTGTCTGTCCCGCATCTATCATGGAATTGAATAAAACATAAAATTTCAGAAATACGCACCAGCCCAACAGTAAAAATTGAATAGATATATACTGGAACTAGTATAAATTCCCAGTTTATTTGTGAAAATTGCAACAACAAAAAAAGAAACTACAGTCTACTCCACTTATAACGAGATCGATTTTAATGAGGTACCGCTTATAATGTACATTCTTTTGTGTCCCAGCCTTTTTCCTTCTATTTTCCTTTCATTTTACATCGTTTATAACGAGATCGGTTTTAGCGAGATATCGGTTACAACATACAAGTATTCGCCGTCCCTTGCGTATTTTTTCAGAATTTTAGTGAGGTCACTTATTGGCACTTTGTCTGCATCAGTTTAACAACTTGAGAAAAACAATGGTGACCAAAAAGAAAAGTCAATTAACATTAATGAAGAAATTAATTGAGCAATTAGTGATCAAATGTGTTAGCTTTGTTTTGTCAATACTCGTGGCTTAATTGTCCTTAAGGTGATGAAATGTCATGAAACAATTTTATTGAGTGATTAGCACAAAGGAAGCAGCTACTTTCTTGCAGTGTTATTCAGTGTTCGTGAGAAATACACTGCATGACTTTTAAAAACGAAATTTAAAATAAACATATTTATGAAAAATCACACGCGATTGGACTTTCATATGTTTTGTTTAAATTCTATGATTGCTAAATATAGTTATATACATGTATATTTAAATAAAACAAAAATGTCTGAACAAAGAGTTATCTCCCATTATGTACTCTTCAAAAAGGATGTACGCGAAAGCGAAGGTAGAAATAAGTGATGCTCGACGGTCTGGGATTTTTCAATTTGTTCTGTCCCAGTTATAACGAGACCCGGTAATAACGAGGAATCATGCGAAGTCCCGACGATCTCGTTGTATCCGTAGTGCACTGTAGTCTGTTTTGCTTGTAAATTTCAATGCTAATTTCTGTAATGCTTGTCCAAGGTTAATGACTTATTAATATCTACAGTATTTTATTTCAATCATCAAAATATACTGTAGTATGGCTTTTTATATTTATATGGACTGATGATATTATACTTGCGCCAATGTTTTACAAGAACAATTAAAGTTAAACTTAAAATTAAACTTGTAAAGAAAACAGCCTGGAAATAAGTTTATTTATAACAACAGGTTCTGATGGGACCAGCTGATATACATGAATTATTTATGAAAGCTTTGAAGGAACAAGAAGAGAGACATATAGCTGAGAAACTAGACAAGGAGACTGCCACTAACGAAGAAATCCAAGGTTTGTACTACACTATGTTAATATTCAAGAAGCAGTACAAGTGTGCAATTTTGGCAAGTTGCTTAACATTTTCTTGATTAGGAATTCTATATATAATTTTAAGTTGTTCAAATCCTTTCACCCTTTTCATAATATTAGTTAACTGATATAACTCAACATACATGTATTTAGAATCCAAAATACTTACTACTACAGAATCATTTTGATTCATGTTATTTTTGTTTAATTTGTTCAGTATCAGAAATGAATTAAATCTGACCAATAAAAAAAGGTTTTCAGTGAATGGTAAAATTGTCACTTTAAGATATTCAAGGTATTAATACCATTTTAAAGAAAATCCAAAAAGTCAGATACATATGAATCAACATTGTATTTCTCAAATGCAAATTTATAGGTTAACAATGTGATAGATCAACCCCCTCTGGATGACAAACGTTTTTGTTTTTGCTAAGACTCGATATTTATGTGATCTTTATGCGTTACACGGAGAATTTAGATTGTTGTATAGTCTTTAATTGAGGAAGAACTGATAGTGTTTCTGTAGAGGGTTGTTTTGCAGAGGTTGAACTGTCGTTACATAAGTATATTGATTAAATTTCAGTGTTCTCAGATCTTGAGTGGTCATCTCTCGGAAGATGTTTGAGACCAGATAGTAATCAGCCACGCCTGAAGTTTACTGACAGTGACCATCAAACACTCATGTATTACCTTAACAACAAAAACACCATAGACAACATAAATGACCATCTCTTATCCCGATTTATATTCAGTATTCGTGAACACACCAACATTAATCATTGCTGTATGGACTCGGAAAAACGTGTCAAAAAGTTAATTTTTACTATGAAGGTGTGTGCCGAACATATTTTCAAAGATTTCTGTGAGATTTTAAGTGCTATAGAAATGTCACATGTGATTGGGAAGCTAGAGAAAAGAAATCAAGGTCCTGTTACATGTAGACAGAGACAGAAAAGGAAGTCTACACCAACTGAAGGTATTTTTCCTACTGTCTTTTAAGATACTTGTAAGTTCTGAGATGACATTTTTTGAAATAACAGATTTTTTCAATTTTTTCAATTGACAAATGTGAAATATTTTGTTGTTAGATTCACAGGTTTCTTTTTGTTATAAGAATGTCAGATGTACTTCTCAAATTAATAAGATAATTATTCTGAAGTGTGGATTTCAATATTAACACAGGGAGGAACTGTTACACAGACTTAGCACCTCAAATGTTTCTTCGGCATATGCAAAGGTTTTTTGATAAAATCAGTTTTCCAGGAACTCCTTGACAATTATCAAAAGAACCCCTGACTAGTAATCAGAAGAACTCCATCGTCTGTGTAACAGTTCCTCCCCTGTGATTTAGTTGAAAAAAGGTTATGAAAGACTGTTTTAGATTATTTTCGTTAGCATTTTCCTTGATAAATTAATTCAAATTTAAATAAACATCCCTGTTGCTGTTATATATTTTAATTTTTTACTAGGAAATGATTCCGAGCCATCTACGTCATCATCATCAGCCAAACGTCAGTGTTTTAATTCTACAGTTGAGTGTCGTCTTGTCACATCCATGCAACGGTCTTCCTCAACATTACGTCTCCAAGCCCTCGATCAATTAGGTATCATTGTTTTTTGTCTTGTATATTTGTGATGTGAGAGACATCCAAATCAATTATGCGTTTATTATGCTTGTAATAACCTGTGCCTTCACAATTCATGAGAAATTTTAAGCATATTTACCTGTATATTCTTATTAGAAAATTTGAAAAGTTTAACAAACCTTTTAAAAACATTTGCTTTTTTTCTGAAGATAAACCACTTTGTTAAGTGGAAGTTTATATATTCCTTAGAAATAAGTTGGTTTAGAAAGGTACTCACTTTTCTAGGTGTTAAGATTAAGGAATTTTCTAAAGTTTGGTCAGTTACTTGGTCAAACATTTTATAAAAAAAAAATGTCACTGTAACGTTGTCATAATACTTGTCTTGGTCATGTTTTTCCAGTACAGAATTTATTTGATACAAATTTGTTTTAGGTTTTGATATTGAGAATGTAAATAAAGGGTCCATCGTCATCCAGCTTTGTTCGAAAGAGCCAGACTCCTGGCACAAACTGGAGGAGAATTGCAGAACTGGGAAGATAAAAGATTTTATACCAGTAGTATATAACAATGAAGCAGTTGAAGATTTGCTGGAAGAAGGAGAATATAGACTAAAGTTTACAATATATACACTACCAACACAGCCTGATAAACTAGGTAAAACAGTAATAGTAATCTAAGCATCTCTAGCTGTGTGGGTTCAAACCATGTTGCTAGAAAGCTGTTGTTTTTGGTAGTTTTTAGAATTTTGAATATGTTATAAAGGAAAGTCTCTTGATATTACCAATTTTTACTGTAAAGCAAAAAAATATATTTTAATCATTTGATCTGGATTGTGATTGGTTTTCATGATGTTTTATTGTTATTTAATTAGGCTGGTCCTTTTCCGAAATTGGTACTAGTTTATTAGTAAGCGTTATTATAGAACATTTATAATTTGTTTCAGAAGAGAAGAAAGTTATGTTCCATTTAGAAACAGATCAGGAAAAACAATGTAAAGGTATGAGAAGCAATTTTTACATACCATAAATTTGATAAAGGCAAGTAAATGCTTTCTCTGTGTATTTAAACCTTGTTTTTTGTCTCAACTTTTTCTACCAATGTGACCTGTTAGGACTAAGATCAGCCACCACATTCATGCCGTCTGATCATGGTGGGCACTATTCACTATTTAGCCAGTGCTTATATTGAATTTCTTTAAAAACGATGAACAGTTTTGTCTAGATTGAAAGATGGATAAGTCTAAGTAACTCATACCTGCACTTTAGTTAACTCACTGTGCATTTATGATTTAATTCTGTCACATTTTCAGCGAAAAGGTTTCCAAACTATGATACAAGTGTATGTAATTGTCATTATTTAAAAATTTAATTAAGATTTTTTATGAATATTCTACAGAAAAACAAGAGGAAGAGAAGAAAATGACTAATGGTCACCAAGAAAATCTGCTGGAAGAGTGTTCTGACCTCCTTTGTGAAGAGTTGGAAATTAATAAAGATCTTATCTCCTTATTGAAGAGTGAAAAACTTGTAGAAGATAACATTAAAGAGGAAATAGATAAGCAAGGTTCAAGATCAAAGAAAATTAGATTCTTGTTAAAGAAGATTGGATCTCATGGCATGAAAGGGTAGGTATTTGTTCAGTTAACACTTGTTGTTTTCTTCCGTTGCTTGATTTGTTATGTCATATTGAACTATTTGATGTTTTTCTGTTTAAAAAGATGGATTTTAGAATATTAGGTATTGGGTTTCATATAGAATCAAAGAAATTGGAAAATACACATTTTTGAAAATCTAAATTTAAGATTCAACAAAAAAAATGTAAGTAATAAGGTCACACATTCAGAATATCTTTACTTATGGAGAATAAGGTTATGAATTACATGTGTAAGTATACCAAAGTTGCATTTTTGTGTCGCCTCTACGGAGTAGTGGCGACATATAGGGATCACTTCTCCGTCGTCTGTCTGTCCGTCTGTCTGTCCGTCACAAAACTGGTCCGGACTACTCCTCATAAACTACTGGTGCAATTTCATCCAAACTTTACAGGAATGATCAGTACCAAGTCTAGTTGTGCATATTGTCAGCATTTTCCGGTTCAATGATTTTTGGCAGAGTTATGGCCCTTTAATAATTTTTAGTTTTAAAGTTTGTCCGGACTATTTCTCTTATACCACTAAAGCAATTTCAATGAAACTTTACAGGATTGATCTGTAGCTCAAGTCCTTGCGCATATTGCAAGGGTTTTCCGGTTGAATGATTTTTGGCCGAGTTATGGCCCTTTGATAAAAAAGGTGTATTTTTCTGTGTGTTGCCAGATACACAAAAGCTTGTCCGGACTACTCCTCATAAACTACTGGTGCAATTTCATCTAAACTTTACAGGAATGATCAGTACCAAGGGTAGTTGTGCATATTATCAACATTTTCCGGTTCAATGATTTTTGTCAGAGTTATGGCCCTTTAATAATTTTTATTTTTAAAGTTTGTCCGGACTACTTCTCTTATACCACTAAAGCAATTTCAATGAAACTTTACAGGATTGATCTGTAGCTCAAGTCCTTGCGCATATTGCACGGGTTTTCCGGTTGAATGATTTTTGGCTGAGTTATGGCCCTTTGATAAAAAGGTGTTTTTTCTGTGTGTTGCCAGATACGCAAAATCTTGTCCGGACTACTCCTCATAAACTACTGGTGCAATTTTATCCAAACTTTACAGGAATGATCAGTACCAAGTCTAGTTGTGCACTGTCCATCTGTCTGTCCGTCTGTCAAAAACTTTGTCCCAACATGAAATTGGCCATCATGAGGCGACACATGTGATTACTGATCGCTCTTGTTATTATTTTTTGTGCTTAAAATGTTAAAATCTGATGAAGAAGAGATAACTTAAAATAGTAAATGATTGTTCTGATGCAGATTTTATGTCAGTTTGAAATTAATCCTTAATATTATAAAAAAATAAACAAAAATATAGCTACAAACAGTTTAAAGCTTTGTCAGACTGGAGTGCAAAGGCTAATCACAGCATTCCAGAACGTTTAAACTCAATTTTGATCTTTAAGATCTTCTAGTTATCTTTACTATTGTTACATTTTTACTAGGTACAATGTATTGAAGGAATATATCAAAGAGGAGAATGAGGATCTGTATAAAGCTATGGTGACCAAGGAAGAGGTCAAGGTCATTGACAACAAGATGGATACTGCTGCCAAGGTTACTAAAAATAGACCAACCAATCACAGAGGAGTTTACAAAAAGGAGGTGTTCTTCACTGGCACAGTTGTTCTCATGGTGAAGAAACATGGTAGGCCTGTTAATTGTTCTAAAACATAGGTATTTTTCATACAATTTATGTTCATTTTCATTTATGGTCTACGGTTGAATAAAAACTGTATTCTCTTTTTGGTATATAGTAAATTTTCACCTTATTTTTGGTATTTGGTAAATTGTCTCCTTAAGTTTAATAATAACGGCATGGTATCTCTTTGTCACGAAAATAATTCTGGAGATAAGAGGTCAAGGTTGACATGACATATTGTCTTTCTATATTTATATATCTGTTCACTGTTATTGTAAGTTGTGATATACTTACTGTCTAACATGTTATAATTGTTAAAAAAAATTATGTTTTGGTAAAGGTTTTAATTTTGTGTATACATCTTGTTGTTGTTGTTGTCAATTCATACATAGACACACAAGCATATTTTCATATGTCAAATGAAATGCAGGCTTTGAACAGTACAGTACTATTAGTTTAGTTTAAATCTATGGGCACTATTGGCAATAAAAGATATATTTTAGATTGAACTTGACTAGCCAGCTTGTAAGTATAGTATTAAAAGATTCAATACTGTTATTTAGTAAGCTTAAGTATTACATTATTCAGGCCCCATATATTATAAATGGAAAGTTACATTTTTATGGAGAACAACTTCAAGTCAATTAATTTTCATGTATTGAGATGTCCAGCTACTTAGCTCAATAGTAAGAACATTAGATTAGTAATCCAGCGGTTGCAAACACGATCCTTGGGAGTTGTGACATTTAAATGTGACAGCTGATCTCGGTCATAGAGTGTAGCAAGTGAAGTTGTGCACCTTGGCTCTTGCATGTGGTTTAATTTAGTTAGAGTTATTGCCCTTGACTTAGTAAACATTTGCAATTTTCAACTTGTGTCGCACATAGCCTAAAAAATGTTTGACCTAAAGTCATGAAACTTTACAGAAATGTTGGTCAGCATGTGCAGTTGTACACCTGGGGTTTGCTTGTGGATATATTCAGTATTTGTAGAGTTATTGCCCTTTACTTAGTGAAAATTTGCAATTTTCTACTGATTTAGAAGTCATGTGGAATTATTTCATTTTTGTAGTTGTTCACTTGTAGAGAAATAGGTAATTACAGGTTAGTTATCCGGGAAAGCTGCCAAGATATGATTAAAACATGTGTTAAATATTGACTTAAATCCAACCAAACAAAACACATGTTGTTAAGCATAAGGGTAAAAGAACATGATTGTTACACTTGTGTTTGTCTTTGCAGTGATAGGTAAACAGAAAGGAAGTAAAAGTTCTACGGAGATGGAAATAACATGCCCGGAGATACTTGATCCAGTTTGTTACTTTGCTGAGACAGGTTTGTTGTAATTGATATCATAACGTTATTGAAAACTAAAGATATCTGTCCAAGGTCTTAAATTCTTAACCCTTAAGCTGTTGGAACTGAAAATCATTAGACTTTGCCACCAGTATAGAGCCTGGTTAGACTTAATGGAGTTGGCTGTGGCTGACCAACTTCAATTTTTATTCTTGATTCTTGATATCCCCAAAATGGATAATGGAACGTTCCAAGAATAGAATTTGACATGTCCATTTCTAAAATTCAGTAGGTTAAGGGTCAAATCATGCATGTACATAAACATCTTTAAGATCTGACCGTCTGCTGAACTAACTTGCAGAGTAAATTATCTTTAAGAGATTTAAAAAAAAATCAGATTTAAATGAATAAAGGACTTAGTAAATGCATACAATTCCCAATAGTATGATAAATGTTCTGTAAAAATCAGTTAAAACAAATGAGAATACATATTTATTGTTTTTTTTGCATGCAATTTCTTTTTAACTGTAAAGCATAGGTTAATCAGCATTTTGAAAATAAGTTTTGGCCAAACAAAATTGTTTTTAAGTACAGGAATCGAAATAGATATTTGTTTTATAAATTAGCTAAAAATAACTTTGATAATTTTGACTATTTTCAGGTAAGGAGAATGAGAATAAATCAGGGGAGGTAACTTTAGTTCTGGAGGAAGCATGGAGTCTGGTTGGAGCAAATCAGCCTGCTAAAAGAGGTGAGGATTTTAAAAAGATATTGTCATCTTTATGGACTTAAATCATGTTAACATATTTCATAGATGTTTGCTAACTAGAAAACTGCTGTTGAAGCCCCCACTTAAAATTTGAACTTTATAAGATATACATAAGCATGTAAATATGCCACTGTGAAAGGCAGCTTTGATTTGGAGCATCAGTGACACATTTTTATTTGTTGCTAATTTATGAGTTTGCCATTTGTGAAAAAATGAATAATTCAATAATGTTGCAAGATGTGTCACCTAAGGTCTTCCTTCACTAGTAAAGCTGCCAAATGACATCCACAGTGAAGTGTTTATTTAATCTAAAAAAATTAAACATTTTGAAAATGTTATTTATGATTTTATGCATTTTTATCAAAAAGTTTTAAAATAATTTGAGATATTCTTGGTTCTTATTGAGATTTAAGTTAACTTATTATTTTCTCTTTTTTCTCCCAGAAATCCTAGTGGGTAAGAGGAAACAGCCAAAGGGTTCAGGTATTAGTTTTAACATTTTTTAAAAGCTATGGATATTGTCGTTTTGAATAATTATTCTTTTTCTGAGATAAAAAATACTGTGATTAATATGTTAATTTGCTTTCTGGTAACATATCATTGCAGAAACAGTTCACACTTCTCTTAGAAGAGAATATTTCTGCCTGTTTCCTAATGAATGTGTGTTGAACTTAGTTTTGCATTGACAGTTTTTTGTATACCATCCTCTATTACTATAAAAACAACATCTGACAATTATGTCAAGGAATAAATTCATTGGCAAAGTGGTCTAGAGCATTATGTTTATTTGATTTTAAGCTGGTGTTCACAAGTTTAAATCTCATGTGGACAAGATTGAACCTTATGTGGGGAAGTTTGAATCGCATGTTGGGAAGTTTTAATCTCATGTAGGGAAGGATTTCTTTTATAATGCATTTTTGTGTTACAGATTTGAAATAATCAAAACACATGTCAAAATACAAAGATGCATGTATGCAACCAGTAAATAATAATTGATTAGTAGTATTAATATTTATGTGTTATATGGATTTTATCTTGCAGCATCTAGCAGTAAAAGGGTACATAGTGTGTTAGAAGAGACAGATTCTGAGGTTGAAGACACGCCTGATTGTGAAGTGGAAACACCAGACACTGACTGTAAGCAATTAATCATAGACTTGTTATTTTCTTTTCTACTTTTTGTATCACAGCATGCTGTTGGTCAGCAGATCCCTTATAACTTTTGTACTTTTTCATTTACTTTTTCCCCTGCACTGCATCTTGTAGGCTATTTGCTTTGTGTTATTTTGGTTTTGTTTCATTTGTGCATCTGATTGTTTTTCATATTCTAAATGCTTTGCTGAAGAACTCACTGTAAAAGCCATTCAAATATTCTTAGTAAATCTAATTGATTCTATCAGTGCACCTGCTCTTGTCTTACAGACAAGCTTGACTTTCACCATATAACCTAGCTGTATGTTCTATATTGATTATTTGAAATTTGATCAATTAAAATAACTGAATTTAACTTTACATGCTGTATAATAGATTAAAATTGCAACAAATTTCTTTTTGACCATGTTTTTCATATAGACATATCTTTTCATTCATTGCTTATTGTTGAATATGCAAGTTGTATTTGTATGTACATCACTAACTTTATAAATTTCATAATATTTCTTTATTATCTCATTATATGATTGCTTTAAGGTTGTCGTACTGCAATGCTTTCCGCCAAAAAAAATCCAACTTTGGCCAATTTTGTAGCATTTCCGTTATTTACGGAACATTTTTTCAAAATCTTCGGCATTAGATTATTTACAATGGCCATAAGATTATTTACAATCACTCGTCCTTTATCGCTATGTACTAAATTCCAGTTATAAATGATAAAAATTTGATTGATAACCAATGATCCTGGAAAAGTCTGTTTTTTATGATTAAGACCGATGTTAGAATTTTTTTGGCGGGAAAACATTATATTAAGACTACCTTAAATATGTCATATCTCTGTTTTCTTTGCATATGTAGTGTTTCTTTCTATCTATTTTCAGACCAGGCCATTTTAGATAGCTTGGTAATACAAACACGTTTTCAAAGGCAGTTTAGTTGTTTTCTTGTTTCAAATTATTTTTGTTTTCCAGTTGGTTTTAGTTTAAAACTTGCAAAATGGTATTTGCACTTAGAATAGAATGTTTCAATTTAGAATGTTTTATTTATTTGTTTACCTGTGTTAATACAATGAATGTAATTGTTTTAGGGTCTGTTTTTTCCCTGTAGGGATCATACACTCCAATCACAACGGCTCATACAATAGGGTTTTGAATATAGCACAGTAGCTGCCCAAGTCTCTGTATCTCACTTTCTTATTTACTTGTTACTTGGATCATTGCGAATTCTAGGTGTCTTTGGGCAGCACACTTCTAATTTCTAGCCTATAATAAATCAGATACATCATTTAACCTTTAACCCCTGCCTGGCCAGAAAGTGATAAGCCTTTACCACCAGTATAGAGTCAGGCCAACCTGCACATTTGTACAGTCTGACCATGCTGATGGCAGTTATTTTAATTAAGAAATAATATTTCCCAAACAGTGATTTTAATGAGCGAAAAAATTTGGAGTTTGGATGCAAGGAATTATATCACAAGGGTGCAGACCAAGTAATATGATTATATACATCCGAACGACAATCAGTGATTTTATCAAGGGATAAAATCACCGATTTGGTTAATTATTTTGATTCTAACACAAGATCAACAAATAAATACCTGATATTAAGCTAAATTACACCTAATTTGTTTCCATATTTATTTCATCATATTTTTAGTGGTTACATCACGTGTATAATAATTACATCGCATGTCTTAATATAGAACGTTAAACAGTGATTTTATTGCATAAGAACATAGACTGTTCAATAGGGAAAAATGCGGGTGGTGTTAGAATTTTGTATTTTGATATTGAAAAACCAAAAACTTTTGACTGTTTTCCACATTTAAAAAAAACAACAGGTAAATCCATTACACAAATTCAGTAGGTTAAGTGCCAGGCAAATTATTGCCAATTTTAAATATTAAATTTATATCCTATTTTACAAGCGATCTGACTTGCTGATGAATAACTACAGTATTTCTATAGATTTGAATCATGCTGTTTACTTAACAGGCTATCATATAAAATGTGATCAGGCTTACCTACTGGGCAGCTTCATGTTAGGAGCTATCTTTAGGTCTATGGCTCTACCAAAGTACCAAACTTGTCAGATAAGTGTGAGTTAGGGCATCTTTGATCTTTGAACAGCACTACAGCTTGTATTTGAAAAGAATAACTGGCATTAATCAGTTAACACTTTTTATGAAAAAAGAACTCTAATACAAATGCTTGAATTTTGATGATGTTCATGTGTTATCATATTATTGCCTTTAATAATAATTAATACTTAATGCTTACAATAAGCATAGTTGTATTTTTGATTTTCAAGCTTTTAAATTTCTTTTTGCAATTTGTAGTGGTAGAAATGAACCACAATAAGAAATGATACTACATGTATATATTTCTCAAATCATTTGCCCCTCATTGCACTGTATTCAAAATAAAGTCATGGACTTTAGATTCACTCATCCAGCTAGCTTTTAATACAGGAGGTTGATGCTTCTTTCCTTTACCACCTTTACTGGCAGAGGAAGACCTCAGGTGCCCATTTAGTGCATTATTTCCACAAGTAAAGCTGGAATGTCACTTATAATCTTTACAGTATCAGTGTGTCTTAGAATTCAACAAAACATACTATATATTTAAATTTTGGAAGATAACATTGTTAACTCTGTTCTACTATTTCATTCCAGTAAAAGATAAGTCAAAGTCACCTTCCAAGTCAGAGAAAGGCGAGGCTAAAACATCAGTGGAAGAAACAGAATCATCCCAGAAGAAGGGTAAAGAAGGAAAGAAAACTTGACATTTGTGTTTTGACATTATCTCATCAGTATCATTTACCATGTTGTATATATAGGGCACAGTTTTTTCAAGTTAAATGTAGTTTCCAGGTTTCAATAATTAAGCTGCAATATGTTAAGTTGTTAAAAGAATTGCTTACTAGGTGAAATGTGTTCTTGATTTGTTTCTTTTTTTAAGTAATATTTTAAATGTATATTATTTCAAAAATGGGATCATATAAAGGGAGTGTCCATTGTTGGCGAGTGTTGTCCAATTTTGTCCAGAGCTCATTTTCTTACATCATTGAGTATTCCTAAAAAAATGTTACAAATACTGTTATTAGATCTAGTTTCACATCCATGAACCAGTTTGAAGCTAAAGGTCACACTTACAATGTAAAGAATAACAATGATTAAGGTTAGGCTGTAATATAAGTTTAAATACTCTCTTATAGTTATAAACACATTATGATATTGTGAAACAAGAATACATAAAAATGTACTGATCAGTTCATTAAGTTAATAAAAAATAATTATTAGATATCATAAGGGTATTATTGTTTGATGGTTAAGTTGCTCAAAGGAAAGTAAATTTTTGGTGATAGCATTAATAATTTTTTAGGGAGGGAAAATATACATTAAAGTTGAGCTTATTGTTGATTTTCAGATAATTATAATGAAAATGTCTGGTTTGTGAGAAATCATAATCATTGTTTGGTGTGTTGTATTTGATACTGTTTCTTAGAATTTGATAAAAATGTTTGTTTTTGTATTGAACTTTTAACAACTTTTTGTTAGTGATTAGTGTTATTATATTTGTTAAGCTTTACATGTCTTTAGATGAATACAATTTGTAAAACAACTTTGATCATGTGTTTTATGTTTAAGCAGAGACATAGATAATAGAGGTAGATAACTTCCTAGCCAGTTAAGATATCATGCATGCTTGCTAAACTTAAAACTTGTGGCAAGGAAAACAAATTAACGAGGTATAAAAATGCAGTAAATTATACATTTTCTGAAAGCTTATACATTAATTGTGTATATGGTTGAAGGTAAAACATTTAAAGTTCCCATTTAGATAAAAGAAACATTATTTTTTTGAAGAAAACTATTTATTTACTTTTGTTACATTACTATGCATATGACAAAAAACTGATCTCAGTCGGTATGTTCTGCTACATTATTTCAAGTGAAAGGCATAGAAAGCTATCAGTATTTTAACATGCAGCAATAAATACAAGTTTTTACTTTCAAATGGTGTATAATGTAAAAGGATCAAGTCTACATCCATTAAGTTTTAATTGCTACAACATGCCTAATTTTTCACATTTTGATAGGCATGAGGGTGATATTTCAATGGAGTATAATATAGGAGCTTCTTATGTCTGTTATCTATGTCTCTGGTTTTAGTATACACTTTACTTATTTCAATGAGGCATGAATGCTACTATAATGTTGTTGTTTTTTTTAATTGTAAATAACATGTCTTTTTCTAGTTGTTAATCATAGAGGTAGAAAGTGTTTTCAAATAATATAGATCTGGAGAGAGAGAAAAGGAATTTTATAGAAATTCTTATTAAAGTGCTTGTTAGCTGTTTTGATTATATCTGATCTGAAATAGAGGGATAGAGTTGAGAAAAGGAGTAAATTACATGGTATTATCTGAACCTGATTGATTTGCTATATTTAGATATTTAAGGAATGAACATAATAATACATGTAGATACACTAAGGAAATCAGAAAACGTGGGGCTTTTCACATCTAAGCCAGGGATACAAACAAACTTCTTACAACTTGGTAAATTGATTGATAGAAGGCTCTTTGGTTGATCCCTCAATTGTGAAGGTAGTGCAGTGTGAAACTATGACAGTCAAGGTTTGGTTGTACCCTACAATTAGATGAAGGAAAAATCCACATTTGCTGGTAAAATCTATTATTGTTGCACTATGTTTAATAGACATTTAACATTAAATTTGATGGTAATTGTTAAGGCATTAATAATTGTTTGTTAATTGTATATGAAAAAGTTGACATTGCAATGGCTTAAAATATCTATAACCTGCTTGTGGCAACTGACCCTTAGTAATCTATGCTTTCAGTGTAGACCAAGATCAACCTGCACATCACTGCAGTTTTATCATAGTTTGCACTGTTTGCTATCTAATCAGTACATTTTTTTGAAATTTTCCCTATATTTGATGGATGGTTTTGTCCAGATTGAAAGACGGACAAGTCCATTTACGCTATTTAGTGTGATTAGGGTTAAGATTGTGTATTCTATTTTACACACAGTTTTCATGTTACATCTAAACATATATACTAAGCTTAGCTTTGTAAATTTGCAAAGGTCATATTCTCAACTTGTATTAGTAATTTTAAAGTCCAGACTTATGTGTTCAACTTTTAGTTTTCTTTAGCAATTTTACGGGTTTTTCTTTTTTTCATCATTTGATTTTCACATTTATTTAAATGATTCACCATCTCATATTTATAGCCATACTCATCATTATTTTCAGTTTAGTTCTTTACATTCCCTTGTATTAACAATTTATCAGATTACACCCAAAGCAAGTAAGACGCTAAAATCAGTGACAATGACTATAGCTAGTCATGGAGACATTCATTACAGTAACAAACAATGTGATGGACCAATATTACCAGTATTTGAGCTGATTATTTTTTGTATTTTTCAAGATAATTATATTACAGACTTTGTTTTCTTGCATAACAGACAGAAATATCTAGCTCTCGGGTAACTGTTTAGTAAAAACTCGGCAGAGCCTTGTTCCCGCCGAAAACAAGTGCCCTCGAGCTAGATATTCCTGTCTGTACCGGCAGCCGGTGTAAGATTCTTATTATATATTATTTTCATTATAAAATTTAAATTACTACAACACTTTTATAATGAACATTTTTTGTAAACAGGATCCATATATTACTTGTTTATGTTGTAGTCACACCGTTCTAATAATTTAGAATATCTGAATTCGATGAAATTCTTTAAAGTTCTTGATATACAATGTATTTCCAACCTTTATTGAGCAGTTAATTCATAACAGGGTCTATGCAGATTTGTAGAAGTTTTCAGATTCTTGCTAAGTTTCTATGTGGTATTGTCCAACAAATTCAATCTAGAAATAAATATAAACGCTAAGTTATTTTTGTGCCATGGGTTTTCCAAGAGTTTAGAATTTATCTAAATTGTATATACAATGTATAACAGCTTGGTGTACAGTGGAGCAGATTTTGTTAAAGCACACTCGTTCTTTATAGGAAAGATAGATCATTAAGCAATATAAACTCGTTTGTCTAAATTACAAACGTTATTGTTTATGAATAAAGAAATTATGCATGTGCGTTTATTGGAAGGGCGCAAATGAAAGGAGCAAATTTCATATTAATTAATCTAAAATGTAAATAATTGGAAGTTAATAGTGTCTCTATCGTGTGTTATGCATAGTTTTTATGTTTAGATATTTTGTTTCAAATGAACTTTCCTTAGGGTATGTTCTTGCCGGTGAAGGTTAATGTTTTGATAGTATATAATAGAATGATGTTAAAGGAACTTGAATTACATGTAACACTGAATTGTTTTCGCTTTTGATATTGTTTTACTTCTGAATAAAACCATGCACTTCTAAATTTGTATCTGTATTTATTTCTTTATTAATCTATATTAGAATCCTCTAGTACTGTTTGACAGAATAGTTTGACAGAATAATCCCTGATAGCGAGGTTTGTTGTCTGAAACTTATTTAATTTGTTATACATGTACATGTAGTTCGGTTTGATAGTCCTGTTTGTTGGAAATAATTAGTACTAGTGTCAATTTGTCGAGTCATCGATGTCTGTACTAAGCGACAGACACCGTTACCTTTACGCCACCTCTCAATGCTTGACATTGTTATCACCAGTAAGGTATCTTATGTAACATTGATGGAGCCTCTTTGGCGGAGACGGGAGAAATCGCCGCTGCTTATCACTGCTTTCGGTTCCAAAGTCCATCGGTGATTTGATTCTTTCTTGTGAGGAAGATATCCAGCAAGCTTACGACAAATCGGTAGTTCTACTTAGGTGACCGATCATGCCTGAAATAATACACAAATGGGACACCTTGGGTCATCCTCCACCAATAAAGTTGCCATGTCGCCATATGACATTTGCAATCATTCTCAGTGTGACTTCAAATCTAATAAAACAACCATGTTACCTTGGTACTTCCACTCAACGGTTTAGCCACCTACCACTCGAATTCCGCCAAGGACTGTCAAGCTTAATTCTACACAGGTGCCAGCTTAAGCATAAAATACTTGACGGAGGTACACTCTAACAGTACAGCAGGGAAGTCGCCGCGTGACCTTTACAGTGTCGATGTGACATAAAATCCAATAAAAACAAGGCGACCCGCTTACTTTGGTTAGAAATATAGCGTATTCTTCCACTAAACTGGAAAGTCTCGTATGAACTTAGCCATTAGTTTTACTTTTATCAATACAAAGAAAAAAGTCTTAACGACAGCTGACCACGGAAATGCCTCAGTTGACTTAATATGTATTTATTACTTTACTGTAATAAACTAATAGCATTTGATAAATTTTAAAATCCAGTCGTCAAAAACCAGCTTAGTATCACCATTGATACTCGTTTGGTAAACAGATACCGGTGTAAAATGATTACTTTAAAACGTAATGGAATTAATTTACTTAAACAGCAAACAACTTTTACAAATTGCAGGCATATGTAAAAAATGCACACAAATTGACAAGTCTCCGTAACTACAATTTTCATGTTCTTCAAAATGTTACTGGAAATATTATAGATCATTATTCTGACCTGCTAAAAGCTGTCTCACACGTTTAGAAGTAAGTACATTTTGTATTATCCGAACTGTTATATTTAAAAAAGTTAATTTTTGCTGGGCAGTTAAAGAAATCATTTTGCTTTATTCATAAATAACCACCATCACATTCTTCTTTGACTTGTAAATTTGGCATTATAAATTAGTACCATGTTTGCCGACATATTTATGTGAAGCAAGACACATAAATTCGATTGGAAAAAATTACACCCCCCCCCCCAAAAAAAAAGAAGAAGAAAAAAAAACTATATGTAACATTGTTTGTTCCCATTCTTGTACCCGCGCGTCGTGTGTGCACAATAAAACATTTATATTGCACGGTTCTATATTCGTATTGCTTATTTTCAAGCACATCGTTGTTCGTAGATTGTTGTGCGTTTATCCACAATTTGTTTAAACATACTAACTTGGAAATATAAAAATTGGAATTATATGTATGAGATAAATAGAATTACTGCTGAAAATATTGACATTCATATAGTGTGATTATGATTTCATCTGACGACATGGGCAAAATATGACGGTATCTGTTTGCAGTTTAAAAGTAAGCAAAAAAAAAACTGTCTCGAGGTTTCAATGAGATATATGAGATACAGTGTTTTCATTCCCTTTATAGTCAAAAGCGCGTTGTGATTGTAAAGGCAGTAAAACAAGCGTATCTATTCGGCCTTTTCCGTCAAACTTCGGATAAGGATTATTATTATTACTATTTTATTAATAAGCAAATAGTTAAGATTGGGCAATAATAAAAAACGCATGGCATACAGACGCTTTGACATTTGTGTACATGTAATTTCATAAGATTAATCAACAGCAGAGCGAAACCCTAGTCGTTTCTACCATTCATGTTTTTGACCCATGAAAGAACATTATGAAATTTGATCTCCTAGTTTCTGTTGAAAAGTGAAACATAGTAAATGAAAATACAATAGAAGACTGCCCTCTATAATAAGTTCAATACGAATATATAAACATGGATAGTGTCATAACTGAAAAACTGGATAGATTTAATGTTTGACAGTATAAGCCCAGCTGCTTAAACAAAGAAAACAAATGTGATTTCATCTCCATAGCAACTGTATGAGGTAACATTTCTTTTATTAGTACACGAATTTTAAAATACTTGGGGAAATCAGAATAGGTGTTTGGCGTTGCTTTTTTACGTTCCAGAAAGTGAAAATTTAATTGAAAAATGATAAATATCATTATCATTTTAATATCATTTAATTTCTTATTTAAACAGAAATTATATAATAAATCTTAATGAATGGATGAAAAAATGAATGAATGATTGAACACACAAAGAAACAAAGACACAAATAACTAATATAATTTTGCCTTTGTCCTTGATTGTTTGTTGTATATTTTGTGCATGAAGGATCATTTTCATTGTATTTCAACTATGTATTATGTTCGGTCGACATTTATTTTATTTGACGATTGCATTTCTCTGTTTTGAATATTAACTAAAATATTGTATCATATGATAAAAGTTTCTTCCATTGTATATTAATGAAACTGTATAAAGATGAGTTGATGAAGATACATCTGTTGTGAATGAAACTATTTCAGACATAGGAATGTGTTCAGAGGTTCTGAGTTGGAAATACAATTACAATGCGATAGGACAGAACTTGGACTGCCTGCATCAAGCTAATAGTACGTACTAAAATTTACAGTGCCCAAGTGGTCACATATTATAACGTATGCATGACTCTTTATGTAAAAGCATATAAACATGTTAAACACATATGTATCTGTATCTATATCAAAGTGTTCTATGCCTCACCACAACTAGATGTTTAAGTCAGTTCGTTTATAAATACGATTGCAACTATTTTATTTTGGTTGGTACCCTCAATTAGTTATATATATTTTGTTTCCGTCCATATCCATCAACATAAAATAGCATCACTTAAGATATGTCTTACACATTAGCGGACAAAGAGGTTTTGTCCTTTCGAAAAAGTTTTCTTCAAATCCAAAATGATATCTGCCATTGTAATGACAATGCCAGTTGTTGTGAAAATAAAATAAAAATCTTTTATTTTGAAGTGAGACAAAAAGTGTTGGAGCACCCACTAACATCGGATAATGCGCTTGAACAATGAAATGCTAATCTCTCGCCTTTTCACCCACCGAACTGGACTTTAAGACGTCCTACTCATTTTTTTCTTTCAACCGATTAATTTGAAAAATGTAAGAATAAGCGAAAAAGATTTTTGCATCACTCCAGTACTGTAATGATTTAAATCTCAAATGGAATTATCAGTATCAGAATATGCTTTCTGCCGAATCTCGATAGTGTGTAGTCTAACATATTTAAAATGATGGTAGAACTTGTGAGTTAAATATACCAGATGTAAAACACTATTACAGTGTTATATTTTGTAAAACTTGTGTCAATGGAAAAATATATCCTGTCAGTATAAAGGTATTTAAACACATTCATATAAAAAATTCTTTAAGATTTTTCTATAACAAGAATCATTTTATCTTCAGATATGTCTAACTTCACAAATAGAAATAATGTGAATACAACATCTCCAAGAAGAATTATCAAAAAACCGACAACTACACCCAATAGAGCTCGTAATAGAGGTATATCAAAACATGTAAAAATTATAATTTTATTATATCTTTACTCATAACTGTCATTAACACTTGGTGATCTATTGTCTTGTATGAACACGAAAGATTTAAAATTCAAGATATTTAAGGTTTTCATTTTTTTAACTATTTCTATATTTTCATGAAACCTGGCAGAATTTTGACTAAAAAATAAAATGAAAAATCTTAGAATGCTTGCAATAATTACTTGCCGACTTGCCTATAACGATTATGTTTATACACATTATGTTGCTCATATCTGTTCTACGTCTTATATTTATGATTATAGACGAGAGAGTTGACGATGTTAAAGACATTCCAAACTCAAATGATGCTGATATTAAACATTCTGATCAGCAACAGCTTGTAACAGACAATACTGAAGCAAAGCAAGGTTTTGTTTGTTGTTTTTTTATTTTTTACGTCGATTTTAACACGCTTTTTGTTCATATGTCGGCGGTTGACCACCTTACCAGTAATTACCAATTTCTACGCAAGTAACCGACCACCCATCCAAATTAGCAATAACCATTAGACTCAATGTCCGTGGTCAAATGTCACGGTGAAACAACGTCTTGTCGGAGGGTCGGATCATTCATCTCTGATCTACTGATCCAATACGCTCCCTACTGGCTTATGTGGGCGGACTTAGAGTCAAAGGAAACACTTTACTACAGTAGATCAGAACGTTTACATATATGTGTATAATTTTAAACCATGTTTTCCGGAGGAGATCTGGCTATTAGAATTGGGTATGTCAGCGGGCGGGCATACACTATTTCTTATGTGCGCAACTCTTCCTAACTTTCATAATGGATTTTGACTAGACTTTCAGAGTTTACAGAGTACGTATCACTAACATTCCTTTGATGTTTATAATAAAAAAACTTTTCAATTTTTAGCAAGAATGCAATTACGTGTTGAACATATGTATATTGAATTTCGTAGGTATTAATCTTGGAGAAACAAAGAACAGTTTAGACGTCCGGAAAGAGGTAACACTTGTTAAGGCATATGCTGTGTTAAAGGATGAAATGGAGGAGACCACAGCAAAATCCATAGCTTCTCTTTTGTTCGGAAATATGCCACAGTTACTTTCGCATCATGATCACGAATGTATCGTTACAACCAAAGGACGACGAGTTGTTGCCGAAAAGTTATTGAAAAGGGTAAAATATTATAGATGAATCTACATGTTTGCAGAGCAACAGTTGTTTAAGTAGTTGTTTTTAAATTTACATTTTTTATGTGAGAATAAGTTACTTATTGGTCTATACATGTACAAGTACATCTATGAAATTATGATTTCCAATAGCAATTCGCTTAAAATGATTTCTATATATACAGCTTATACGTAGCTCAAACAAGGTACATGTAACTTTAGAACCTTGTTTTGATATACCGAATGTGACTGATATTTGCGAAGTATTAGCCAAGAACCTTTGTTTTACGATTTAAATGTTACATTGATATAGTTTTAACATATGATTATGCCTTTTCTCATATACCGTAGGTTTTGATTGGTGGCGATGCACTGTACGATGGTTTTAAAAGTTATTTTTGTGGACAGGAGGGCAATCTTGCAAAAGTACTTGGTGAAACACAAATATCGGACCTGGACATGCAAGGTCTGTTAATAGTCAGAATATTTGAAAGCAAAGAAGCTGATTTTAAGCAATTATAGACATGTATCTACCAAAACAATGCTTTTAAAATTAAAAATCTTTAAAAGAATTTGATCAGTTGTAAATGTGTTACACAATCGGTTATCGTTGATAAGAAATCAGAAATTATTATTTAGCATATATATTCCCTACATAATCTTCAAATTCTGTTTTTGCTACTTGATGACATGCATCCATCGTGGTCACAAAATGTTCGGTGGATTTTCATGTACGTAATAAGAGCGAAAGTATCAGTCGTAACTGATTATATTTTATCCTTCATGTTATTGCTTGGTTAGGGTTTTACTCAAACCAACACTGAAAATGTCTTATGATGACTCTCTAACTTTTCTGGAGGAGACCGATCTAGGGTGCCCATCTGTGCAAATATTATGCACAATCAGGTACCTGGGTAGAACCAGCGACATTCCTTAAGTGACAGGGATAGCTTTTTTACATAAAAGAATCCAGGTCCAACCCATGATGTTTTTTATTGTTTTTTCTAGTTTATATGGCGTTGAAGAAATCATCTGAGAAGCAAGCCGACAGGCCAGGCAACGACAAACCACGCCTGAAGTTTTCGGAACATGACAGACAAATATTGATCAGCTCTCTGAATCGACCAAGCTTCATTGATCCTTTGAACGACCAACTTTTGTCTAGACTGAAAATCAGTATTCGAGAACATAATAATGTTGTGAATTCTTCCATAGATAATGAAACAAAAGTAAAAACATTAATTGATACGTTGGAGCAATGTGAAGAAAATGTTTTTGAAGATGTATGCGACGTTTTAGCATCACTTGAGATGGAACATGTTATTGAAAAGCTTGATATCGGAAAGAAAACAAAAAAGAGAACACGTGATTCTGTAACAGGTATGATTAATGTACACAACTAATACTACAGTTATTCATGTTATTCATGTGTCTCAGATTAGGATCGGAACACTTTCCTTAGAATGGGACCAATACTTTCGTAGGTTGCTCACCCAGGTCTTGAAACACAAGAATTTACGAATGAAAGATAGAGGGAAAGCAAATGTCTATAGTTTCATGCTTTGTTTGATTATACTAAGGCGTTTTATCCGTCCGTCGTACACAACTGGTTTTTGCAGCATAAAGGTGACCGTTTAGCATGTAAGTATGTTATAACAGAACTCAAATAAAGTATTTTCGTTGCAATTAACTCATATGTTAAGTATTGTTCAAACTTAATATGATTAAATTTTGGGGTAATGTGTTGCACTGCTAGGCTTTAATTTGTTTTTCACTGAATTTGTCAATTGAAGATAATGCTCAACCTAGTGCGTCGAAGAAAAGGAAGTATCTGGGGCAGCTGGAAGATACATGTATGGTCAAGCGCGTGCAAACAGACGAATCACATTTAGATAAAGTATTGCAGAATAGAATAGGTAAGAATATTCCTTAATATATGTTTTATCCTTTCAATCATATTAATCATTTTAATCATTTTAATTGAAAGTGTAATTCTTTTCTTTGAATTGGCAATGGTTAAATCAGTAATAGAACTGAATGGGTATTCGATATGTAAAAAAAATATGATTTATTTATTAAAAAAAACAACATGTTAGCCATGTCCCTTATAGGCAAGTATTTCTTTTAAAAAGAGCGTTCATCTGTTAGGGGTAAGATTTACAGTTTATACATTTACATAATTCACTTCCAAAACATTTGAATTAATTTTATCATACAGATTTTACCCTTGAAGGCGTAACTGAGGGTTCTATCGTTCTTCAAATAAAGCCAAAAAGTCAGGAATCGTGGAATGTACTCATGCAAAAATGTCGCTCAGGAGAAATTAAAGATTTCATTCCAGAAGTGTTTAGAAATGAAGTTGAAAACATCAAAGCAGGGGAACACATCTGCAAACTTACCATCTATGTCTTAACCAAACCTCCAAATTATGGTATTATGGCAACGCATATTCTAGATAATATATATTTGTCATTCAATTCATTTTAAATTTGGTTTGTTGGAAGGAAAAAACACGTTTATTATAGCATATAAAATGCGGATTATTGATTTGAAATGAACCTATTGGTTATGATATTGAAAGCTTTTTGTTATCTTAGCCAAATATTACCGCAAAGAGATGGTGCTTTATTTTTCTGTAAAAGACAGAGTTATTTAAGAATATCAGCATCGTTTGGGAGAAAACTACGGTGGCTTACTATCAACCTCACAGTCTTTTTTCAATGATTTACTTTCATTTGCACATTTTGGCATACTTTCAAGCAGTGTACCACCACCTTATTTTCATATTATTGTTTTTAAAAATTTCAGTACAAAATAGCTTTCATGTGGTTAAAAGTATTTTCACTAATGCAGCACATAACTCTTAAGTTGTACAAGAAAGCGCATCGCCTAGCTGTTCCTTTAACTTCTTGTCCCGAACGTCTCATATGGATTCATTGTCTTGTATGTTATCAGTATGTTACAAGATGTCCAAATAATTGTTAATAATGAAAAGCGACAATAAAATTATGTTTTTTTTGTCACAATGACTTTGATTAGTTTATGTAATATTCAATGTTACTCAGCACAAATACGAGAGACCAATAATGGCCTAAATATCTAAGTTTCTGGACGGGTATTTTTTTTTTTTTGCTTTATTCTCGTAATTTATTTTTTCGTTTCAGAGGACCGAAAAGCAATGATTGAACTAGCGAATCCTTCAATTATTTCTCAAGGTATATTAACTGCTTTAAAATATATGCAAAAGCTTGTTTTTGTTCAATAACTATCTTATAACAAAAACAATAAATAACCGCAACCTAAAAAAATGAAGGAAAATACAAAGAGAATAAGAAGCAGCAATATAATCATAGCAACTTAATTCTATACTGTTTTAAGTAATATATATACTTTTGTGATATTATAACACCAATGAATGGGACCCTTGACTGACATATTAGTTAACATGTTTAGTCATTAACCTGAAATCCACTTTGGTTCTTGGGATTTTTAAGATAATTTGTGCTAGAATGTGTTAGATAGTATATCTAGTGTTTTATTAGGTTAAGTTATTAAGTTTAATAATAAGTTAATTACTAAAATTATTCAAACAAAAACAAGACTAAAATATTCACTTCGATATAGATATTATTGACTACCATGATTCTTAAAGACAGAAGCGTCCAATTTGGTGATCGATTCAGTGATAGGTAATTCTGATAGTCTAAATTTCAGATTAATGCAAAAATTATTTCATTTTTTAAATTTCGATTACATCAAGAAATTCAAGATTTGGTTTGCGAAGAATTAGAGATTACCGATGAACTACTTGTCAAGCTGAAAAGAAAAAAGTTTGTTAGTCATACAATTAAAGAAGAACTATCTGGGCTGAATAAAAGGAAAGAAAGAATAAGTTATGTTCTCAAACAACTAGAAAAAACTGGAAAAGAAGGGTAAGTTGTAAAGTAAAATGGAAATGTTGTCTCTCCAATGAAACGAGACTTGATTCATTGAACTTTCATTGAACGCCGGCTTTCCTTGTTAATCTTGTCTATATTGTTTTAAACAAACACAGCTATTTAAGAATTTCTAAGGTATTAAAAGTCTATAAATTATTGTTTTTATAGGTTTACAGATGAATCGACAAAACTTTACAAAGCAAATTTTCTGTTGCGAATACGACACCATTAAAAAATTAAGAACATTTTTGTAGTTTTCAATCATATAAAGGTTTATTTCATAATTTGTAGATATGATTTTCTGAAAGAATATGTAAAGGAAAAAAACGACTATCTATATGACAAAATAAAAACAGAGGAGGGCATAAAGACCATTGATAAAACCACTAGGTCTACTCGTCTGCAAGACTCATTTTCAAGAAGCCTTGAACGGAGTGGAATTATAAAGGAGAGATTTTTCAGTGCCGATGTTATGTTAGTTGTTAGAGAGAAAGGTAAACTATGCTTAAAGTTTTTAAACAGCAATTTTAACTTGTTATTTTCCATATTATTCGTATGAGTGTTTAACTTGTTTAGATATTTTAAAGATATCGCAGACTAAGAATTGAGTCAATTCAACATAATCTTTATCCTTGAAAACATAAAACATAATAACTATGTTATTATAAAAGGAATATATGTTCATTGTCAAGTATCATTTTGTTGTAAAGTTGCAAGATTCATTATACTAAAAGAAAAATAAATTATTTCGAACTAGAGTATAATATACTCGTACAATATTTCAAATAAATCTATCAAATAGGTTCACTTCTTAGTTACAAGTATAATTGCTAAACTAATAACAACTGAAACAAAACTGAATTAATCATATAAAATAGTTTCTTCCTGTAGCCAGTGTTACGCCAGAAAGAAAAAGACACCATTCGCCGGTGTTTCTACGAAAGTCTGTGATGACTTGTCCAAAACTTATTAATCCATGCTGCTTTTTTGATCAAGGTATTATAATATGCTCTTTTTTTAAAAAAAATCCGACATACATGTTTTGTAACTTTTTTGATGGGCTTCATGGAAATTTAAAGTATCAAGAAAGATTTTTTTGCTATTTTTTGGTAGTAGATTTATGAAAGATATAAGATGTAACTTCTGTTTTTTATTAAATGATAAATGTTATTTGGGAAAGAATTAAAACAAGACAACATACAAGATAATCTAATTATTTTATCCACGATACTCTAAAGGGAATGTATGTGCATTGCGAATGTAAGAATACATGTTGTAGAACATTTTGCAAAACGTTAAAAAAGTCATTTGGCCTTTGAAAATTTTTGATTAAGATTTAAGATTGTTAGACATATTTCTTTAAAGACAAATTGTATGAGGTACAACACGATGCAGATATTAGATTGGAAAGTGAGGACAGCACTTTGACGGATACGTGGCACTACGCTTCAGGTAATATTACGAAATACAGTAATTACTCTTGTAAAAGAAGTTACATAGAAAGCTTAAATGTCACCCTAAGTAACAAAATTGAAAATGTTGTAGGCTTTTTGAATAAGCTTGTTCATGGATTGTAATGGCTAAAACAAGCTTTACTCCATTTACATTTGTTTCGACATTTCGTGAACAAAAACACGATCTTTTTTAGTACGCAGACTACTAAATGTCAAGCAAATAAAGTTTAGGTGAAACATTGTTTTATTGCCTTTTAAACTCCACGACTCTAGAATGGTGTGCAATCTTAAAACAGCAATTAAGCTACGGTGTTCCATTTAAAATCTGCACTGAATCATTTTGGGAAATGCGCCATCCTTTAATAATGTTGCATACATATTTTTTATGACATTTGTTCAAATGTCAAGTTTTTGGACGACATATATATCAAAATTCGGCGTTGTTGAACTTCAAATGTTTCCTTTGCATAGTATATGACATTTCAATTAGTATGATACAAGACCTACTAAAGATATTAATATCTGTGCAAGTGCTTAACGTCTTATAAACCAAACGCATAAAATATTTTTTTATCATCCAGACTTTATCAGTACTAATTATTGTTTCTTAAAATGTTTATTAATCCTGAATATATATTTGTTACTCTATAAATTTTAAAGCATCAGAAACTAACAAGAAGTCAAGAAAGAGTTTTTATGAACCTGAGGAGGAAAGCAATTCAAATACAAAGTTAGCCTTGCGCAGAGGTAAATCTCAATTTATATAGTTGAAAATATGTACAAATAACTTCTTGTCAAATTCCGTGCAATTACATCAATAACGGAAGAGCAAATGATTGAACGATAATTAAATATAATTTGATAGCTAAGAGTTGAGTCAATTTAACATAATCTTTATCCTTGAAAACACGAGCTTTTATTATGGTGACGTATTTCTGCCAACAGTAAAATACATAACTATTGCATAACTTATAAGCTTCGTGTTAATCTGATAAATAACAAATCAAATATTTATCTCATGAATTAGATAGTTAAACACATACATATATTTCAAAAAATTAAGATTATCTCTTATTTACCTGTTAAGTGTTAGCAATTCAGGGCACTCATTCTTATTTTGCAAGTAAGACACTTATTTGTCATTTACTCATTTATCTAGTTAATCAGGTTGTTTTTATTTCATAAACACAAAAGCTAAGTGGTTAGTACACAGATATCTTAACATAATAATGAGTTGTTTAACTGTTGATAGAAATAAAAGTATGTCACAATTTATTGTAACTCTATACTTGATAAATATTATATAGAAAACATAAAAGGCATATATGTTCTTATATAATATTTATCAAGTATAGAGTATACATGCCTTTTATGTTTTTATAGTTGCCTCGGAACATAATGTACTAGACGGGTCATATAAGACACAGAAAACGGATGATATACCTGTTATTCAACCTTTGAGATCAAAACAGAGACGGTCAGGTAGAAGGAAATAGACTACAGAATAGCTGTTTGGTTATTCATTAAATAGACTACAAATGTATCTTGCATTCATAAAAGAAAGTGTGAATACCGTGCGTTTAATTAAATGATCATGTGTTGTCATCATACACATATATATATATTCCATACACATAAAAGAGCACCTCAAAGATTTAAAAAAGGACTTTTAATAAACCATATAACTAGATCAGCATGTACCGTGTTTTTTGTTTAATTTATTTTTCTTTCTTAAAGCAAACGGCGGTGAACGGCGTCGTCTTATATGGAATGTCTTTTTGTGGCACATGGTAGGAACTGTTATCAATAACAGTTTATGTCATAAATTATAGTATAATTTTGATTTTTAAAAATCAAGCCAACAAAGATGCTGTTATATTTGTCTTTTATAACTTTATTTGAAAAGTATACGCATTGTGATATTTCTCTATATGAAATGGCGAGCTTTCTTTAACAGCTTATCTCCTCTGACAAAATTTGTATACATGTAATATAACCCTAACGAAGATATAAAAAAGAACAGAAGAACTTAGGTATTATATCCAATAGCACTATATATATATGAATGGCTATTCTCCCCTTTGTCCTACATTTTTGTATTTTTTTAAAAGCCATTGCTGCTTTTATAATGTTTACAAAGAACATAAATATTTTCACAAATTACAAAATGCAGGGACTGCTAGTTTATTGTCAAAACCTTATTCAAATTTAGTGTAGAAATGGGGTGAATTTAAGCAATTTCTGCTTTAAAACACAAAATTCTTTACTGGCTTGCTTTTGCAAGTTTGTCCAGTCGGAAAACTTTTCTACTGTTGTAAGACAAGTTGTATTTGAATGAAGACAATTTTCTAAATTATTGATGATAAAATTGTGAAAATTACAAAACACGTCTTTATAGGGCCAGTGAATGAGATGCAATGTGACAAATTCAATATCTATAACACAAGAAGTTTCCGAGACATAATTCTTTAATATTTTAAAATCAACGGTTATTAATAACATGTGTAATTACAATAAGACAACACTAAATCCAATAACATGTAAACTTTTACAGCAGCAACATAGCATTTGTTAAAATTAAAATATAGTATCATTAAGCTTTAATGATTTGCAAAATAAAGTGTGCACTTTGTTGCAGAGAAATTCTGTATAAAATACATTTTTTAAGCAATATATTGGCAAAACTGTATAGAAAGATGCAAACATTGTAAAAAATAGGAGGGGGAAACGTTGTAAAAAATAGGAAGAGGGAGTGGTGAAATGTAAATGTTGCAGACTATGTGATTTTGCCATTGGATGCGTGGAATATTTGAATAGAACAGGACCGTGCAGTCTTCAACACTTGTGTAGATCAGTTGACAAAGTGACCGTAACTGATCCTGAATAACTGACACGTTTACTAGACCAAAAATCACAATTTTCAACTGTTACTTTTCATCATTTGCTATTTACTAGTTAAATAAATTCTGCTAATTCAAGTTTCACTTAAGAAAATAAAAAATCGAGTAGTCAATACATTTTGAGCATTTTGATACTATCCTTTAAAATTCAGCAAATTATTTTTATACAGTTCATCTTAAAACTAAATATATATCCAAGTGAATAAAAATCTCAGCATCGGGAAATTGCGGGTATCTATAGTCTTTCCTTTTTGATTGAACCAATTCATGATGGGAAGCAGTAATTAATAACTACAACATCCTCTAAGAGATGGTTATGCGAAATGATTGCTGCATTTACAAAATAACGCACTTCAATATGGTTATGAGAAATCATCGTAGCATCGGAAGAAAAAGAGCTTATAATAACGAGATGGTAATGGGAAATGATTATTTCAATGTTCATGATGTTGATACACATGACACCTGCATCGTAAGAAGATGATAATGGGTAATACATGTAATTGTTTAACAGTTTGCACTTGTGTACATGTGACATTTGAGGTGGAGATTTTATAGCACATAGTCCTGAAAATATAAAAGCGTTTGGTATTTGATACCATTTATGTTTACTATAACTAAGGTTATTTCATAAACATGATAAACATTATTATTTGTTGTTTTTATAAACATCAGTTGAATTTCCCCAAATAGCGAGATTCTTATTCATAATATGCAATTATAGTCTCTTAAAATGTTAAAAATTCGTGAAAGTTCACGATCCCATGTATTGAAATGTAATCAGATATCTAGGGCAAATTTGTGAGTCTTTGTACACAATAAATTCCTTTGGGTCGGTTATGTCGTCTACGCCACTATCATACTGATGTTTCAAACTTAAGATGCCAGTCTCCGGAAGAAATCTTGTGCCTTTTTGTCCTTGACACATATTTCCTAGAAAACAAAATTGAAATATGTATACATGGATGAAAAACGAATCAATAAAAAACAATCAAATTTATACGAGGGCTGTCCGGAAAGTTCGTAGACAAGGCTATAAAGTAATTATATGCAGTCATTTCATACATTAAAAAGGTAAAAAAAGTTTCTTCAGGGTCAGTCTTCGAGGGTAATTAGCAGTGTTTTACAATACTACGTAACTATATTACTATATAACTGTATTGTACTATACAATGCACTATTAATGAAATTATTATTCAAAATTAACTGACTTCAAACCTTCAACACTTAATTAAAATCTGGTTACTATAGGCAGATAATGACATGGCTATGTTCTTTTAGTTGGAGTAGTGTAGTTATAGTTTTGCAATCTAGTAAAATAGTATCTGAACACAAAACTAACCCAGGATCAAATACAACAAAATAAAATAAGACTCTAACCTGTCAACACCTTGGACAGAAACATATACCCTTTTCCACCACTGCCAGCAGTAGATAGCCAACGTCGTATAGAATATGATGCGTCAGAAGTGAAATAAACACCCTCTCCATATAACGGAGATACTAAAATTACAAAAGAAAACAAGAAAATACACAATTTAATTTTTTGTTGGATTTAACGTCAGACCGACACTGCGTGTAACGTCGCTCCGATAAGGTAAAGGTCATTTTCAGACATTTCAGCTTTTATAGAAGAGGAAGACATCAGGTGGCCCTTCGTGCATTATTTCAGGCCCGAGCAGACACCCGAATAGAACCACCAATAGTTGAACGAATCAAAAGTCCCTTACGGGAGTCAAAACCAACATGAGTTAAAACAGTGATTCAAATTTTTAAAAATACACAAAATATTGATTTATAAGTAAATACTATAACCAACAAAGAGCAAACCGTCAACAAAGAATGAGTAATGGTTCATGTTACAACTATGATAATAAATCAATAAACAAAAACAATTTTTGTAACTACCTCGTCCACAGTAACTTGTATTGAAACCATGCAGTACGATATCTGACAGTTCATCATGGCTTACTGCATACCACAAATCTCGCTCAACGTCTGAGACTGCACGAGATTTTGATTTTTGTTCCACGATTTGTCTTCTTTGCTCCTGGTATTGTTGGTAAATTTTGTGTGGCCGTATTCTTTCAACCTTTGAAATAGATGACTACCGGTATTATAACAAGTTTTTTATCACTCGCTTTAGAAACTTGGTTCTAAACATATATAATCGAAACGTGTTACAAATATTTTTAATTACATATCTTTTTGAAACATTGTTTGCACTATTGAAGATGTAAACTCTCAACTTTTCATTCTTGTATTTTTTTGTGTTACTATTCTTGTCTGATTCCGGTTGTCATTGCGGAAACTGATTCAAGCATGCCATATTGTTAAGCTCAAATTTAGCAGCACAAAAATCCAAATATTTTCTGTTTATATCCTATAAAGAAGATTACGTGTATCAAATATACAGTTATGATTTCATTCACCATGACTGGAGTGAAAGTTTTGGCAAAATTATATAAGAAAGCGCAATATAGATATTTACAAATTTACTTGCTACATACAAGAGTCAATACATTCTACATTTACAAAATGTATGTTATCATGGTTTCGAATGAATGACTTAATGCTTATTTATCAATATGTATTTTATCACGGTTTCGATTTCTTTTTATTAATGAATGACTCAATACCAGCTCATTCACATTTTTTGATCACGGTTTCGAAAATTTGTTTATGACTGATTCATTGATTGAATAATGATACTTCATTAACGTTTATTTTGTCACAGTTTTGACAATTTCATTATTAATAAATGACTAAATGCTTACGTAAACAATATATGCGCGGTGTTTAAAAAAGGTCGTTAATGTCTTATACCATCATACATCATGCCATTATTAAGATAACAATAATTAAAATGACATTTACTTAGATATCTAATCTGGTGAATAATACAGTTCAGCCACTGTCAATAATTCTACGTGGAAATTAAAGGGTTTTGTTTTAATATCTGTTTAAGAATTATTATAAGCCTGTGAACCTTGCCATAGAGTACTGCATGTTTTATCGTACAGATGATGTGTATTTATTCACTTGGGGCTTGGTTAGATTGTTGCAATTTTCCTAGGCCTCGATCCCTGCACGCTGATGCGACCTTGCATGCCATACATTGTCTTCTAATTACAGTATAACGAGTGTCAGAACCAAAATATGCACTACAGCTTTACCTTTATGACTGAAATGTCCTTCATCTCAAATATGTTTCTGTATTCATATGAACCTTCTCCTGACAAAAAAGAATCCTCGATTTCTTCACATGTCCATTCCATCCATTGTTCTTCGGTGGCGGCAAGATCTTTTGGAACTGCAAAATATTGAAGCGAGAATCTTTAGTAAGCTTCTTTACTACACTTAAATTATATGACATGTTTTTTTAGATCGAATCTCGCTACCTTGGTTAAATCAAGCTCTAAGCTAAAGTAACACATAATGTTTATATGTTACAATTGAGATAATTAATAAATTTGATTTATAACGATTAAACATGAAATTTATGAAATTATAATAGCTCTTTATATCGTACTAACGTGTATATGATGTAATACTTTACAGTTATTTTAAGATCGCCATAATTTAGGACTTGCCAGAATTTTATGAAACACAGACACGCCATTTTCTCCGATAAGGCAAAATCAATGGAAACCGAATGCAATCCCATTTAACGACACTTTCTTCTGCTTATCTGCCCAATAGCATGCTTAGGACATAGGTCAAATATATAAAGTTCTTAATAGGAACCTAGAAAAGACCTAATGTTCCTGGTATCAGTCCAGATACCCTCGTAGAAACACATAGCTTCCGTAACCTAGCTTGGTGGTTTCTTCACATTACGGAATTAAAAGTTCCTGGCAAGATTGTAATCGATTTTGAAAAAGAGACTCAGACTCATTTCAACTAATATATTAAATATTGGGTTAAAGAAATCATATATCAAGCTGGATTAACTGTATCAATTACACATATTTTAGTTATAGATGGTTCGAATAAGTTATGTATACATGCAAGTATGTGTAATAATGCTAGAGAATTATACAGGTGTAAAATACAATATTTATATTACACACCTTCTATTATATCCTTCCTAATGACTCTTATTCTATCTGTGGCATCTGACTTTCGATATTCTACAAAGTGTTGAAAGTCAACCAGGAAGCATTCACCATTTTCCTCAAACATAAAACATTGTAAGTTAGCTCTATATGCCTGCTCTATTCTGTAATTCAACAGCTTCTTATAAGGCACATTATTGAATCCAGTAAGAGTAACTTCTTCGTACTGCCACTGTACAAGATGGGCAAGCTTCTCTGCAGCATCTAAATCTGGTTTTGTGTCATTCATTTGCAAAAGTTTCTTACGTATTTCTTGTGTAACATCAAGTACATCTTCTCTCGGTCCATATATCGAAATAATACCTGATGCTTGATCAATGGTAATATCTGCAAGAGCAATCATATCGATTTCTCCAATCTGAAAAAAACAACAACATAAAACATCAATTAACAGCAATATCACTACTTGCTTTATCGAAATCGATATCGTTAAACTATCATGGATTGAAAGACCATGGTTGCGTTTCGTAGAAAGTTATAAATCTGACATTTAAGATCAAAACTGAGACAATTTTGCATTTAAAAAAAAATGTCCTGACTTATGACTCCCATGTTATGACTACTTTAATTTTTTAATGTTTAATAGAAAACAGATGGACATCAAAATCTTTGCAGATTTAAGCGTGTACCATTGTACATTCCTAAACTTTTCCCGTAGAATGGATTTAATTAAAGTCTAATGTTTTTGACTATAGATAAAACCTTTATTGAAAAGGTCTTAAGTTTGTCCTAAGTAAGTCTTATGTCCTAGGACTTAGGACACGTAGGATATTCGAGGCCCTATAATGTTACAAATTTTGCAACTTCACCATTTCGTTCTTCAGGTAGAAAAATAGCATGAAAAGATTATACAAAAATAAAGTAGGTTTGGATAGCTAACTTAGGAAAAAATAGGATGAAGTCTAAAATAATAATAATAAAGGCAATACGAAATGATTGTCCCGAAAACTTAAAATATAATTTATAAAAGAAAGATACACTATTATTGCATTATTTAATTGATTGGAAAATACTAACTTGTTCTCGATGGAGAGACTGAACTATTTTCGTGTAGTTATCAAGTTTTCTTTCGATATACATTTGATCAATGTTGGTCTCTAGCATCTTCTTACAAAGTTTGATGTTGTCTCGTTCATCTGAGTATACACGGATTTCTACAGACGACGTTTCTTCAACAACTGCCTTCCATTGTTTCGCAGACATATCACACATTTCCTCTCCTGAATCATTGCCGGCTGAAGCAAACTGCCGTAATGATTTAAGTCCTTAAATGAAGTAAGGAGATTGGTTTTAGTAATATTGAAATAATTGACCTGAAATGTATGCGTTAAAATGCAAAAATATCTTATTTAACGCAAAATGTCGTAATGTTTAAATGCTGAAATGAAGTATAGACGTCGGCTTTGATTGCATTGAAATATTTGACTAAAACTGTTAAAATAATTTTTTTAAAGTATTAGGTTATACGCAATAAAACCGCTGCTGATATACAGGAGAGTCCCTTATTACTTTACCGATATGAATTCCAAAACATGTAAATCACCATAGAAAATAAATAATTTATTGTTTTTCAAAAATCGTGTTTTTCTCTAAAAGTAACTTTTAACTCACTTGAAGAAATTTGCTGTTCCCCAGTAGTAGTTTCGCTTTTTGATTCCTGTATGAAGGCTTGTAACGCGTCTATAATTTGTGAATGCAGTTGTGGTTGCTTGTCATACACAATCAAATATACATTACGTAAGGAAGGCGATGGGTGGGACTGTTCAAATTCTTTAACTGCTTTTATAAGGCACCTAGTTATCTCCTTGGCACAAAACGTTTTAAAACCCTTCCCTACAATTGAGTATCATATTTCAATTTTGTATAGTTTCATAAAGTAACAGAAATCATAGATAAACATTAAATGAACTTCTTAAAATAAACGTTTCCATTTATATTAGACTGTGTGAATAATACGTGAATAATAATGGTATAGTTTTAAAATACCATATTGACTCATAAGATATAGAAACATAATAAAAGCAATTATTTCTAGAGCATATAAATAAGATTTTGAAGCGATTATAGTTAGATATCATATACAAATATATTATATATCTACTCTACGTTTACCTATTCTATTGATTTTGTATTCAAAAGGAATAGTTATCCAACCAAAAAGCAACATATTTGAAAGGTAAATATGTCATTAATATAGGATCTTATAGTAATTACACAAAGTTTTTGATAAATGACGGTGGGTTTACCTGTGCCTAAAACTGGAAAAGAAATTGAACTGTAAGACTTTTCGTTCGCTAGCTCTAGGCACTTGCGCATCCGGTATTGCCAGTCTTTAAAGTTATCTGCAAACTGTATATGTATCACCGACCTCGCATGTAAACCTTTCGCCTCCGTTATCACTACCTTCTCCATATTCAGCTTATGTTTTAACGCTGCGGAATTGAAAATGAAATACTTAAGACAAACAAGATATTCTCTCGTTTAGTTTCAAATTTTAATTATGTGAAATGGTCGAGTAAAAAGTAATCGTAGACATGGTCTATGTTTTGGAGATTAGGCATTCAAACACAGTACATAGTCAATCTTGTATTCATATAACCATTTAGTGATATCTCTAGATATTATACATAAAATTAAACAAACATAGATAAAATTTGACCACTGTATCAGCTCAAGTTAACCACTTGTTCTGATACTTAATACAATATGTAAGTTCAGCTGCGTTAGTAAGTATTATAATAATGAAGACCTAACTGATTGATACTAAACCTTTTTGAACGGTCAAGCACATAGTACATGTATAGTACTATAAGGAAAGAAAAATATATCTTATTTCCATTCTATCATGTTAGTGCAAAGAAAATCTTTGGATTAATTATAATGTGAAATTACGGGGAGCAAAGAAGCAAATTTTTGTCGTCGTTATGGTTTACTGATGTTGCATCTGACGAAATAATGTAAAAGATTTTAAAAGTCAAATAAAATGTAAGATTTTCCTTCTTGATAGTTATGAAAGAATTCAAAATGGAAAATATCTGATACGTATACATTTATACGCCAGGAGTTTCTTTCGATCTGTGAAAAAGTTATGTAGAGATCAAACAAAACAATAGTATAAAAGATGTTAAAAAATGAGTTTCTATTGAACATATAGTCATATTTTGTTTCCTCTAGAGAGCCAAATGTTCCGGTTTACACATGAGAAATCTTTGCAACTAAAAATGAATTTCAATCATCGGGCAGGAGTCTCATGGTCATTTGTCTCTCCACTGTTAACACAATAATATTAGAATAGTAGTCAGTCACGTGTGGGGAAATATTGGTATTTACTGGTTTGTTTTTCAGAAAAGCCGTTTAGGTTGACCAACCTGCGAAATACAAGGATCGACGTTAAAGTCTTTAACATGTTTAACATACAAATGCTCATTTCAATTTCAATCCGTCACTGTAAATAATATCAACATTAATATGTTTAATTAACCAAGCTGGTTAAAACGTTAATTTATCGACACACTTACCTTCACTGCGACACTGTTTTTCTAGATCTGGGCATTTGGTTTTCATTGCATATGCAACTGACCCTGCAAAATAATCATACTAATATCATATACGAGCACAAACATTCTAACACCCGTCGCTTATACTTTCATTATCTTTTCCAGGAACCTTGAAAATGGTTTCTATTTCTAAATCATCTAATAAACTTACAGAAATATGAAAGTTTTAAATTGTAAGTTTTCACATTCATATAGTCAACACACTAATGTCTGTTTAGCATGTACTATAATTTGGATTCAACATTGTTACAAAGTGTTGCAAAAGTATTGCACGGATATTCTACAGTTACGATTTTTCTTTAAACGTGTATATTACTTTTACAATATAAAACATATTATTAAAATGTAAAACACTTTACTGCAAGGGGTTTTTCTATGTTTTACCATACTTTATTATGATATTTGTATTTATATCCCTGTATTTGCATTCGAAATTAACAATCTTTAAAGTGACATTATGCTCAATTTATCATTGTCACGTTGAGCTGAATTGATTATATATTTCATGAGACTGACTGTTATAATGGTGATTGACCAACAGGGAATCTTGGAAAATGTTAAGGATAAAATATTAATTTGCCTAAAATATAAAAAAGACTGCCCCACTCTTTTAATAAATTGAACGTTACAGGTAAATTTCGATGGGTATTTTTAGAAATTTCCTTGGGCGATATGGTTTATCAATAGTTCATGCAAAGTGAATTATAATATTGAAAAAAGTTATGGCAAAATGTAAACTTATTTTGACTTTAACCCGTTTACTCACTATATACCCTAAGGTGGGCATAATATCACTTTAAATTATAGTGGTGTTGTTCAAAACAATAATTTTAGATGGGTAAAAGTTCAAGGTGACCAAAAGTAAGATTAACACGATGTCTTACCGATCAAAAGAAAGTCTTTGCCAACGCTGGTTACAATGGCGTCAGTTTTCTGTTCTAATATGTCTCCCATCTGGACCCTTACTTTTACCTTACCTTCTGACAAACCTAACAATGTAAAACATGATTTATATGTTAATGCATGTGTGTACAACAATCAAAGTCAATAAAACTTTTCAGTTTTTTTTAAAGGAAACAATATAACCGTCCTCCAATTATTTATTTTGTGAGACACAATTAGACAGACACTTCTCCCCTCACAAAACATTTCAGTTTTTTTCTAATCAACTAAATGTTCTTGTGCTACATTATTTTTTTCTTCAAATTTAGTGTAAGGTAACAGTTGAAAACTTTTTACAACTGACATCACATGAATTTCGTTTTAATACTCACTTCAGTCAAGAAAGTATAGTATTCCATCCATTAATCCTTTACAAGTGTAAAACATTTATCACCGATATTTTGCCAGACCAGAGTGCATATTCGTGCAGACTGACAAAGCTAAATTATGTCGGTAGACCAACTTTCAAATTTTCATTGAAACATCTCTGAGCTGTTCCGAAATTGAAGTTGGTCAAGTCCATTTAGGAAATTGAGGGTTAACCATTTAATACATATTTAACAGCCTATCGAAAAGATTTCTTTACTTTCATTTAATTCTTAAAGATTTATTAAATATAACTTTTTAAGATTTTTTGATGATACAATCTTGCACTTAGTCCACCAATAAGTGTTTACCTGGTTCACTACTAAATCCATGCTGTTCATCCAGAGAACTTCTGAATGGTCTTCTTCCTATGCCCTTTGCATTTAAAACATACGCCTTGAATCTCTAGAAAAGAAAATAACTTGTGATATATTTTAGTCATGCCACTGGTTTATATAAATGTGAAATCTGAGCTGGCTATAAACATGCCAACCAAAGAAAACTGTTCCTCCTTGGATCCACAGCAAACGGTTCTGCCTGGGACTCACAGAAAATTGTTTTCCTGGGATCCACAGAAAACTGTTTCACAGATTTACCGACTGATCTACCCGGCCACGTACACATTTCCTCCCTAATTTGTGAACAGTTTTATACGATGACAACAGTAAATATTTGAAAGTTAAACTATTACCACATAAGACTTAACGCTTGATAAAGACATGATTTTAGTTTTGACATACGTTATCATGTATAAGCCTTTAGCATGATGAAATCATTCACAGATAAAGACACCGTTCATATGCAACACTCATATAGCAACAGACCAGTTGAATCACGTGATACAGAAAGGGCAGTGATCGTGTTTCATATATAGATCGACTCATACTTGTCAGTTAAATGTTTACAGAGCACAACAACTTTATAAGCACTCTTTATTATATTTAAATATAGTGCATATACAATGTTCTTTGTTACATACATTTAACAATCATGATAAATTTGAAAATAATTTACATTTATGGTTTCACCATCCTTTGGATCTATAACGAACTTTACAGTCTTCAATGCCGATTCTGGATTTTCCTTCGCCCATTCTATCACAGTGTCGAACAATATTGTGCATACATCCTCTTTGAATTCATAACCATTGTCGCCTTTCAACAAAGCGGGTATAGCCAACGATACAAACCCATTTATCACAGCGTGAAATAGAACCTTTCTGACGACTTCCTTCAAGTGTTCCTTTGAGTGCTAAAATATGTTTTTACATTATAAACTTAAATTAAAATACTTGTAAAAATGATATTCGCCATCAGTTTATATATTCTATTAATTGAAATAATGTATATAATACCAAAGATGATTTAAAGTTAAACAGAACAAACTGTGAATATACGCGATAAACCCAATTTGGAGAGCGAACATTTTAAGCAAAACAAATTATGATATTGAAATGACTATATTTATTGGAAAATTTATAAAATAAAGTAAGAACAAAGATAAACAAGTCGAAGAGACGTTCACAGAACAAATTTCAGACACATATGGCCACTTGGAAGGCACACAGCAGGAAACCTAGCCAAAAGCAGGGAATTGCATTAAAAACTGGAGATGGAGGATGCATACTTAACATCTATTCTTGTATATCAGACTTTCTCTTTCCGTTATTTGTAAATTTTATGAGTCTCGTGCTCAAAAATAACGTCTTTTCGGCGTATTTTACGAATTTATTTCGTGCATTGAATGACGTCATTTTGCCGTTATGAGTTGTAAATTCATAATATCTTACCATAAGAAAGAAATATCATATAACAGATGTAATTACATTAATTTCTATTAAACATTACTTATATGAGACGAATGATTTAAAACAGGGTAGAAAATAAACAAATGTGGGAATCAAATATGTATGATAACTGCGGTGGCGTGGGGGGGGGGCGTTGAGGCGGGCGGTAGGAAAAACTTACCATTGGCGAAAAATCCCATGATGGGACACACAGAAAAAAAAAGAATTAAAAAGCTATAGCAAGTGTCTCAACAAGAACATAACAATAAATTAGTTATACAAATAAAGGGACATAAAAGGGAACATTTTTTGAACGACCAGGAGCAAAACCGTTTCGCTTTTACATGTAGGACATACATGTTCTTCTAAGAAGAGACAGTGTAATAAAAGGATTTACCGTTCAAATCTAACAATTGTTATGGCTATAGAAAGCGAAACACTTAAAGAGAGACAAAGTTACGTCACACACACACATATATATATAAAGACTTATGATTCAAACACATATATAACCAAGGATTTAATCTAACAATCTTTTTGAAATCTGTTATTTTTCAATTTGCATGTTAAATCAGCAAACATCCCTTACATGTTAATAGAAACAGATTTATTTATACAAAGACAGACGTAAGTGTTTAAAGATACATTTATTTTGATACCTTATTTAAATATCCGGTTCTTCTACATCTACTAATATATCTATATCCAATTCATGTCGACAGATTTTCCGAAATGATATAAGTATCAGACCTTGTGTTAGGTAACATACCTTGTGATAACCTTGAAATATACTTACATAATCAGTGTCTCCTTTGATTGATGCCATATAAACAGTCTTGCAAGGTAAATTTCCTACTCTGATTTCCGCAATGTCATCCATTCCAATTTGCCAATTGTATTTAGACTTGCACTCATCCCTTAACAGTTCTCCACCTTTGTCAAAAAGTGTGTCAAGCACAGCGTTATGCCTGCGGTCCATGTTTGAAGATGATGAACTAAATATAGCATCCACCTAAACAAAACAATGAAACATTTCATCATTATGTCACAGAAATCAATGACTTAAAATGTAACAGTCAACGAATAAGCTTGTAATATACGACGTACTTTCGGTAAAGCTTTGGTTGCAGAGTGCCTCTGATTGAAGATAGTTACTATGAATACTGACACAGCCCTATCATGCTATATATAGAGGTTTCTTACTGTCTCGATATACATGTAATGTTTAAGCGAAAATTAACTTTTTTGGATCTAAAAATAATGAAAAGATTCTAAAAAATAACAAGAGGGCCATGATAGCACTGAGTCGCTCACCAGAAACAACTGCTTTTCAGTGTTGGAATGTCAATATATCTTAATATTAAATTTGAGCGTAGAATATGTTTAAACAATAATTTAAAGAAATGCCATGACCTGGGTCATTTAAGCTTTAGCTTAAACGGGGCTAATCAAATTAATATGAGCGAACTTGATAAAAGACTACCTAAGAATGCTACAAAGATTGGTGATTATCTATCGATTATTTCAGTAGGAAATGATGTTCGAAGGCTTTTTCTATTTTTAGCTTTAGTGGCCCCTAAAAGGGGCTCAAGCAAACTTGATAAAAGAGTACCCAAGAATGCTACAGACAGAGTTTGGTGATCATCCATCAATTGGTTCTGAAGTAGAAGATGTTTAAAGGTTTCTCTATTTTTTTTTAGCTTTAGCGGCCTCTAAAAGGGGCCAATCAAATGAATATGAGCAAACTTGATAAAAGATTACCCAAAAATGCTACAGACAAAGTTTGGTGATCATCCATTAATTAGTTCTGGAGGAGAAGATGTTTAAACGTATTTCTATTTTTAATTTTAGCGGCCCCTCAAATTAATTTGAGCAAACTTAATAAAAGACTACCCAATAATGCTACAGACCATCAATTAGTTCTGTAGGAGAAGATGTTTAAAGGTTTTTCTATTTTTAGCCCTAGAAACCCCTAAAAGGAGCCAATCAAAATAATATTAGCAAACTTGATAAAAGACTACCCAAAAATGCTACAGACAAAGTTTGGTGATCATCCTAGAAATATATATTTAACGGTATTTCTATTTTTAGCTTTAGCGGCTCCTAAAAGGGGCCAATCAAATTAATATGAGCAAACTTGATTAATACTACCAAAGAATGCTACAGACAAAGTTTGGTGATCATCCATCCATTAGTTCTGTAGAAGAAGATGTTTAAATGAATTTCTATTTTTAGCCCTAGAGATCCCTAAAAGGGGCCAATCAAATTAATATGAGCAAACTTGATAAAGACTATCCAAAAATATGCTACAGACAAAGTTTGGTGATCATCCATCAATTAGTTTTGTAGAAGAAGATGATTAAAGGTTTTTTCTATTTTTAGCTCTACTGACCCCTAAAAGGGGCCAATTGGAATGACATGAGCAAATTCATGTGTGACTGTCACACACTGATGCTACAGACCAAATTTGAAGTAAATCTGCTCAGTAGTTTCAGAGAAGAAGACGATTGTTGACGCATGACGACGGAAGACGGACGCCAGATCATCCCCCTTTGATACTAATACTTCGGCTCTGGTGAGCTAATAAAAAAGGAAATGAAAAACAAACAAACAAACAAAAAAGCAAAAATATTAAAGGTTATACGTTAAACTAGCGTGCAACATAATATTTAGAATTGGAACATACAATTTCATGAAATAATCAATAGTTATAAAAGTCAGTGTTATTTTTATTTACAGAGCAGTATTACTGAAACTTCATAAAACCTACATTTTGAGTTGTGATATCGTCAACACAAACTTGCATCGTCAATTCGGCAGCTTTGAGATCTGTAGGCAGCAATTCAAAAGTATATATGTACATGTTCACAATGTTAAGTTATTCATCTTAAAGCGACACGACTAATGTATTATTCATAAAATAAAAACACTGTCAAGATTTAAAAAATTGTCGATAAATAATCGGGAACAGAAGTCGTAAAAGGTTTCAGTTTTTGAGGATTTATTGACTTTATCAAAAACAAAACCTCTTGCGCTTACCGAATATGTGCTGATTTCTGCCGCGATTTTCTTTTCTCATTCTTTCCTCTTCTTCAAAAGCCTGTAAAAGTTTTTTTTAAAAATTGTATTTTTATACTGTTTATTTCCATATAATTGTAATATAATAACGGTAATGCAAATTTATTATTGAAAAACAAATGTTGTATTGAATTCTGCAAACTTGGTTTTGTTGAGTTTATTCCAAACAGACAATGGTACACTGCAACAACTCTAATGTATGTGGCATGAACAACAGTACAATCAGGTTTTCTAATAATTTTTTATCACAGCATACTGCAACAAATTGCAAGACATATTAAAGTGCAATGATTGTACCATCCAACGCAACGTTTTGTGTAGGTAACGTTATTATAGATAATAACTTGATAATATAATAATATCGGTAATCTACAGACCTAAAACTTGGTTTTAATTAGAAATAAACTTTGTGTTTACAATATATTCATTTATTTGCTACTGATGCAAACCTTTATAGTTGAGCCATCTTTTGGGTACAAAACAAATCTGACATCTTTCAATGTAGTTTGAGGATGGCAGCGATCAAAGGTCACGACAGCATCATACATAAGGAACGCAACGAGATCTTTCGGGTAATTCAACTGCCCAGTACCCAATGCGCTGAAAACTATCGATTTCATCTCCTGGTCTGATGCACGCTCTAACGACTTTTTCATGATCATTTTGAAGCCCTAAAACATATTTATTTTCATATAACACGGTTTGAAAACCAGAAAAAAGACACAAGTCAGTTGTTTTCACATTCAAGAATTTTATATAGCTATTATAGAGACTAGAATTGTCATAGAAGCATCCAAAGCATAATATGTTTAATCTGATATAATTATTTCTCTTTTTTGCTTAGTCAGTTGTTTTTCTTAATTTGAATCAATATCTTTTTAAAAAGCTCTTCTAAAACTGCACGTTTATAACGGATAACCGTGACGTTTATATAATCTAGCTATATACAAGACTGCTGTTAGTACATAAAGTAGTTTTCGCTTTATATCACATAAAGTAATTCTTCTGCATTATCAATGCGTTATAAAGATCTCTGATATATTATAAATTATGTCCGCAGATAAAAGATATACAGTAAACCCTCTCAAAGAGGCTTGTGATATATAAGCTTTCAAACATTTATACTGAGCCATTAAACATGTCAGACATCTTTTTATGTTATCTTATCTTATTATACAGCACGTTTACAAGTAACTTCGCTTTTCTTTAGATAATTGTAAAGTTTATATAGTTTTATTCTGATGTCGACAAAATTAACTGTCATAATTGATTTGATAAAGATAATGCAATTTTACATACTTTCTTCATCTCCTCGCCGGATGTCCAGGTTGGTAAAGTGGTCAAATACACATATTTACATGCCAGATTTCCACAACCTTTAATAACTGCCACTTCATCAGACTGAATACCCTCTGGATACATCTTATTGCACGCTTCTTGAAGTTTTCCGCCAGCTTTCAACCCTAATGATTTGCACGCATTACCACTTTTCAAATTCAAATTGTGAGACGTACCAGCGACGATAATATCTCCCTAAACGTGACAAAATAAAACAGTGGCTAAATTAAAATTAAATATTTCATGATTTGTTAAGATTGAAAGAACGATAACAAATTAGCTTAAATGAGATTTATTATTTAACATAACATAGTGAGCACAAAAGCCTCTATGTTATAGATAGTATAACTTTACGTTGGATTGTTAAATTTGACCAAATTCAGAAGTCGGTCTAACACATTACTTTTGGTAGTTACTTGTTATTATCACCATATACTCAAAAAGTTTTCTTAAAGTTGTTAAAACTAAACTTTAAATATTTCCTATTAAATACATAAGTTAAGATTTAAGAGTAAACGATATAGGGGACTGTATGACATCTTATCATCTAAATTATCTCACATTTCAATTTCATAGTTTTTATGGATTTTATACATACTTCTTGCTCTCCAAGTTCTCCTTTAACAAGAGTAACGTTGACGCCAATTGCTGTTTCAGAAATGTCATCTCTTTCGTACGGTATTTCACCAGAAAATTCTGATAAAAATAACTTATATATTATAATGTACTTACAAACGTAAACATAACGAGACGCATTTTTTACATCATTAGTGATACTACAACGATAACAAGATATACGAATATCGTAGTTTTTGCTTTTGGAACGTTGCTCTTTTCCAGTTTACCGTGGATAAAACAAATTTAAAATAATTTAAGAAAAGACAATAACATCTTAAGGATTTATGATATTTATATGACAAGATGGGAAGTAAAAACATTTCAAGACAATATGTATTGAATTTACCTAAAATTCTAGCTCTAAATGATTTAAAAAGAAAATAGTACTTATAAGAGAAAAAAGATTTCTGTCAATGAAATAGGAAGATATGGTAATTGTGCGTTTTGACATACCTTGGTCTTGTTTTGTTTTAGAAGGACATAACACACTTCCTTTAAATTCATCACTGCTATCTATATTTGATGCACCTGAAGCCAACCGTGTTGCATGTTCATCGGGAAATTGAATGATGCATCTGTATAAAAGGATAAATCAAAGATCATAACTATTCAACTATGAACGTGTCTTGAGAGAAACGCATGAAGCTAGAAATAATCATATATACTTTAATCCGTTGTTTGTTTCATTTTACGCCTTTTTCCAACAGTATTTCAGTCATATAGGCGGGTAGTTTCCTAACCATCGTTCCAGGAGAGTTACACCAGTACTAGACTACCTTCCTCCGCGCTAAACTACCAAAGCATCTCCTGGGGATCGAACCCACGCCAGAGAGGTTACTGGATTAGAAGTCATTGACTCTAACCCCTCGACCACGGAGGCGTTAAAATCTACATATGTTTTAAGCGAGACTTTTTATAGACTTTTTGTGTTATGCAACAATGTACGTTTACAATAGGTGAAGTGTTTTGAAAATCAAAGATAAAGTGAAATGATATGATTATGCATTATAAAAGTAAAATAAACTTTAATGTTATCTAACAACCGATGGCAAATTACTCATTCATAGCTGCAATTCAATGAAATCTGCCAACAAACGTATTGCATATTGTTTGATATAATATAATATTTTGTTAAGACATATTACAATTACATAAATTCCCCTTTCTATAAATAATGCATAAAACTCCCCCTTACCAAGTCAAATGTAACACAAATATTAACAAGAATGCCATGATGGCTCTGAGTCGCTCACCAGAAACAACTGCTTTTCAGTGTTGGAAATTATCCATTGTCAATATTTTCTTATATTAAATGTGTGCATAGAATATGTTTAAACAATAATTTGAAGAAATGCCATGACCTGGGGCGTTTAAGCCTTAGCTCAAACGGGGCCAATCAAATTAATATGAGCAAACTTGATAACAGACTACCTAAGAATGCTACAAAGTTTGGTGATCATCTATAGGAAATGATGTTCAAAGGTTTTTCAATTTTGGCTTAAGTGGCCCCTAGAAGGGGCTCTAAATGATTTAAAAAAGAAAATAGAACTTATATATATAAGAGCAAGAATGCTACAGACAAAGTTTGGTGATCATCCATCAATTATTTCTATAGAAGAAGACCTTTTAAAGGTTTTTTCTATTTCTTTTAGTCCTAGAGACCCCTAAAAGAGGCCAATCAAATAAATATGAGAAAACTTGTTATAAGACTACCTAAGAATGCTACAGACAAAGTTTAGTGATCATCCATCCATTAATTTTGTAGAAGAGATGTTTTAATGTTTTTCTATTTTTAGCCCTAGAGACCCCTTAAAGAGGCCAATTACTTTAATATGAGCAAATTTGATAAAAGACTACCCAAGAATACTACAGACAAAGTTTGGTGATCATCCATCAATTAGTTCTGTAGTAGAAGATGTTTTAATGTGTTTCTATTTTTAGCTCTGTTGACCCCTAAAAGGGGCCAATTGAATTGACATTAACAAATTCAAGTGTGACTGTCACAAGAATGCTACAGACCAAATTTAAAGTAAATATGCCAGGCAGTTTCAGAGAACAAGACGATTGTTGACGCATGACGACGGACGACGGACGCCGGAGCATCCCCCTTTGATACTTATAGCTACCCTGACCTTTCGGTTCTGGTGAGCTAAAAACGGAAACATATAATTCAGAACTCATTTTCAAAGAAAGTAAATTAAGAATTTTATATAATCATAAATTCATGCTTACCGCTGATTGGTCCCTTCAAGACTAAGTTGCATTTGTTTTTCATCATCTCGCAGTGCAACTTTTACACCAACCTTTTGAATGATTACCTTTTCACAAATAATTTCTTCAAATATAACATTCAATTCCCGCTCTGCTTTCAATACTCCATCTTCGCAACCCGTTACAATTACACGTTTATCTAATAAACAAAAAATACCAGAATTATAATTATTTATATATCCAGCATATACGAGTTTTTTCCTCCTAAATTTACATGAGTAAAAACGAAACATTAGAACGAGATATGTTACAACTACTTTTAATGAAAGTAATATGCAACTGTTGTATGTTCAACAGAAGACCTTTAGTATTAAAAACGCCTTAACATATATGAAATATATATATATTTTGTACAATGATAAGACTTTGTTCAAAAATAACGATCGACTTTCGTGTATGATGTTTTAACCAATATAATCACTATTAAGCCATTTACCCTGAATGTCTATATTCACTGAATACGCCTTCTCAAGACTGCGAACAAATTCTTTCTTGTACTTTTGTAGAAACTGCAAATATCCTACATCTTGTTCTATTACACGTTCTACTATTTGTACCGGTATTGAATACAAGAATTCTTTGACCTTACTGTGCACGACTTTTACTTCCTCTTTCATTCCATAAATCGCCAGTATTCCCTGCGATTCAATATATTGCACTTCAACATGATCATGGTAAGTATTGTTTATTTCTTTCAGAAAAGTCTCTAGTTTTCTTTTATCAAAGGTAACAGGTACAATTTCTTGAATCTCTAAAATCGACGCGTTTAAAATGTCCTCAGGGGTAGTACAGGTATCTTCAGCGTAGTTGTGTTCGCTAAGTACTTTAAACCTTTCCCCGGACATCGCCGGCTTAACTTCATCAAAGGTGTACACATTTATATCCCTATTATCAATTTCCCATTCTACAAAGTTGGATGTATATCTACTTTTTAAATGTGATGTCAGCTCATCTTTCAGTTTACCCTCGATAAATTCTACACATGCTTTGGTAAAGTCATGTTTTTGTTTCCTTTTCACAATTTTGTTGGTTACCTCATACAGTCCCAACTTCACTTGCACTAAATCTTCTGGAGAACTTCTAATGACAATGTCAGTTTCTCCGTCTTTTATATGTATTTTCATTTTCCCCATTTCCAATTTCATCTCTTCGAATACCCCACAAGCGCGCATCAGTTGTATTTTTGGAGCTTCAAACACGACAATTTCTGTTTCTTGCCTTAGTTCGCTGTGCTTTTCCTCTAGCTTTGCACACAACTTATCAACAGTTTGTCGTAAGCCGAGAATAAAGACTTCAAAGCGTGTTTCATCAACACTGCACACCAACTCTTCGCATCCTTCAAGATTCTCTAAAAACATATGAAGAATGCATTTTAGTTTTGAACTTCTTTAAACAACTAACATATTTTATGTTATATCATATATCAAATATCTGTAAGTCCATAACTTTTACAACGATTTAAATGCATTGAGGAGCAGCTGTTAATTTTATTTACAAAAACCTCGATTCTGAATTACTATCGATCGTTCATTACGGATTATTACCACATTTTTGTCTGTTTGATTGGGTTTTACGTATCACCGACACAAAATAGGTCATATGGCGATTCCAGCTTTACTGGCGGAGGAAGACCTCATGTGCCCTTTCGTGCATTATTTAAGGCACGAACGGGCACCTGTGTAGAACCACCGACGTTCCGTAAGATAGCTGGATAGCTTCCTCACATGAAATAATCCGAAGTCCCTGTCGGGATTCGAACCCACATGTTAGCAAGTATACAGAAAAGGTAATGACCTCGATTACCAATGAAAAAAGATTAGTCCAGATATCAAGTTATACGTATGAGTACCTGACTTGAAGTACAACATGAAATCATTCCAAACACTTTCGCTTGTTTTGAAAGACGTTTCAGTGATATTATTCTTGATGAACCTATCAACAATATGTTCTGATGTTTCCTTCCATTCATTGGAAAGCCTTCTGAAACCAATAACAGACGGAGTAAGGGAACAAGACAACTCAATCCCTTTCCCAGTAATCTTTGACACACAGTTATTGCTCTTGAGCTCGGCAGACAGTTGCTCACAACATTTCCTGGAAAACAAAAATATTCATAAATTAATGAAAATATATTTGTACTGTGTTACATTAAATGATACACACAAGGTTAAATTATCTATCCCACTTACTTCCAATGAAATCGGATGTTCTCACTTTTTGTCTTCATTGATAAAACACTCTTGCTGTAGATGAGTTTTATAATTGATTTTATTGTAAAATACAGGAACATTATACGTATACTTTCGTACATATAAACCTTATAGTCATACAAGCGTTCATTAACATTATAAAATATCGGGCTACATATTCGGTATTCAACAAAACTTTACAAATTACCTTTGCAAAAGTGTTGTGATGTTACGATCAAGTTCTATAGTAAACGATTTCGGAATACTCAAGTAATGCGTTTCCGTGTCCCAAATCACTACATCTTCAAATATGTAACAAGGTGACACTCTGAGTTCCATTCCTTCCCATATGAAAGGTGATGATCTTGAACACACATTCTTAACAACTAGATCAGAAATTATAGAATATAAAATATACATGTTCTGAATAAATAGAGGATATTCAAGTTTTTTCTATAAATACATTATTTATTTTCATCGAGTGGTATGAAAATAAATATTTCATGAGTGGCGGTAGCCACGAGTGAAATATGGTAATTTTCATGCCACAAGATGAAAATAAATCATGTATTTATAGAAAAAACTTGAATTTTCTGTTTATTATATACATTTTTCTCTTTTTTGCGATAAAATTGGAAAGACTTTCCCTTAAATTTTGTTTACTGGCAGAATTTAAAAGAAAGTAGTCCGGCAAGACACCAGTGAAAATACGGAAAATATGTTTCACTGCAGTGAAAAATAAATTTTTACAGTGAAAATACGGAAAATGAAAATACCCATTTTATTTTATCAATATTTCTCAATATTTCATTTATAAGTATATAATAAAAACGACTCCTTCAACAGTTTTATTTAAATTTCTAATTGATATAAATTATATCAGTGCCGTATAAGGAATATAAAATATGATCTCATAGGATTCATTATGGATTTATCATTTCCTTTCAAACCAATAAGATATGACATAAATATATGATAAAAGCATTATAAATTAAAGCAACATTCACGTATATGTGAAGACAGTGAAAATTTCTCCACCAGTATGTATATGTGGAAATTCAATTCGGAAAATAAAACTAAGATAATCTTTATATCGAATCTACAAATTATTACAAGTTCTTATCTTATATAAATATATAATTAATGGAATGAAAATTTTTTATTCAAAAGCAATACATGTTAAATCAAAATTGGTAAATGTTTTACTTCAAACGGAATGATGTCTGTCATACACATGTCTTATATTTGTTAACATGGCTAAAACAATTATATTACTTCATATAAGTGTTACATAATTAAGAATTACAATGTAATATAGATTTAACATGAAAATGAATGATGAATAGCATGAACTAAAAATCTTGAAAAGAAATTTTAACGATATAAGTGTGGTTCGTTCTAAAGAGCGTGACTTTATAAATGTAAATTGACGGTAACTAACATTATGCCTATTTTTTTTCGCTGTTGAGTTGAGTTGGCTATATATTTTAAAAGATTGACTGTTATTATTGTCAATTACCTGTAACTGATAATGAAATATGTTTAGCATAAAATATAACAACTGCTTTAATAATAAAAGATTCCCCCACTATTTAGATATTAGTAGTTATTCAGATATTAATTTGAATGGCATGTTGATATGGTGAAACATTATTTATAAATGAAAGACTGTTACCTGAATTTTAGACAGGTATGAGGAAATTCACTAACATCATATTCATGCGAGTCAAAGATATAAAAGCTACTTGACATTGGTGATAAATAAAGAGCTATTGTTAATTGATTTATTGGGAGATCAATCTACTATTTTGTTGAATTGCTTCAAAATCCTCGTCTGACCCACCAGTGTGTTTACATTCCTATCAATAAACCCATAACACCTCATGTTAAAACTGCAGACGAAAGTTTCTGTTGTTAAAATGTCGCAGTATTCGGCAAATCAATATTCCACTCAAACTACCATAAAACCGATTGCCTTCAAACAAAATAGAATCAACTTCTTACAACAAAAGCTCGGGATATCAGGGTCAATTTAAATATGCGCGGTAAATGAATGTCAGAAGTTCAATCAGGGCCGTAATAAAGACAGGAGCTATTAATTTACAGGAAAGAACCTACAAAAAAAAAACAATTTCGAAATGATATTCATGTGGTATAAAAATTCGTAAAAATGGCCTACTTATTTTTTTTCGATAAATTTATAAAGAGTGCAATTTATTGTTGAATATGTTTGCATTTCATTTCCTGCAAAATTACCCAGTTCGTTATTTATTACCATAAAGCGACACAAATGACCGTTCGGTCGAAACTAAAATTTCTTCTACAAATAGATTTTCGGAGAAAACAGAAAACATGAAAATGTGCATTATTCAGGCAATCCTAGAACACTATGGATCAGGCTAGAGTACTTATGTCTTTAATTATAATAATAGTCTCATTCATAGAAGTATATACAGTTAAACTGTGATATTCTATGACATTTCATTTATATATATAACCGAAAATGTAAGAATATTATATCCTTTTCGTATATTTATATCTAATCTACAGTTTTTTTATTTCGAATGTCGAAAACCTTACCTTCTGGATCTCCAAACTGAAGAATAACGCAGCTTTCATCTTCTGATTTATATGGAGCTTGTTTGAGCTCATATCCTGAAATATAAAAAGACAACCAAGGTTAAAAGTTAAGAAAGGTATGCTCAAAGGCATCATAAATAGTTTGATCTATAAACTGAATTTTCATTTATAAGCTTGCAATCTCGGTTTATATTCAAACAGTAATAAGCTTGTATGATTGTATGTATTGAACAAACCTACATTTATAATTTTATATGTTTAAATTGTTTACGTATTTTTAAACAGTAAATCTTGTATATAAATAATGTGAGACAAGCCTGACATGTATAGGGTAAACATGGCGTATTTTTTCACTGAAGAACTCACCACAAACTTTACGACTTTCAAAGTAATATTCCAAACATTCTATGTTGCCTATCCCTTCCTCGGTGCTCACTGCAATGCTATCTGCTGGTGGAATGTCGTGAACGTCGGGTCTCTCATCATCATTACACTTCTGTCGTAAAGTGTCTCTAATCAGATCTAGATCTAATGTAAAAAAAATCAGATGGATTTATACCTCATAATGATGTTGTTCCCTAATCTTTTGAAATTGAAGTTGAAACTTAAGCATTACACAAGTTATTATATTGGTTATAACGTACAGCATGATAAAATTGCATAGAATGATATGCATGTATCAAAAGGCAGTTGTTTAAATATGCTAAGTAACAGCACGAACTTTAATCAAAGTTCTTGGTAATAATCAAGGTAAGTGTCACATTAAAGGGTCTTCAAGAAACGACAGCACGGTGTAGCACGAAATGGTTTTTAAACACCCAAATGACATGTTAAAATTCTCTATAACCAATTTATTATATTCTGTGTTTTTTCTTTGATTGAGATGAAATGTGAACTCAAAAGTTTGCAGCAGCCGTCCATATAGATAATACAAATGCCATAACTATTCAATAAAAACTGACGTGCAGTATTAATAATAATAAAAAGATTACTCTTTAAAGATGACATATACCTGGCCTTTGTGTCAAGAACAGTTTTACTACAGCACAAGTTCTTGTATGATTGAATATGATATTTTCATATTCAGCCACACCATGTGTTGTCTCTTGTATAATACCAGCTAACGCCCCTCTACAAGTGTCCGGGTGAATACCACGAAAAAGTAGTGTATATTCTTTTTTATCTGTTTGTACTGCAGCACTCTTCAAAATAATTAAAAAATAATAATAAAGGTAATGATAATATTATGACGAATGGTGAGAATCAGCATGATAGAGTTGAGTATAGGGCGGATGTGGTACTTGTATACTTCTACTAAACGTTTGATATATTTTCAGTGTATTTGGTTAACTTGAGAATTTAAAATTTACTAAGTGAAATTAATATTGATTGTTTCATAAACTATATAAGTATGTTTTTCGTAGTCCAATAGATTAAGCGAAATACTTTATCATTGAAGAGGGAGAATGTATTTCTAAAAAAGAACATTAGCATTTAATTTGTCAAAATTTATAGCTATACAGCTCCAAGAAATATTGGGCATATCTCCCGGTAAAAGAAAATATGCACGATTCTTATTTTGTATATGTAGAAACACATTTTTCAAGTCCTCAGTAGAATCTACGTATTAAGAAATGACTAAATAACTTTTATGACCAAATAAGACTTTTCTAAATAATGCTTAATGATTTATATTAATGATAAAACAGATTCACCTGGTGTGTGTTCTCGTGTTGAGTTGCCTCAATGATTTCCTCCTCAATTTCAGCTGTAATAGCAAACAAGCGGTTTTAATATTCAGCAATATTATAATGAGAAAACTGTTTTAAAAGCAGTCATAAAGGGAGACATATATTTTAAGAAAATAATTGTTACAATGTCTCATTTTGATAAGCTCAGTGTAATTAAGCCAGATCATGGACGGAATTGGAAAAAAAAATCTACTATGGAATCTACCTTCAACGATACCAAACTAGGGTCTTTCAAATAGAATTTGAAAGACCCTGACCAAACGCAAACTTGAGCAGAAAATAACTTTTGACCAATAAAGAAATGTATCAAAATTAAAGACATATTGTTGAAGATATTGACCAGCAATCCATTAATCGATTACAACAGATAAATTTGATTTTAGCCACGCATGCGCAGTCTACGCATTAAGTTACAATTTTAAAACGTCACATTAATAAGGAGGTACGATTATTTGAGCAAGATCTATTGAATCCCAATACCACCCAATTCCATTCAGATAACATACATTTTCACATAGAGTTACCACAACAGAAAAGTAATTCATCTGATAGAAAATAACAAACTTAATTTCTTGAACATTATTGCTATAAATTAAAAATATACGTACGTTCTGCTTCATTTGACCTTTGCTGTGTTTCTGCTGAAGTCACTCGCGGTTCTGAGATGATGTTCTCCAAGAACATTCTATCAACTCGTCTTTTGGCAATGACTTAAACATAAAGTGTTACATTTTATGTTTTCTTAATATAAAGAAAAGCAGAAACCGGTAACATTTTGTATTTGATTTAACAAATTACTATTTTAACATCAATTTATAACAAATCAATAAATCAATAATTATAAACAAATTAAATACAAAAAAATCACGAAAAGCTTATTGCTACATGTATAAAATCATTTATTTATACATATTCATTTAGTGTTTGATGTATGACGCATAGACGACAAAGTTCTTGATGAGTCTAGTTGAAATATTAATAAAAATATGTTGATGTTTAAGTGAAATTAAAAATAACCACTAATAATCGAATTCACGATTGTATATCTATATGCTTCAAAAAAAAATATTGCAATTGAACGGATAAAATATACACATCAAACTAAACCGTTCCTACTTAACGCAAAGTCACAAAGTCACACAGTCTGTCGTTTTATCTTTCATTATTTCACATGATTTTAATATTAAGCAAAAAATTATGTGAGAAAGTTAATTTTGGACAAAAAATGTTTAAATCTGAAGCAACTGCCTGTGCTAGAATTTGCTAGAATTTGCTCGAATTTTCATTGTTTAGTATGAACAAACTAAAATATCTTTTGAAAACACAAAAATATATATATCGTAATCGTAGGTTAGTGTTCTGTACGTAAAAACGCCTTCAAAGTGAATCTTTTCAGTATGATTTGACCGATTCTTTTGTCATGAAACATTTTATATTAATATGACGTTCTTTCTAGCTAAAAACAAAAACATATTCCTGATCATGAGTTTTTGTTCTTAATATCAACCATTACCAGCCAAAATATATCATTATCATTACACCAATTCTATTTTGAAAAAAGTTCAAACCTGTTTCTTCAAATGCTGACATGAAATCTTTAATATTCAACGATGTTTTTAATGTAATCTTCTGCTTAGTGTGTTCGGAAAGAGCATCTGCTACATCTTTAAGATGCACTTGCAACTGGTTTCCTTTGAATGCGTTCAGAATATGCAGCAAACCCTCTTGAGATTTGCACTCCATATCAAGTTTCAGAGGGTTTCTAATGTCGTCATTTAAACAGACTGTATCATCTGAACGCTGCTGGAGCTGTGTGTTACCTTCAGTGCCATCATTTATATTGGCATCTGAAGTTATCTCTATGCAATCATCGGTTGTTTCTTCTTCGTGTAACATTTCTAAAATACAAACAGATACAGACCCTTACATAATCACAGACTTCACAAGATTTCACAGTATAAACACGATCAGTAGACTTTTTATATATGCTCTTTATGAAGTCAAATCAAGCCAATCGTTTTCTGTTGATGTCACAAAAAGACACATTTACGTGTGCCACTAAGCAATATAATTAGTAGAATCACTGAAAAGCCACTTTTTATTTTAAATACAAACAACTTTTCACATTTCCTTTCAAATATTGCACATTTATTTCTTATAAACATGAATTTACTTACTTATGTAATGGATCAAAATAGACTGCAAACTTTCAGTGGCAACTCTGGTTGAAAGTGTTAATAAGCAATTGAGCTCAAGTTCTTTCGTTAGGGAATTTGCAATCTTGTTTAGATAATATCTATACTTCCAGCTGTCGAATAGGTTCAGCAAATGCAGCATATCGTCATAAGAACCACATTCAAATTCAAGCACGATGCAAGCTTTCCTATATTCTTTTAAGGCAATGTCCTTGTTTGCTGATAAGAAGTCAAGCAACTTGATAACTTTGTTCTTGACATTCGGAAAGTCTTCTCCTTCACTACCGGTAATAACATTATTGAGAACAGTTAGAATGATGTTCTCGCAGATATCTTTCCAATCGTCAGACGGACCATCTACTGCTAACACTGTACTCAATCCCACTACAATACAAGAACGATTTTAATAATTAATCTCAATGTATGAAATAATACATTCATTCATACGCTTATTGATTCAATATTCAATATTTATTATAGCATTTTTTACTTCAACAAACAGTATTTAACTCAACAACGCACAACTTTAAAGCCAAACCTAGCCCTCGACATCTTAAATTTTGTCGTTAAGGCGTTCTTAAGCGTGTTTGTTTCTCTTTAATTTTGGTATTTACAACTTTTTCTAATTTTCTAAAAATTACATTAATGTATGGAATTCATTTAACATTTAACTATAGTTTGGCTTTCAAAATGTTAAAAATTAAATAGAAGATAATAAATGTAATAACGATGAAATACTTCAACCTACCTTTGAATGTTTGCTGTCCTGTTTGGCTCAACCCATTTATAGTGGCAATTGATGGCCTTACGGCTGTTAAATAGAATAAATGTATACGTTCTAGGGTCAAGTTTTTTTAGAAAACAAAATGATTCTCCTCATTTTCTAGAACAATGCTACGATGTTGTAGTTAAGATAAATTGTACGTTTTACAATAATGAATTATTTAGTAAAATTTGAAAATTGTTTTATATAGATATATTGCACAATTTTCAAGACTTGATGTGTGATTGGGTATTTATGTCATCAGATTCACATAATGTTTCAAATACTCATAGTTATGTTGTAAGAGCGCTCAGTACTTATTAAAAGTTATTGATTAAATTTTATTACATTTCTAAAAAGTAGAAAAATAATAACTTATAACGCGTTAAGTGACAATTTGGACACTATCACTTATTTAAAATTAGAAATGTTGTTAGTGATCACCTATTTACCTCATGCATTAACAATACTTTTATCAGATACCTTATCATAATAACGCGTTATGTAACCGGTTAATCACAAACCACTTATTCAATAAGTTTTAAATGAAAACGCGTTATGTAAATGAAAAATGCGCCAATTTAGTTGATATATGGAACCAAACTGAAGTGTCATTTTCCTATCCCATTATTATTATCATTATATTCATTATGTTTATTATTATTATCATTATTATTATTATTATTATTATCATCATCATCGTTATTATCATCATCGTTATCATTATCATCATCATCCTAATTATTTAAATGACCAAAAATATTAAGTTATTGAAAATCATCTACTATTTGAAATATATGCTTACCATCTAATGGCCCGCATTTAAACGTCTTTATATACGTAAAACAGGCATCCTTTGTGTTATTATCGAAAGTAGTGGCCAATCCATTCAAAGCATCTTCAAGCTGCTCGATAACTTCGTCATACTCGTCTTCATCCAATGAAACATTTGCACAGTGCATAAACACCTCATTACGCAATTGTTTTAAGAGACGTAAATCCTTTTTTTCAGATTTTGAAATCGTTTTCCGAAAGATTATGGATACTACACCAATCAACAATTGTAGGTCCCAAGTGTTAATATCAGTGTTTACACCGGTATCTGGGAACAGTTTTTGGTACTGTTTTCCGTGAAATTCATGCTTAAGTTTTGTTTTGAAGTCGCTTAACAGTGATTCTAAATCCCGTCCAGATTTGTTTCGTTCTCGAAGTAATATTGCCCTTGCAATAAAAGTACCGCCTTCTACTAGTAATAAAAAAGCCCTAAGGAAGTGTGTCTGTTCTATATCTGCCATCCCATGATGTGTTTGGATTCATCTATGGTGTGAAATTCTAATCGAGAAAAACAAAAACCATCAAATGAACTTTGTTACTGCTAAATCCCACCCAAAGTTTTGTATGCATTTTATTGTCCCAATGTCATTATGTGATTTATTTTGACATAGATGTTTATTGTACTACTGTCAAACCCTTTGCAAGTAAGTCTGATGTTAATATGGTCAAGGCAGATGGTGTAACTTGCTACTGGCGAAAGTTATGTAACTAGTCATGATCTGAAACATGTTAAACATATTAAATAAAACTGGTCTCAGTGTCTTTCTATATATTATATTACTTCTAATAAATAATGAATGCTTTAAGTATAAAATATCATTCAGTTTTAACATAACAAGTTTTCCATACTTAATGAAGTTTAATAGTATTTTAATCACAAATAAAAGAGATATACTTTTATTAAATATACCGTATAACATAAGAAAACTGGTAACAATATAAAATAAAAATTGTATGACTGAAGATTGAATCTCCATAACGATTATTTGCTTTCTTGAATCACAATCTATTTTCTTTTCTTTCTTTGCTTCATTTTACGCCCTTTCCCAACAGTATTTCAGTCATATAGGCGGGTAGTTTCCTAACCATCGTTCCTGGAGAGTTACACCAGTACTAGACTACCTTCCTCCGCGCTAAATCACAATCTATTGTCTAAACATATAAAATAAAAGTAGTTTAAACAACCACATCTTAATCACTCACAAACAAAATTCCATGAAACTGTAAATATTGAATTAAATGTAAAAATGGTTACATGGTTTAAATTCATCAGAAAATAAAGGTTGCCCATTGGTTTAAATATAAAAAGCGTGTATCGCATCATATCAGTATATCCACAATTAATAATTCATTGATGAATACAAATTACAAGTGTTTAAAATATGACAAACTGCCACTTCGTTTTAATTTTGTTTATAATATTTATATATAGACCATTGAATTGTATGGGTGTAAGGTAAGCTAATGTAAAGGGTATTTTTCTTTGGTGAATTAAGTTTAGTTTGCAAAACGTTTATTTAAAAAAAGGAATGCGCTTACCACATTATCTAAAAGTATTTTGGCTATCATTATAAAACTTATCGTGCGGAAAGTATTGTGATAGTTTGAAAATAATGCAGTATTTTCTGTGGATAGCATCATATCAAATGTTGCAAATTATTCATCGTATTTCAATCATAAATTCTATTCATATGTTGTTCAAATTAAAATAAAATGATAAGTTGATATAGGCCATTTACACATGTAAGGATAGAGAAAAGATTTTATAAATGAAATTTTTCTACTTTTACACACTGATTTTTTTTAAATATATGATTAATATATACTTTGAAAATGAATACTTCTGTCACATATAAATACTTCTTTCACATATAAATATCTAGCACTATTAATCAAGATGTCAAGACCAGGTTGAAATCAAAATTAATAATCCACTCGTAAACATGCGACAAGAAACAACAACAGTTCAAGATGAGTTTAATAGACAACGTATCTATCTCGTATATTGTAGCTATATTTAACACACCACGGAATTGCAAAATGGACCTGCGTATATTTTCTTTTTCATTTTACTTTAAATGTGACTAAATCTTTTATCATCTCTTGATATACCAGTATATATTTGTATGTATATAATATTTAGTATATATAAAAAATGTACATTTTTATATTTCATATGTGAATAATCAACTTTTAGATCTTAAGAACAAAACCATTTAATCATGTTAAAGAAATGACCATTAAAAAAACTTTCATTTAGTTTCGATTTAATCAATACACTTGTACTTGTTAATTTATCACCTTGTATTTCATTTCTAATTCAACAATAAGGTTAGAAAATTAAGTACTAGTGTAATTTAACCCATAAGAAGTAAAATTGAATGAATATGTATAATAATAACTATTCATAAATATATGTGTCATGAGAAAATTTGAAAGAGAAAGTAGAACATTTACTTACATGTAAAATTTACATTATGATAATTCAATAAATATATCCATATCATAAAGCTATAATCGAATTAAATAACAACACATTAATATTTCATTTTGTTCTTGAAAAGATTTTAAATAACGTAACAGATTGAAACAAAATTGGGAAATTCTTAAAACATCTACTTCCTTAAACAAGTGGTTATACCTAAATTCCGTACCTTCACCCGTACATTAATCGGATACGGTAAGAGTTTCGTCCTACGCTATTTTCGCAACATACATACTTATAGTTTATAAATAAAACAGTAAACCACTTGGCTGAATTCGGAATTTTAAAAGCTTAATTAAAATGTAAACAATAAATAGGATTTACCCGTGTTTGTATCTTAATATAAAAATGGCACTTGATTAACAAATGTTGCAGTATCAAGAAAATACAATATTATTACATTTGATTTTTTTTTCAGTATGATATGATCATTTAATGATATATCTGTCGCGATTATGCTCTTTGAAGGGTGAGGCGATTTCTGATGAAGAAAGAGAAGAAGAAGAAGTAGAAGAAGAAAAAGAAGAAGGATATGATGATAATGTATAACTATATATTTACATGAGTATAGTTTTAATTAAGAAGAACAACAAAAAATGAAAAACTGAAAAAATAGAGTTCTTGAACAAGCTTAATTTGTTTATTGTTTACTCCTGTCATAGATTAACTCAAGGAAGAAAGCCTTAAGAAAATATTCGTACTTTTTTTCTGACGACGTTTACAGAGCTTGTGACAACATCTTTTTATGTACAAGGAACAGTCCAGTCTGATGAGTAAGTTTAGATTGTTGAAAAATGATATAAAAATCATAAGAATAAAGATATATACGATAATTCAAATGAAATAGCTTTTTCCTCTTATTATTTCTTTCCTGTATTGCCTTAGCGACTTTAAGATGCAGAATAGAAAAGTCGAATACGAAAATCGGCAGCGGATTACATAAAAATACAATACGATATGCCAAAAAAATGTCAAACTCTTAGATATGAGTCCCAAAACTTATCTCTCCGGCCTCGTATATCAGAATTATGTCGGCAGCGAGTGAACCAAAAACAAATCGAATAATTTCCCCCATTATTGTTATAAACATAACAGGTCTCTCACGGAAATAGCGTGTATTAGCAACCCGAGAATTGAAATGACACCCCAGGCGGAGCCGAGGGTGTCATGTCAGTTTAAGGGTTGTTAATATGCACTTTAACCCTGAGAGATGTGTTATTTTTAGCTAACCTGTCACAAAGTGACAGGGTGAGCTTTTGTGATCGCTTTTCTTCCGGCGTCCGTCCGTCGTCCGTCCGTCCGTCCGTCGTCCGTCGTCCGTCCGTAAACTTTTACTTTAAATGACATCTCCTCATAAACCACTAAGCCAATTTCATCCAAACTTCACAGGAATGTTCCTTTGGTGGTCACCTTTAAAAATTGTTCAAAGAATTTAATTCCATGCAGAACTCTGGTTGCCATGGCAACCGAAAGAAAAAACTTTAAATATCTTCTTTTAAAAAACCATAAGAGCTAGAGCTTAGATATTTGGCATGAAACATCTTCTAGTAAGTGTCTACCAAGTTTGTTCAAATAAAAGCCCTGGGGTCAAAATTGGCCCCGCCCCTGGGGGTCATTGATTTTCCCTATATGCATATAGTAAAAACTTAAAAAATCTTCTTTTAAAGAACCCAAAGAGCTAGAGCTAAGATATTTAGCATGAAACATGTTCTAATGGGTGTCTACCAAGTTCGTTCAAATAAAAGTCCTGGGGTCAAAATTGGCCTCGCCCCGGGGGGTCATTGATTTTCCCTATATGCATATAGTAAAAACTTAAAAAATCTTCTTTTAAAGAACTCAAAGAGCTATGGCTAAGATATTAAGCATCAAACATGTTCTAATAGGTGTCTACCAAGTTTGTTCAAATAAAAGCCATGGGGTCAAAATTGGCCCTGCCCCAGGGGGTCATTGATTTTCCCTATATGCATATAGTAAAAAATCTTCTTTTAAAGAACCCAAAGAGATAGAGCTAAGATATTTGGCATGAAACATGTTATAATAAGTGTCTACCAAGTTTGTTCAAATAAAAGCCCTGGGGTCAAAATTGGCCCCGCCCCAGGGGTGTCATTGTTTTTAACTATATGTGTATAGTAAAAACTTTAAAAAAATCTTCTTTTAAAAAGCCCATGTTTAGCATGAAACATCTTCTTATGGGTGTCTACCAAGTTTGTGCAAATAAAAGCCCTTGGGTTAAAATTGGCCCTGCAACGTTGTTGGGGGGTGGGGTAGGGGGCCTATATACAGGTGAGCGACCTCAGGGCCATCATGGCCCTCTTGTTTATTATACCGAACCAATGTGTGTGCAGAGCGGCTGTTTGGGGGACTAGAAATAGAACATTACGTTTTCTTAAGTCCATATAGATTTACTTGTCCCTGGGGAATATTGCAAAAATATTGAACGATTGATATTCATTTCTAGGATAATTGATCGAAATAACACCTTGTGACAGCACATAAGGCTATATAGAAAAAGGTTAAAGTGAGGTGTAATAAATGAGTTATATATTTTGCTGGCGATTTATACGGGAAGCTAGCACGGTCGTATCAATGTCTTACTTATCTTAGCATTTTTAGTCTTTTAATTACTCACTATTATGATTGTCAATCTTTTGAACTATATAGTTTGTTCAGGTTAACTTGGTAGGGGAAAAATGAGCATAATGCCACTTTAAGATATGACAGAAAAATGAAACTGCCAGTCAAATTCAGAGTACCGTAAAGTATAATATACAGGTATAAAATAATAAAAATAAGTTGATACATGCCGGGTTGATGGGTAAAGCTTTACAGATAGTAAGTAGAATGAAAACAAGTTAATATGAAACAGTTTCAGACAGAATAAACAAAATCTGCGAAAAAAAAATATATAAAAAAATAGGAAGTTATTAAACTGACATTATATCCTGTTAATTTTCTCAGCCAGAAGATTTTAAAACATTAAACGTTAACGATTAGTACATCAAAATACTTTAGTGTTTAATTGCCAACCAAGCGTTAAGCAAAAGACCATTTTCTACGGTTGATGGGGAAAAGTGGCATCGTCAACCAGTTATATGTATGTAACAATAATATGTATAATTGTATGTATGCAACAATCAAATGTATGTAACAATTGTATGTATGTAATAATCATATGTATGTAATAAGTGTATGTAAGAAAATAATCATACTTAATTATAACAATTATAATATTATATATGTAAAAATTAACAATCTTATATATGATCATATTTGTGTAACAATTGTACTCGTATGTTTGTAACAATCTTATGTATGTAACTATTCTATGTATGTAATAATAATAATACTAAAGTAACAATTATAATATTATATAAGTAAAAATTGAATGTATGTAACAATCTTATGTGTGTGAAAATTATTTGTATGTAATAATTTCATGTTTGACTGTTATACATGTATGTTGCAATCCAGTCATTAAGATTTTTGTCATGTTGATGTCTGTGCAGGGAATCTTTAATGTAAAGATTAGTATTAGTAGTATAGTATGCCTTGTTGCTCCCTTAATCGCTCGTCCTCGTCCTGTCTTTGAATCTGGACAGTTACAACGACCTTGACCGATTTAATTACAAGTACATGACCTCTATTCTATACATAGACGTAGTGGTGGAAATAATTAGAGAATTTAACTATATTATAATTTTATTATGTTGTTTAATCATTTACATTTTGAACTGACCGCTTTTTATCTTTCATCTATTTACACCGTAACTTGAATGGAAATATTTTTAGGTTCCTACGTTCAAAAAATAGAAGAATTATACCCCAATATATTACACAATGTAATAGTTTCGTTCAATATCATATTTACCTGTATGTAATGATGAGTCCTGCTTAAAACGTTGAAAGAAGGTTCTTCATTGTAGAAAATAAATGCCATATTGTGGTTTCTTAATTAAAAATGGAAGTAATTTAACCAATTTCCAACCGAAGAAAGCAAAGGTTTGTCACAATTATATATATATGTCACACTCATATTAATGCAGCTCTGATATTTACTTAAGAACCATGTCTATATAGCAGGTTTATGTATGTTACAATGATATGTACATATGTATGTCATAATCGTACGTTTGTAGTAACCATTTGTATTGAACCAAAGTATGAATGTAACAGTCGTATGAATGTGACACCGTTTTTAAGTAAAAATCATATGTTTGTCATAATCTTATGTATGTAAGATATGATTAGTATCCAGTATAATTTGTAAGAATTACATGTGTCACAATCATATATACAACAACAACATTTTATTTGCATAAATGTTATAACAACATTATAGCCATAAAGTATATATAATGTTAACAGTGATACAAGTTCAAATATAAAAAGTACATAAAAGTTAGCAAATCAAATGTATGTATCAGTCATATATATTTAATGATCGTATGTATGTTACTACCATATATTTGCTGCAAAATTATGTATGTAGCAGTTGTTCTTATGTAACAATAACATGTATGCTACAATCTTATGTGTGTAAAAAAAAATTATGTGCATGTAATAATTTTATTTCTGACTGTTATACATGTATGTTACAATTCAGTCATGAAGATTTTTGTCACAGGGAATCTTTAATGTAAAATATAACAATACTATGAAAGCCTAGATTAAACGATACATGTACAGCTATCCTTTTTTAAATGTCTACTGAAAAAACTTATGTGGCCACAAAAAACTTTTTTTTTATTAAATAATCTTAACAAATATTTCAAACCAAACATTGTTAAATTTAGAATCTCAAAATATGAATAAAGCTTTTACGACCCATATATCCTATAGTAAATCCATCACATTTAAGGCTAAATTCTGGACAAAACAAATCCGGTACCGAAACTTCATGACCATTTCTTTAAACACCAATGCAGTCCAAGTAAATTTAGCATAAAAAATAATACATTAGCCCTTGAAGTTTTTCTGCAGCTTTTAATTTCTGTAATCACTATAGAATATTCCAAATAGTAACTGGCGTGTATTCTTGTGCATAGTGCCTCATGAAACCTTCCACCCAGAAATGAAATCCTGCAAAAATACATCAAAAACAACCTTTAAAGTACTCAGAAATGAAACTTCATGTACATAATTACTAAAGATATACTTAAAATATAACCAGTATCAATTAAGATGATATGAAATAGGCCATTTCAAAATTTAAAAGAACTACTTTCTAGACTACAACGGGCTGGGTCTAATTCCGTACCGGGGTGACACCTAAATGAACATAAAATTTCATTTAAAAGAACATTTACGCACATTTTTTGGTAATTTTATGTTGAACAAGTAATATTAATCAAGAAATCAATGTATCTTACATTTCACATTGATACAGGAGCATTTCTTAAAGGGTGACCACTTTGCGGAAAATCAGGCTCGGCCAACAGAATTTTAGATAAAAAAATGGCATTACAAATTATAACATATCTTCAGAAATAGAAGACAGATTTTCATGAAATAAAGTTTTTTGTTGTTGGCCAATATTGTACAGGTTTTCTATGCATGAATTATACCTTGTTTGTATAAAATGGTAAAATTTATCCATTTTTTCTTTATAAAAAGCTTAAAATTTAAGTTTGAAATAGTGAAAAATGGGCATAAAGTTTGCCATTATTATGATTTTTTCCCTAAAAATTGCTATAAAACTTCCTGATTAAGACTTTTACTTAAATTTATTAGTAAACAAAGCAAAGTATATACATACACAGACTACACTCTTTGTTACACTCTACAACGGGCTGGGTCTAATTCCGTACCGGGGTGACACCATGTACGTATTCATACCACACGGAATTAAAGCCCAAATGACAGGTTTTAGATATTACAGTGTAACGACTGACGCATGCGCATATTTTCGTTTGGAAATTCCTAAATTAAACTTCAATAAAGCACTTTAAATACTCTTATATTTAGAAATTTAAAATATTCAAATATCTTTGAATAAGGAATAAGGAAGTGTATTTAAATCGAGGGCGATCATTTTCTAGGCAAATTCGGTTCAAATATAACTTGTAAGTAAAATGGTTGTTTTTGTTTCATATTTTCATAAAGTACAGTATCTATATAAACAAGCGAGGTTTTACGCATGCGTAAAATGTTTACAAAGGAATGGCCAATTATGCCCCGTGCCGAATAAAATGCTACCTCTACGAATATCTGTTCAGATCTGCGCAGTTGTGAAAATTGAAATTAAAGGGGAAGCATTACGACACGGAAATTCACTTTAGTCCATATTATTATTCGTTACAGGGAAATGGCAGCCATTTTGTGTTAACTTGGTCTTTGTGCAGACGCCGACAGGTAACCTGGCATAAATGAAACAAAATATTCTTATTTTCTAAACATTCACGTCATGATTTAGTAGTGTTTAACCGATTGTGATATAAATTTACAAAGTGTACCTTTCACGAAAACACAAACAAACAGTAGACAGTCTGACCTTTTGTTGTACATGTACAATTAAAGTTACAAAATGTAGCTTTTCCAAAAAAAAAAAACCCTGATAAAATGTAATTAGTTTAACAGTTGTTCTTTGCTTAAATTAAGATATGTTATAATCAAAATAAAAACAAATATCCGAGGATTAAATCTGAAGTATTAGATATATAAGTACATGTAGTTATTTAATAAAATTGTCAATAAATAAGTGATTTGATATTGGCCCTGTTATTTGTCCTCGGGTCAGTCGTATTGGCACTCGGCCTTCGGCCTTGTGCCAATTACAACTGCCCTCGGACAAATATTAATAACAAGGCCAATATCAAATCACTTATTTATTAACATATAATATAAACGATATATAAACTTAAAACAAAAAATATCGCAAGATCGACAATAAAGCCGTAAATTTTAGCATAAACTAATTGTTGATAATGCTACGAGTATATATTTAATGTCTTGAAAACGAAATTATTTTCTAGTTTCTACAGGTAAACAAATGGGTAGATAAAAGAAATTTAGATTCTTATGACAATGCAATGCAACAACTGTTATACCGTTTCGTTTTTTCAAGGTTAGTTTTTTTACGCATGATTTAATTTTAGCCTAGTTCCACGATATTAAGTCTCGGTTAACTACCTTAACATGAAATCAGACATTTTTACAGTCAAATACTTGTATACAGAGACAAAAAAAACATTGTCTTTCCATTTAAAAAAAATCAAAACAAATTTAGCAACAACTCAATATATTGAAATATAAAATCGGTCCCGAAGTGTAAAGCTGATGTATATGAATCTTTTTATGTACTTGCATTTTTATTGACGACTCGCAAAATAAATCGTGTCATCTCGCAATTAATCATGCGTCTTACTCAAAATTATATAAGCATCGTCTGTAAAGTGGCCAAATTAACTTCTTTTCTTATAAAATATAAAAAGTGGCTTAATTCAAATATAAAAAAACATCTAAATATTTAGATTAATAAATACATAACACGAATGCGTCATAACACACAATGAGATATAATATTAAAGGGTGTCTCGTCCTATTTAAATTACTGAACTTATTTGCAACATATTTTCAATAGTTCTTGTTTGCTGTACCGTAGCGTTTATCATGTGTCGTTTGAAAAGATTTATCTCTTCAACGTATCTATTAAAACGACTGATTATAAACGCAACGGTAATGAACGGCGTTTGTTAAACTTTTAAAACAATAAGGTCAAACAAAAGCATTAAATCCCAAAATTAAAATATATATTTTTATTGATAAAATCATACCTAACAATTGAATATTCACAAATCTAAATGTAAACGACCGTTTTGGTATATTTGTAATATCGCATATTAACGTATACCTCTATCATTGTATACTTTTAATGTTTAGTGCAGATTACAGATTCAATAATTATAAATACAAGGAAAAAGTGTTTCTCAAAATTATTTAATCTTTAAGACTATTTCTATGTAGTTTTCAAGTGAAAAAGATAAGTTTTATTAATCAAAATTCAACGATTTAATGCTTTTTTTCAGATCAGTTACAACGATATAATATATATAACTTTTTTATTTATTTATCCAGCAATGAAGATCAAATTTATTGATAAATATTCAACATTAGTGTTACTTTTCCTTTCAGAACAATTACAAGATACAGCAATGTAAGATGGTCAGAAGTTAATGGCTTCTAAAGAAAACATATACTTTTTACGTTCCTTTTTATTACTTATTGAGGGTGGCTTATATATTTCAAAAGAAATTTTAAGTCGAGAATGTCAAAAGTCTGAAAATGACCTTGATGAATTGTTAAAAATCAATGAACGGAAACTGAAACATTTGTTTCACGACAAGCAATACAAGAAATTGTTTCCCAAGTTTGGCAAAGCCGATATCAACAATTGGGACTTGCAACTGTCAGTTGGTGTTTTAATAAATGTGTTTGGAAGCAATCTTAAAGCTGAAAAACATAAGCTAAGAGCTCTAAGTGATTTAAGAAATGATATTTATATGCACTGCACTGATGCTGCTCTAGATGAAAGCAAATATGAAGAAGTTATAGAAGAATTAAATGACACCATTACAACATTAGCGTCAACGTTTGATATTTCAGTACAACAACATTGTTCAAACTATATCAAACAGTTTACTACCGGGCCATTAGAAGGTAGTATAACCTTTAAAAATACTTTAAACCCTTCAAATTACCTTCCAGTGTATTAAATTAACATGTACATTTATACTCTTTTAGTTACATTGTAGATATCACATGTTTATTTACATTTTTAAACATTATAACTTAAAAGATGTAGACTACATTCTTCTAATGGGCACTTGGCACGTATCTTACTTAGTAACCTTTTTTATTTCTTGTCCGCACTTAATAATAAAAAAATCTAAATAGAACTTCAACTGACGTTGTTTATTATCCTCATAAAATACTTACCAATTTAATAGCATGTAATGTATTTTTCTTTATTTTTGTCGAAAATAACGTATACTTCATTATCTGTACATTTTTGATATTCATCAATTTTCATCTATCCCTAGCAAATTAGTACCTTATTAAAAAAATGTTCAAACAGATAAAAGGCACCAAGAGTTATAAAAGGTCAAAAGGTGAAATGTGCGTTTGAGGGCTATGTTTAATTCTAGTATGTTAAAACCTTTTCCTCTTCTATAATTTAATTTTTCAAATAAAACGTCCATTAAATGAATGACTTTAACAAAACATGTTAGTTGTATATAGGAAAGACATTCACTCTTTTAATAGGAATACCTCTTCTATACATCAAGTAAATTTCCTTACTTCCAAGCCGTTAAATCAAAATTAGATTTATCTTAAGTTTTAACTTGAAGAATGTTAAATTTATTTTTGATATAGTGGTAAGTTTTATATTCTGTCATTATTGCAGCCGTAAGACCATCTTTACCGACATTGAAAGGATTTAGCCAGTTATGTCAAAAGAAATTTAAAGGTGTGTAAACTGAATTTGTATACAACCTGTTTGTTTTTTACAATTAGTTCTCCCGATACTACGGAATAATAGTTACGACATGATTATACACTGTTAGGGAGTGACTAGCTTTGAATTGACCTCATCTTAGAAATGGCAAATGTAACCATTTTAAACTCGCTGAGATGTTGGAGGCAAAGCAGAAACGCATGACGGTTAAAATATTTTCAGTTCAATTTCTGATATATATTTGTAAAATAGCAGACTTTTGAAGGTTTATGTTTATTTTTAGATCATATCCATGTATTTATGAAAGGATACCAAACATATCCTTGTAAGTAGAATTCCGCTGGCGTAGGTACAAAGGGTGTGAACACTAAAAGTCTTTCAATGTCAGTTCTAACTAACATCTTAAGCTCATGAAACTTATGAATTCATAGAAATGTAACTTTTGTTATTATATATATACAGTTGGTGTGGAAACAGAATTGGTTATCGGTGGTCCTTCTTCAACCTGGACAAATCTTTGCGAACACAATCTTGATACAATATTCAATCATGCTGAAAGCATGGCAAGTGAAGATGGTAGATTTCAAGAAATTAAAGAAAATGTTGAGAGAATGCTTAGCTATATGGAGAGGAATAAAGATGTTATATTCAAAGGATGTAAAAGTAAATGTATCATTCTGTATATTGAGTGCAATGACAATGAAAGTTTCCTAAGTTTTCTTGCTAAGGTAGAATGTCAGGAATACGTAAGATATTTAAATGACTTATCAAATTCCCTTCATAGATTCTTTTAACCAAGAAATCCGATATCAATTATGGAGCAGAAATTGGGTATTTATTCCCCGTTTATCTTTCAATTTCTATTTATCTATTTGTATTCGTATTCATTAATTTTCTTATCTATAATCATTTAAATTTAAATTGATTTAAACAAGTTTAATTGCTACTTTTTAATTGCCAGTTAAACATTTGTATTTTGATACTGCAGAATGTAAGGATCAATTGTTTAAACTACGTGATTAGATATTATGTTGCATACTTCTTCCTTTTCAATTTGAATAATTTAGTTTTAACTTATGACCTTGAACGTCCTTCCTTTTAAGAATACAAACTGGTTTACATAACAATAAAATAAAATCTATACGAATGCACGTAGACAAATACGAACTGCAATAACACGAATACGAAATTACATTGAAATTGAAATGTATACATCTGGCCGGGAACCAATATTTCCGTACAAGTCCGTAATTTCTGACGGTGTAACCATAGAAATATTCTCTTAAAAAATCCACGAAATCCAGGGTAGCACTCCACAGTTAATTTCAAGTTTCTGTCGTCAATGTCCTGCAAACAATACATGTACGTCTAATAATTCTGATACCAAACTACACAATCTAGAAAAAGAAAACACATTTTGTTGAGAACATATATGACATAAGATTGCAAATCTACAAAGAAATCATCCCATCTGCAATAGGCATGCAGTGAAAAAAGTTGTCATTCATTCCGTTGAAGCCCAAAATCTACAGTGGCCCGAGACCCAAAACAACACATTTCGTCTCTCTGGCAAAAGAGACCTGCAAATATACAGGCTAAAGGAACACCGTCTCTGCTTTAGCAACTCCCTTTACATGCAAAATATCACAAACTGGTGCTCAACCTTATAGATTTTTTACTTCTGCTAATAGTTTGTACCCCCTGTAAAATGACTTGTCTTTACCGTGCATGCTGTTTAAAAGCAATGTTTACAAAAAATGGCGGCCTTAACATCTAAAATCAACAGCATGTGATTTCTGGCCATGTTTTCGAATTTGCAAGTGATCATATTAGATGTCACAAAAACGAATTTCATGCTGACAACCAGTCGTTTAACCTTTTCCCTTATATAGACGTATTTTGACGACTTTTTGCCCTATTGCCCTAAAAATGCCCTATTTAGGCCACAACACTGTTTTTCATTTGAGAAATGTTGTTAAAAAGTGACCACTTTTCGACGCGCCCCCTATCAAAATAGTACATCAGGGGGTTGCCAGAAGGGGGATGTGCCCCCTTCTGTTTGGGAAGGGGGGTTGAAGGTGGCGGTTGCCCCCCTCATCGCCAAGAAAATTTTGGACATGTGACAGGCTAAACACGGCCTCAGGTCGATGTCAGGATAACTAGTAACCGACGCTGAAAAGCCTTTTACTCTATCTCAATTCATTGAGAAGTTGCAGCACTTTGAAATCAGTTTTGATGGGAAAAACAATTCAAAATAGTGATTTTGAGACGTTCCTCGATGCCGTGGTAACAGAAAATTTACGACTCATGCCGTTACAGAGGCCATGGTCCAGTCAACATGTGTGCCAAGTTTCATCAGTATTGAAGCATTTTTTTTATAGTTTTATAGCAGTTTGAACTTGTAACAGGCTTTTCAATGAAAACTGCCATTTTTCACAATATACTCATGGGGTAAAAGGTTAAATCCAGAACATTCACTATATCCAAAAAATCCTTTCAAAGCTGTGTCTTACATTATTGTGGTGTGCTACCTATAAACTTGGATTAAATTGCCGAGTAGCATTGTATCCTCACACCTTGTGCTCACGGAAAATACCGAAGCGATACATGAGTTATCTCCCGTCACTAAGATTTTACGCTAGAATTTTACAGCTAGGGCACATAAAGCAAATATTAATCACGTGGTTTCTAGTTTTTATTTGTTCTGTTTTTCTACTTATTGAAATGAGTCAGTTTTATTTCGCTTAAGGTTGTTTAATGTTAATAATTTCATAAAGTTGGAATATGGATAAATCTCTATAACAACAATTCTTATAGCCTCTGCATACAAATTTATTTTCAGTGTGAATCGAATGCGAATAAGAGTTGCACAGATACATTTCTAAGAAACAAGTTCGAGAAAACGCACTTTTTTTTTAAATAAGTAGAAATAGCACATGTTTAAAACAAAAAGTAATTTATTGGTATCTAATATTAAATTAGACGAATTAAGATGAAGTACTGGCATTGGCTTTAGAATATTACAATTTACTATAAACATAGTAAGAAAGAATAAATAAATATTTAAGTAAAGAACTGTGATTTACTCACAGATGAATCAAATTTGTAGGAATATGATTTAAACTTATGCAAATGAAAACAACAAGTAGTCATATGAATAAATACCCAAATTCTGCTCCATAATCAATTACATCCAAAGTTACATCTGAGAGTTTGCAATTGGTACTGATTGATATTATTAGTAAGTACATGATGAAAGCTTACATTTATCTTATTCGTTCTGTTTGTTTTCTATATTTGTGACTTAGACGAAGAAAGATAAAAAGCAAGTTTAAATAAATGTTGATAACTAATTCATTGCATTTTACATTTTATATTATTTTAAAAAACATCCTAGCTTTTTTGTGCAATAATATTAAAACATTAATTGTTGTAACGAACCTACTCGTGTATATGGATTTAGTGAATGTTTCTTTGCCTTGTCAATATTTACTTACACATAGAAACATTACTCAGGCAAATAATGCAATGTATTTGATTTTGATTGTACGATTACATATATTAACTGCTGCACAAAACGTCGAGAAGTTGCTTTTGCAAATGTGCTTATTAATCAACCTCTTTATTTTTAAAGAAACTCTCTCAAATGAAGAGGAAGAACAACGACATGTTGTTGAAATATCATCTGAAGAAAATATCCACGAAAACAAGGCAATGGCAATGACGTCACGTGATGTTCATAAGGAAACGAAGTTGATTAAACAAAGCGAAATCTCTCTGTTGCTGAATTTTGAATTACAATCTGAGGAAGCCTTACCTCAAATGCTACAAACATTCAAGGGAACTCAATTCTCGGACAGCTTGACGAAGGTTGCTGACTCACTTTCACGTTACTGTGGCAGTGAAATTACTCTCAAATCATCTGTGAATGTCGGTGCTTTGCTGGAAGCTTTAGAAGAATCAGGTTCTGAATATTACTTTCCATTATGTTTTAGAAATAAAAGCATTATTTCATATTGTGAAATTTTGCTTGAAAATTTGAATGTTATATAAAATATAAAAATTATATAATTATCGAAATACATGTTAAAACAACAGGAACACATATTAAAATATTTAGGTTTAGGGTTTAATTTGAATTGGTAATCATTCATTTCCAATTTGAAGACAATGTGTTATTACATAAAGTTTCTACGTCTTTTCAACTTTCCTTTAACATGTGCAAAATGCTGACTGTTATACATGAAATATAGAAATTGGAGATTTTTCATTGTCCTGTTGTTAATACGATATGCTAGCTGATGAAAAAACAAATAGTTGCAAAAGAAATATGCATTAATACATTTAAAAATATATTGTTTTGCAATAAGCTTTTTGTCCATCAGTTTCCGAAATGATCAATAAAACAATAAAAATGTGTTATTTAGATATTCATATAGTATATATCTTGAAATAAACATTGATTCTTAAGTTCTAAGTTCTTAGTGATTTAGTATGGACATTTAAATGATGCAAATTTATATTTTGTTCACGAACAATTTTAATCGTTTGGATAACAAATTTCAGACCATAAACCCTATACCTACCTATAATTAACATCCACATATAATTATTTCTTGGTTTCTTGTCATGAATGATGCTTAATAATATCAACATACTAATATATGCTATAACAGACATCCATTATATAGAAACAAATATATTATTTTTTTATTTTCTGTTTGGCAAATTTCTACCTTTCATTTCACATAAACATGCTAACAAGTTAAACTTCCCCTTTTTAATAAGGCATTAAATACAAATGTATGTTGATTGTTCAGATTCCCATTCTTCCGTTAGACATTAAATGTGCTCTATCCTTCTTTTAGAAGAAGGATAAAGCATTTGGTTAAGGCTCATCTCACCTGTTTCACTTTTATAAAATTATGATGATTGTTAGACATTTACATTGATAATTGGTCAACACTTTATCATTTTGTAAAGAGAAAATTATAGTGTTTAAGTGTATATGCTCCCGTTTCGAGGTATTTGTTGTGTTTAATATGCTTAGATCTTTATGTTTTTGTCAAAAAAATATTCTTACTATATATGTCCTTATCATTACGTTAGATAATTAATTAAGGTTTTCTTCTTCTGTTAGTCAAAGCAAGGTATTTCATGACCTTATGCTGTATTACATTTTTATATGTCTGTTTCAAATGAGTAAAATGGTTTTGATTTCATTAAAGTGTTCGACAAAGATGCACTAGATAAAGAGTCGGAGAGCATATATGCGAAGACATCAAAAGAGGACGAATTAACATTGTCAGGTTCGTGCATATAGATTTAAATATTTGTTATAATTGACTGACTATAATGTTTTACAAATGGAAAATGTGTCCATTGAGTTGTGGTCAATCTACATATTGTAAAGACACTCTCATCTAAGTGTATACCATCGAGGAAGAGTTACATCCCCGAAGTGACGTAAATGGGGGATTAATCTATACACACCATATATAAATATATATTCATGATTGATGCTTTATACTATTAACATACTAATTGTGCTTAACATACATCCATTATAGATAGATAAATATACTTACGATTAGCTGATTGGCAAAATTCTACAATTCATTTGACATAAACATGCTGACAAGTTAAACTTCCCCTTTTTAATATCATTAAATTTGTTGATTGTTCAGATTCCCATTCTTCCGTTTGACATTTAATATGCTCATTGGTCAATTCTCTATCCTCCTTTTAGACGAAGGATAAAGCAATTGGTGAAGTCTCATTTAATTTGTTACATATTTCGTATTCTGTTTGTACAAACATTATGTAAGATATAAAAATTGTTCATTGGATTGGTCAAGTCTTCATCCTTTTGTTAGGAGAAGAATGTAGTGATAGTTCAAGTGATTATCCTTTTCTTATGTGTTTGAAGTGCTGAATATTAAGAACTTTATCTTTTTGTCAGACGAAGTAAATGCTGTCTATTCAATTTTAATCATTCTGTTACACAATATATTGATAGCTCAAGTCTTTTTTCTTAATGTATGAATAAAAATAAAATGGTAGTCCAAGTCTCCATGCTTCTGTTAGATATTTAATATGTTAATTTGTCAAGTTAAATTCTTCTGTACGATGAAGAATATACTGATTAGTCATGCCTCTATCCTTTGTTGGTCTTTTTATTTGCCTGAGTTTCGTTTCTATGTTTCAAATGAGTAAAACGTTTTTTTTATTTCAAAGTGAACGATGACATGACGTCGGAAAGAATCTATACGATTACATCAAAAGAGGCTGATTTACAGTCATTGCAAGGTTTGTGCATTTATATTAAATTGTTTTTAAGACTTGACTAAATAATGTATGTATCTAAAATAGGAAATGTGTCCCTTAAGTGGTGGTAAGTCTACAATCTATCATTTATTTCGGGCATATGGTCTTAGATCATTTAAAATATGGACATTCAAATGTCTTTCATTTTGTAAAATTGGACTGTAAATTTTAGTTGGGTAACTATGAAATTATTGTAAATACAAGTTTCATACTTACATATAATTTCTAGGTTAAAGGTTTAATTCGACGTGCTAATAATCCAGTTTCAATCCTTTTAGAAGACAATTTGCTGTTATATCAACCTTGTGTCAACCTTCTTCTCAGATATTCAATTTTAACTGGTCAAATTCGACTCTTCTGTAACGTTTGAAATATATTGATTGGTGAAGATGTTATCATACTTTAACAAAAATGAATTGTAATGGAATATGTGTAGTTTCTACCCTTTTATTGCATGTTGATAATTTGAAAACCATTGTTAAGAAAACCCTTTTTTGTTAAACATCAAATATGCTGATTGGTGGAAATTTTACCCTCCTTTAAGACATGAAATATAGGGATTGGTGAAGTTTCTACACCCATTCACATTTCCTATTGCTAATTTAATAAACTAACATTTAATGTTTAAAATAAACCTTCTTGTTAGACTTAAAGTATGCTGTTTGGGGAAGATTTTACCCTCCTTAAGTATTGCAATATTAGGATTGGTGATGTTTCTACACCCTGTTGCCTGTTGATTATTTGATATGCTGACTTTAAACATTCCACCTGTAAGATGTTTAGTTAGATTGGTCTAAAAGGTGCGCATTGCCATAAGTATTCAGAAATTATTAGAAAAAAGCAATAAAATCTGTTTCATTTGAATAGTCCTATTAAATTTTTGGTAAAAAATGATATGGTTCTTAGTTATTAGTATGGACATTTAAATGATTAAAATCAATATTTTGTTGTACAACAATTTCTTCATACCACATTTCACTTGCTGTTTCGGCGCAATGCAAAAAGAATACATATAATATCGTGAATTTGATTCGTAACGAAAATGCCTCGATAACCTTTTGTTCGTAGGAAGCGAGATAACTAATTATATAAAGATTGAAAATAATTGTACTAGTTACATTCTCTTGCTTTGTATCAACATTTAGTTACTTTGTCAGCTTCTACTCTGACAAAACCGCGTGTATTTGAATACATAGATATAAGTACACGCAATATATTTCCCCTAACCCTGACCTATGTAAACAATTTAACAATTTGTGATGTAATGCACAGTCAAATATAATATATCGCCCACAATGCTAAGATATTTTTGTAGTAAATATATTGTTTACAAATTTGCTCTTCTATTTTGTTAAATTCTTCAGCCTATGTAAATAATCTATGGTAAATAATAATTGAGAATATTTTATACATTACATATACCAACGATATACCCCTATAATTTGATGGTTATAATTTAGCGTTTCTACTTGAGACTTATAAACATAATAATACTGTCTCTCCAAGTATAAGGGAAATTGCAAGTCTAATAAATTCTATGAAATAATCGATAAAAAATAGGCGTAATGATGTTGGATGAAGATTTATAAAATAATGCCGCAAAGCCGTTTTTTCCTTTGGATTTCTCAATTTTTAAATTATGTATACTTTTTAAACTTTCACCTGTAGTTATCTCCGAATTCAAAATAGCATTTTGTTCGTCGGTTAACTCAGTCTCAATCAAATATTATCTAATCTTGGAAGATTATACTTCCTTAGTTAACCTTTGAAATAATTCTTTCATGCATCGGGTTCTATATTTTGAGATTTAATTTCAGCTTTCCTGTGATTAGATTTTAACAATTGACTTGAATGTTTTTACTACAATTAAGTACTACTTTTAAGTAACTCGAATCTTTTATTATGCTAATAAAGGCTTTTTTTAAAAATATAACACGTTTTCTTAAATTGTTTCTGCATATCAATATAATTCCGAAAATTCTTGTAAATCATGTGTCCATCGAAATCTTTGTACCGCCTAGTAAATTGTTTCAGTTCAGTACAATTTTCGTTCCAACATGACTTATTACTTTATTCATTATGCGATTTATTGTGTTCGCGCATATTCTTTGCAAAAGATTCATATTATGTTTAAAATATCACTTTCGACTGTTCAAATGTTAGCTAATCGAAATTTTGATACAAAATACAGATCATGCAATAACTAAAATAACGTGGAAAATTTTACTTATGCATACATAAATGACATACCATATCATATTCAATACAATAATCAAATGTTTCAGAGTATTTTTTGATATGGGAGACTTTATATGTTCAAATTAAATGATATGAAAATCAGGGAAATTTCAAAGTGAATATTTAAAGATTTTCTCTTATGCAAGTTTATGTGACACATTGTCATTGTCTTGTTGAATGATTATTTTTCAAGCTTTATGTAATGTGAAACTAAATATCAAGCTTATTGTGTCAAACGATTTAGATCTTCATATCACTATATGAATATACTTATCGTATCGCGGATGTTCGCCGTGTGAATCAATGACGTCATCAAAGGGCGGCAACTTTAATATGATCTTAATTGAAAGGGTATATATTCATTATTTATTTAGGGGATATTTATGGTGGCCGGTGGCGTCCATTTTAAAGCCGTGAGAAATTTAACAGTCAGATTATAAAATATTGTAGGCATTTTTTTAAAAATCCGCGAGATTTTATATCGAATGTATATAAAATGATAGACACTCTCGAGTTTTTCTTTCACACTTTACGTAAAAGGTCGAGTTATACGAAAGAAATAGCAATATTTTCTGTCCATTTAGTATACCCAGCTACGCAAACATATGCCTGCTTAATGTAGCGAATTACGGCCACTATAATCCGCGATGTTTTGATTTGATATAGAAATAGAGTTTGAGCATTCCGCCTCGACTTTTTATGGAAGCAAATGTCTTTCTGAAATAACACAATGTCATTCTGAAACATTAACGCAATGAGTCACAGCTTGAAATTCCTATTACTCGCTCCGATATTTCATTGGACCTTTATCGGGGAACAAAATGTTGCAGCCTATAATTTTTTCCCTCGACTTTTTGTAAAACTCTACGACACTTGAAACAAAATGTTGCGGATTTCTTTCAGTTCCTCGTCTTTATATCGACAAACGAGGTTTAAATGTAGAGTCAAACCATAGACGCAACCGGCCACTGTACTGTAATTTTTATTTGTTGTTCACACCAATGTTACACAGGTTAAAATGCTACACATGTAAAACGTTTGTGACACACATAGTTTACATATGGTAGAAACATATGATGTCTCCAAGAAAAGTACCCCTTTTGTTTTACATATCACTCTCTTACATATGGTGCAGACACATGTTTTTCATATGGTTCTCATATGGATACACAAGAATAACATATAATTTTCATATGGTAAAAAAACATTATTTCTCCAAGATAAACACACTGTGTTATACAGTCTATGGTATAGACATATGTTTTTTACATATGGATTAACATGAATCGTATATTTCATCGCAACTTGTAAATTGTGTTCCAGAGTTTGGTTTGTTTAAACTTGATAATTCATAAGAATTTAACAAGTGTTTAGTGTTGAACATCATTTGCCGACCAGTAAAATCGCTCATTTTAAAGAAATGCCATTTTTATTCGTATAGACAGGCAAATTTTGTCACTTAATTATTAATAGTTTGGAATGAAGTGTGCATGTTTAAGCGAGATTTCGGTCAACGTTTTATTTTTCGCTACAATTCCACAAATATGGAACCTCATTTATTAAAAAAAATCATACATACAACATATACATACATATACAGATACAATAAATATGGATAACATTATTTTAGTTTCGTGAGCCTAGACTCAACCAGAGTAAGACCTCGGGTCTAGAAGCTCCCATATGTCTTCCTTGGATAACATGCGCCCCAGGCCATGCCAGGTCCCGACCCTCGACCTCCAGTGATGGTCGGGAGTCAGGAGTACTTCCAACTTCACGATGAGCCCTATTACAGGTGGCAAGCAGCACAATTCCCACTATTTTTATATCTATACAATAACGCAGATGCAGTACATACATTAAACTGTTAAAAAAGTTAATAGAAAAAAAATCTTTTTATTATAATTCTATTCATCTTAGTACATATATTTACTAATTAATAATAAATTTTATTGATTTGTAGCTAATTATGTATGTTCATGTAAACTTGTTAATTTAGATTATTTTCCATTCTACAGTCTACATAGGGAATAAAAATGATATTGTTAAAGTTTCTTCATACGGCTTTTAATGTCGGTTTCGTTTTGTTAATAATTGCATGAAGAAATTAAAACTATTTTGCTCATTCTGAACTAACATTTACATAAATCACTGGAGGACGATTATAATTTAAAATGGAGGACGTTAATATTTAAACATTGATCATTTAATGCACACAGGCACAGGAAGGGTAAAGTGTCACTCCCTTTACGGGTTATTTCAGAAAAGTTTGCATGAAAGTGTCCTCAATCTCTCAGTGACAAAATTATACAGAAAATGGGCTTAGATAACAAAGTTTTAGTTATCACAAAAATAATTCATTTGCAATATTCATTAGAAAATTGCAACATTGGAGAAATTCAAAGGTACACGATATAAATAATGCGCACTCTGTCACGAGACTTTCTTTTGCTATTTATATATAGATCTATTTTATAAATTGAATGATGTAACTGATAGATGAAATTGTGCTCCCTTCTTCACACATTGTACTTCCAGCTTGGCAAAATGAGGTTAAACACTTAGTAAGTTAGTTTTTATCAAGTGGACATTTTAACAATTAAGAACTATGGGTCGCTTCGTTTTGGGTTCTTGATTGTTAAAATTCCACTAAACAAACACTAACATATACATGTACAAAGGAAGAAAAAATCATGAATTAAATGAGTGGCAGACTATTCCCCCCTAGCCAGTTCATTCCCCTG